ATTGAACACGCATTTCAGTTAGCGACCTGACAGTATAGTTGACTTTTCACTTGTAACTTCATTCTTCATTCACATAAAATGTTATCTTTTGTAGTAGTATAAGTATTTTAAGTACTTAAGTACAAATAATAGAAGAATGCGTCAGATCCAGGTCTAATAATTAGAAGTACATGCACACATAGTGCGTTTTCCAATTACAGCACTAGAGCGCATTATGCGGCATAATGCTCAACGTTGAATGTTCCAACTACAGCAACGCTTCGCACAATTGAGCACTCTCAAAACGAATGCTCTCGCGTGCTTCTCGCAATAAATACCAACACAGTGACAGAAAATTGACCAGTGTTTTTCATTAAGTTGGCATTTATCGAAATTTTCGTTAGTAAATATTATTTATTGTTGAAAAATTTGTAAAATTTGTATTTTTTTATATTCCACATTTAAAATATGAATACAATTTTATTTTAAAATTCGGATCTGTAAACAAATTTATTTTACAGGATTATACTTTTGTAAACATTGCAATGGTTTTGAAAAAGTATATAATTTTTTTAGAAATCAAAAATTACTCAAAACGTAAATGATGTAAACTTCTTACATGAAACTATATATTTTACTGTTAATATATAATTTTTCTCTTATTTCAGTAAAAAAATGTTAATGAAATAATTTGATTATTAAAATAAGCGTAAAAAGTTTTCAACCAATTATTATTGTTTACCATATTATTTATACATTAATGAGGTTGCTAACTCTATTCAGACCATTTTTTTTGTCAACACTGACTTAGCGCACTCTGCTGATGCATTTGAAAACTAATTCACGTTCCAATTAAGCTTCAGCATTATGCGGCATTGTGAGGCACTGAGCCGCATAATGCTCTGTAATTGGAAAACGCACTATGTGTGCATGTACTTCTAATTATTAGACCTGGATCTGACGCATTCTTCTATTATTTGTACTTAAGTACTTAAAATACTTATACTACTACAAAAGATAACATTTTAGATACAAACGGAAATAGCGATTGGCAGTAGGTTTTGTTTATATACTATTAGAGTCGAGATTTGACGCTATGAATTACACCAGTAGGTGCGTCAAAACCAATACATTTTTTGACATATGGCAGCTCATAATCATGTCTCGTTTCTAAATCTTTACCCAAGTCTAGAATATAAATATAAATTTTTGACGCAAGTTAGATTTAGCGCTGTTTCTGAATAAGTGTCTCTTAATTACCATTAATTTTTTTTAAATACGTAAGCATTTAATTAAAAAAACATTATCGTGTGTCGGAGTCTACTATGCAATTAATAATATCCAAGCTCTATGGTAAATTATTATAATAACACATAGTTACTGTCATAATTGAAGGCTACAGTGTTATTTACAACTCATCAAACTATACATAGGGGCACATCGCGTACATAATCGACATTGATATCAATTGAACTCAAATCTAGGACGATATTGTACTGATAATATACTTTACGTGTTGATACGAATTAAAAAAAAATCGTGTCAGATAATCTAGTTATTGAAGAAGTACCCTCAATTAATACAGATGAAACCGCGGGGCACGGCTAGTCAACTACAAATTATACACGATATTGTTTTTGGTTAAAACCAGTGGCGCTACAGAGGCCTCAGATTTGATCATAATTTAACGTATCTAATTCGTGATCATTTGTTTTTTTTCTATTAAAAAATATTAAAAAAAAATATGTTTATTATTGAACATAAGATACAGGTATCACTTATTCCAAGTCATTAAATTTGAATCTGTAAGCATCCCTACTCATCGGCAAAGAAGAGAGGGTGTAGGCCGAGAGAGACAACCAGCGTAAAAACTCTCGGTACTCTTTTAAAATAGCAAATCACTTATTTTAAAATAAATATCGCAAATTAATTAGAAGTAGCCTGTCTAGCACTAGTCTCAGGCTCTTTTATCAACTAGATAATCGTTAACTTTATAGTAAGCCTTTTTACACAGCTTTTCTTTAATACATTTTTTAAATTTATTAAAAGGCAGAGATAAAAGAGTCTCTGGGATTTTATTAAACAAGAGTATTAGGTCGTAAATGCATGACATCGTTCGACGAGAGCCAACACCGAGCTGCTTGTAGTGTGATGCAAATACTGGAGGAGTGTCCGCGGTGGTCTCAGCCCCGTCATATTGACACCTAAAGTCAACTCCAATTAAAGGAAAAGCTTAATGGTTAGGACGGCAGGTAAGTTTAACAAATGAACTGTTGATATTGACTTGTTCGCCTCTATTGTGACTGCAAAAAGAGCTCTATCATCGGAGTTCCGGCTACCATCTTGAACAAATGTCCTTGCCTGCGCAGAAGCGATTATTAGGTATCACTGGGAGGGGGCGGCGGGAGAGTGACGTGTCGATCGCGTGATTGGTAAATCAGTTGACGTTTGTGTCCCGCGATGCGCAAACTTTCCCCCACTCCCTTGTTATAACTTATATGTTTTTATAAGTGTATAAGATACACTACCCTAAGTGTTTCTCAACTAATTTTGGTTTATTGCTTTCTTTGATAGATATAGATAGTTTAGGATTAAAATGATTTTATTGTTACCAATTAATTACTAAGTACTTAGTAAGTAAGTTAATTAGAGGCTGTAAATCATTGATCTGTGGTGGGTCCTTGATCTACCTTTTGCTGTCAAAAAATGGCATTGACGAGATGGTATGCAGTGGTATCCTTCCGTGAGCAAGTAATGCTACAAAAGGAGGCAGCAGAACGAGAGAGGGAGCAGTCTAGGGTTAGAAGACGCGGAGTAAATAGAAAATATTGTCAATCTTCTACTTGTGTACTGCAACAGTGGTTTTGAATGTAACAAGTATGAGTTGCTACATTCAAAACCACGTTGAGGCCCTGGTAGAATGCGAGAGTGACCCCTGAGCCTCTCTACTCTCTAACCTTCTATGGTTTTAGTAGGTATTGGTCACCCAGTCTCTGAACAGCGGAGATTCTGGTGTGGCTCAAGTACCACATACATCTTTTGCGCGCAGGGGATGCATTTCCCACTTTATCCACCTCGAAAATAATAAAAACGGTCGTAAATGCAATAAATACGCGTGTTGTTGGAGTTGTTTACTAGTTCCTGGGGGATGCTTTAATAATATAAAATATAAATTTCACTATTAATTCTAATGTTACATAATTGAATGCCGTGCAAGGTGGAATGCTTGTTGAAGAGTGCTTGCGTCTGGCATTTCTCACGGAGCGTATATCCGAAGATTTATGAAATTTATTTAATTAGAAAAATATACACCATCTTTACAGTACTGAGCCAAAACGATAATGTCGAAAATACACAATATCGCTACTGTGAACTAACTCTGCGGGCATATAAAAATGTCTAAATCGCCATGATTATTAAAACTAAGAAAACTTGAGCGAACCTATCTGGTAGCCAAACTCCAAAAAATTAGATTGTTTCTTTCCATTTTTCGTCATCGTTTCTTGAATGGAAAAAAAGTATGGTGGAGTTGAGTAGTTTATGTATCCATTTTAAAGATCGATACACAATTTGAATAACTTCACTCGATATAAAAAAAATCCAAACATAGCCAATTTTTGCCACTTTGAATTCATTTTATGACGAAAATGTATATAGAACATGATTTTGAAATTTACACAATATATCCATTTCAGAAAAAAAATTGATGTAATTAAATTTGTTTAATGTTTTACATAACTAATTGTTATTACGGGCTGGCGCGCCTCAGTGCTTTAGCTCTCCACTGCCCACCGCAGTCCACCCCGAAACACTGGCACAGCAATTCGTGCTGGGATAGGGCCTTAAAACGCACACGCACATCTGTGGCTCGTAGTATTACCGGCTTTTAACTTCATGAACAATGGCATTACTTTATTATAGCTCTACGCCGATACACGGAAGAATACTTATCGATCTACTTTTCCCACAACCAATTTAATTAATTAGCAAGCTGAAAAGCCTAATCTCAGGAAGTAAACGTTCAAATACAAAAAATATTTTTATTTAAACGTTTTTTTATATAATAGGGAGGGCAAACGAGCCTACGGGACGCCCAAAAAGGGTAGTCATCGCAGCTTATAGACACCCATTTTTAGTGGGTGCGTTGCCGGCCTTTGAGGGAGAAGTACACTCGAATTTAGGATAGTTGGAGGTCGTATCTCTCGATTATCATTATTATTATTAGATTATCAAGTATATCGTGTATTTATTGAGCCCTCTTTAAAATGTTATATATTTCAGTCATTTGAAATGAAAACATAATAATTTTTCTTCTCTATTTTGAAAGTGTTTAAAATTAATTATTATTTTGTTCCCTTTGGAGTAGACTCTTGGGCCGTGGGGTTCAACTGTACAGGCGCTTATTAAAGATTTTAGTTGGCGCCTGGTAGATAGTACCGGTGACCCCAGAGCTGGTACTTTCCTCGCTCAACGAATAAGTATCGCAATACAGCGAGGAAATGCTGCCAGCGTTAAAGGTACACTGCCACTGGGACCTTTTTAAATTTGTTATTTTTTCTTTTTTATAATTTTTAATTATTTTTATTATTACTTTGTAGGTTAAGAAAATTGTAAATACTGTATACTTGATTGTAGATACATGTATTATATTATATTACATATAATAAATTATTATTTTTTATAAAATGTACTGTGTTCACTGTTATAGTCGTGTAATGTAAAGTGAAGTAAAGTATAAAAATCATTTAATCATATAGGTAACACAATGTACACTTATGAAAGTCAAAAAAAGAACTTTACTGCTTCTAACTTTACATTTAGAGCCAGTTCTCAAATCAAGGGCGTAGAACGGAAGAGAAGAACTGGCATGTACATACATACTGTAGAAAAAGTATTATATTTGATATGGTCTACTTTAATAAATAAATAAGCAGTTTGTAAGTATAGCATAATACATAGATAAGAAAGAAAGATATATTTAGACAGGTTCTCACCTAATATGGACGTCCAAAGTGTAAATGTTAAGCAACATTATTTTTCCAAGTTGGTGGCTGGTTGTCATAACCAAGTTTCCTTAAATCCTTAGACAGCATTGACATTTTCAATGTAACACTTCCATATGACTCTGTCCGCAATACTGCAATTAAACCAAATAATATTCTCATTCTTAATTATGTAATAAAATTTTGTTCACGCTGAATAAGTATTGAATTTTAAACACATCCTGTCGCTTTTGGATAGCAACGTCGAAAAGAGGCAACTACATTTTATCATCATATATTTTTCAGTCATTATCAAGACAATATAAGGTTCAATATGCAACATACAATGTGCATACTTTATTTATGCATTTGTTTTTATAATAATTTTTCAATGTGTGATTAACCCGATGTGCCAATCATAGTAAAACAATTATTATAATTTGCAAATTTAACCCAGAATCTCATCAATCATAGTGCTTCTTACTCAATAGTTCCTTACTAACAATCAAATTCTACTTTAGAAATTGTACAATTGTACTTGAGGAAGAATCTCACAATAGTTATCTTTTCCATTTGCTAGCATTTTTGGGTCAGCCAATTCAGGATGTCTCCCTGTCAGCCATGATAACCATTCTCCTAAAACTGTTGCTGACCGAGGTCGTATTAAAGATGATTTTAACTCATGGGATCCAGTTATTGGTGGTAGTAAAAAGACAGCATATCCTCGGAGAGTGTCACCCATGAAGAAACTCTTAGCTCTTACTGTCACAATTAATTGGGGCCCTGAAACATAGTTTTCATTTAATACATGTAGATATTTTAAAACCTATGGGTAATCATTAAAATGATTTGCTTAAAATACAACTTTTTTCCAAATAGGAACAATACTTACAACCATATACATTGGTACTGCCAAATACAGTATCTAATGGCAAATTAAATATTACTTTTTCAGGATCCCTTCCAGATGTGGCAAGTTGACTGGTTCCAGAACACAGTCCAGATATAGGGTCCCAATCTGGACCCCACACGATATCATATTGTATATAAAGTTGATTATCAAAAACACCTGCAGGAAATTTAATATGCTCTATTTGACCATTGAAAGATACTAGAAACTTGGTAACTTCAGAATTCATCATTACGAATTCTTTCGTAATTATATGTTTAATTGAGTGAATATATAGTATTTCATTAACCGCAATTTCCACTTATATTGCTTAATATATTTTATTTAATACTGAAAAAGTCTCAGAACATTTTAAAATTATTAAGGCGCATAGAGTACTTTCATATAACCCGCCGTTATTTTAATTTGTTTAAGTATGTCAAACGTATCCATGGAAACGATTTTTCTTTATAGAAACGGTAGATTCTTGTCTATTTGGCTCAGAAACCAATATAGATTAACAATGTTTTTGCTTTTTTTAAATAAAGATAAATTATCGCTATTGCAAAAAATAATTTGAAAATTTTATTAATATAAGTACACTAACGAGCAAGAAATATAGAAATAGTAGTAAAATTTACTAATATTGTCTTAATGTCTTCTTTTATTTTTTCACCTTAATAAAACTAGATATCTTATAATGAATGTTTCATAGAAATCAAAGAGATTTCATATAGAGAAACACCATTTCCGTTATCCTGTTTTACCGACATATATGATTTGAAACAACTTTGCAATTTTCAGGAGATGGCGCTAAACTAGCTTTTAAAATCCAAATCGGCCACCATTGTTGCGATTGAATCTTGTGCTAAGGTTTGTGAAGTTTTCAGTTTTCCTGTAATATTTAATCGTTTTTGAGATTGCACGTGAAGTGGTATGATAGTGAATAAAATGAAATTCAATAACAAATCCTTAAAGTAACCTCTAGAGCATATTTTAAAACACTAAACGCGTTCAAAATGTCACGCGAAGTGAGCATCACATCCGTGAGTACCATACTTCGCTCGAACTCGCTGTGATATATATGAAAATAACGTGACGAAAACAATAAATTAGTGTAGTTATTATAATGCAACGTTTATAACTGATGTTGGTGCATTTTGTGACAAGCGTGTGTCGATGAAAACATTTCAGAATTTTCTGTACACGTCGTAAGGAATCGCAGTTACGCGAGTGAGGGCTTGTAACTCGCCGGTATCATTATGGTGGACTGAAGGAGTGTGGTGTACAATAGGAGTTGAATACGTCGTTACAGTGCCTCCAGGGCTTTGCGCAGGATGTCCGGTGGCTCGCAACATAACCCAAATGGGAGGCAGTCGCAACTAGGGTCCAGTTGGAGTCCTTTACAGGTGGTCATAGTATAATATTGTTTTTTACTGTAACCTAATGTTCTAAAGTTAATTTATTACATCTATGTCAAAGGATGATAGGGATACATATAGTTGAAAATTGTTTGTTGTTCTTTAATATTATGCATCAATGCAATATGTGTGCAATAGGTAGGTACAATAATCAGCTGTTTGTAATATTCATGTTGACACTTTTGCTCTACTTATTATTTTTAATGTTGCCATTATTTGCACAAGTATAAAGCTAAAAATGAGATAATAGTGATTTACATAAATTATATTTTGGTTAATTTAACAACCACTAAAAACAATTTTTATTATTATTCTGATTGCTTCATGAATAAACACTAAATGAAATAAGCAGTTATTGTGTAGTAAATAATTATGATAAAAATAAATTAATTATGATTCACAGATAGTATTTCTCTGAATATATTTAAGCTAGTAAAGGGATTTTCATTATTAAAGTAAAAAAATAAGCTCAACTGTTATTGGAAATTATTAAAATTTTATTATTTCTTATAACATGTTAATTTTATTGCTAAAACCTGTACCTTAAATTCAGGGCCTTAGACAAAAATTAATTTAAGTCTTCTAGTAGTTAAGGTAAGCCTATTCTACAAACTCAAGGTGGCAACTTAACTTAAACGGCTTAACTAAGAGTCTAGGTAAGATTTATAGTGGAAACTAAGTACCAAGTGTGTCAAAATCATTGGATTTGATATATATATGAACCATATATCAAATCCTTTAAACCTTAAACTCTTTGGAACTTTTGTTTTGGATTATTTTTAGGCATAATTTTTTATCAGTTACAGGTGGCGAACCTGTTAGCGCGCGCGCCTCAAGCGCACATGGCTTCAGAAAGGGGTGTCACATGGCACACGCCCACTCCGCCTCCCCATCTCTATCATGTACCGGCGCCTTCGCCCCCTGATCCTCTTCAAGTGAGTGCCATTTGTATATTAATATTGTAGCCAATTGCTCTAAATGTGTAATGCTCACTGATGAAAAATCAATCTGCCTTCATGTCTTGGAAACACCGTGATTTCTGGTAAAGCAATTATTTTGGAAAAGGTTGTTCAGGTTCTTAATAATTGCTTAAAGGCCTCTCACTAATAGTTTTGAAAGATTGTTTTCCTTTTGGAAAAGTCTGTCCATTGACATAAAATATTGTGAATTAGAATAATGATCTGTGTTTATTTTACTACCCAAAAAATTTACAGGCCATGACATGACATGGCTTTGTACATTGACAAAAACTTATCAATCTTACACATTTAACGATTATTTGTATGATTTTTTGTAGTTATAGTGCAGTGAAAGATTATTCATATAACTATAATTTTTATTTTGTCAACTGTGATACAACATTTTTATGGACGAAAAGTAGTTATATTTTCGCCAACCAATTTATATGGTCATGTGATAAGACAGAGTTACATACAGTTTTAATATTACCTATGGACGGAGAAAAAATAGCCTCATCTTTAAAATAACCAGTCTATGTAGTGTTAATAGTTAAGTGTATTTGAGATTTAAAATTGAACTTCTATTACACTTATTCCTCCTAGTCGGCTATTAAGGCAATAATTATGTAATAAGTGATATCTGTCAGTTAAGAAATAAATAAATTAAGTAGATGATACAATTGCAGGCAATGAAAGCGGGCGGCAACGCGGTGTTTCGGCACACGGCGACGCCGCCCGACCTCTACCGACATACTCCTACGCCGCCGGACAAACATCTCATGAGGTAAACCCGTAATGTCTTTAGTAATGGATTAAAGTAGCCATTTAAGAATCGCAACATAGGGGCCGTTCAAGCATTACGTAAGCAGTACTGCAATTTATTTCCCCCTCTCTTGTCAGCAAAAGTAAGCAAAGCTCTCAAAAACAAAAGTCCATAAACGTATCCATTTTTAGTAGCAATCCTCAAAAGTGCATTTCGTTTTCAAGCATAAACAATGTAATGTGTAAAAAAGGAAATAACTACTGTTGATGTAATCACCAAATAAATAAATCAAGTGCTTTCGTAATACTTGAACGGCCCCATAAGCAAAATAATGGAGTAAACGGGCAGGAGGCTCACTTGAAGTGAAGTGATGTCACCGCCCATGAAAACTCACATTGCCAGGCTCGCGAGTGCGTCACCGGCATTGAATTGATTCGCTCTTTTCATGAAGAAGGCCTGTAACATGTCTCGAGTTAGCATGTTTCAATTGTAAAAATCCCAGAGCGAAAGTTTAAATTTAGCAAATTAATAACTTAATGTTTAAACAACTTCTCATGAACAGACCCATATTTTAGATGACAATTTGTCTTCTTTGTGTACTTAATTCCCTATTAAATGTATAAAATATTTGGATTTTTTTACGGTAATTCAAATATTTTGTAGATTTTATATTATTTGTCCGGGGCTTCGTCAAAATAATAATAGTTATATTGTTCATATATACCCCCACAAATATGATGTGTTGATTAATAAAGATATCTTAAATAGAGTTTTGCACCAAACCTTTGTACTACACATTTTAAGTTTTTTCTAAGCTTTCATTAATGTATGAGCAATGGCTAAGTGGTTACAGCGACACATCATCAAACATAGTCAGGAAAGCAGCATCTTTAAACCCAAAAAGTCGATAGCGTGTTTTAGGCACAGAAAGCTACACCTACTTGCCTATTAGTAAAAATAATCACGAAAAAGATACAGAAATCTGAGGCCCAGACCTTAAAAGATTACAGAGCCACTGGTTTTTCTCGAGTTTGTGTGTTGCCCACACCAAGGCCTTCATAACGATGTGTTTACAAGTAGAGAAGAAATAGTAATGATAAGAAAATAAATAAATTTATTATTAATACAAAAAAAGTCAATTAAACGGATATAAAATGAGTGCAAGTAGTTTTTAAGTAAATACTTTAAAATGATGTCGTAATTTTCGTGTGTACTTAGCTGTTTGGGATATTTATAATCTATTTAAATAATCTTTATACTTAATACAATGATTACTACAACTGAGTACGGCGTGCTTTGAAGGAACTATTATTGCAAAAATTAAATTTCCTTTTATGATATTCAATTATACTTACATCGGTGACAAAGAAACGAGACTTAGCGCTATATGTAACTCCCGTAACGTCAAAAATTTATTGGATTTTAGCAGGGGAGTTAATCCCAGAGGCTCTTTAATCTCTGCATTTTAATAAATTTAAGAAATGTATTAAAGAAAAGCTGTGTAAAAAGGCTTACTATAAAGTTAACGATTATCTAGTTGATAAAAGGGCCTGGGACTAGTGCTAGACAGGCTACTTCTAATTAATTTGCGAGATCTGTTATAAAATAAGTGTTGCTTGATGATTTGCTATTATTTCTCTCGCCCTACATATATTACTACGGCCCTCTGTCTTGTTTGCCGATGAGTAGGGACAGTACAGGTTCCAATTTAATGACGTGGAATAAATGATACTATATAATATTATATTCAATAATTTTTTTTTCTCTTTCTTTCTGCTCCGCGGCAATCTGTTGAACACAACAATAAGCCACTACTTTGTCCGATACGAGTGTATCCGCTTAGGCTTTTTAGCGTGGTAAGACACTTCTCCAGTAGGTGTCTCATTCCATCCCGAGGAATCTATTTTCAATCTTTTGTGTTGAAGGCCTTATTCTCCACTGAGTTTGAGGGCAAGCTCATTTTTTTGGTTTGAGTCTTTTTTGATAATTGATGCTATATCTTTCTATCTCCTGTTTGACAGTTGGTATATTTAAATCAAGGTATATGTTCTTATTACTGATGTATGCCATAGGTCCATATCGGTTTCAAGATGGCTTTATATACAGTCAACTTGCTGTGTGTGCTCATTTGTGAGTGTCATATTATATTCAATAATAAACATATTTTATTTTATTATTACAAACATACCAAAAGAACCTAGGAAAAGTTAAAAGTAGTCATTTCCTTCTTATATTGGGGTAAGGTATTATTTTTTATAATATTATAGTGTGAAGAAAATTTATGAGATACCCTTATATTTTCAGACACACTCCATCACCCGGTGATGTGAAGGCTGGATCGGGGATGCCTCCAGCCGACTTGTATCCGCATTTGGGTCCAGGGCGAGGTAAATATTCTATATCAAAAGGTTGGTACGGCATTAACACATTTATGATTTCTTTCATACTTATATTTTAAACAACAAAAAGTCAAAAATCATTTATTCATATAGGTAACACAATGTACACTTATGAACGACAAAAAAGAAATATATTATATAATGCTTCTAATTTTACATTTACTGTCAGTTCTCAAATCAAAGGCGTAGAACGGAAGAGAAGAATTACAATAAATTCTTCCCCACTCTTTTTAATCGCCAAGTTTTTGTTTTACACAATGTTTGTAAGGGGCTGCAAACATTACACCATGTTCCACATGCAGCTTAAGTAATAAATAATAATAAAATAAATTAAAAACAAAGATTTGTCCTCTATCAGCAGGAGCCATTGTGAAATAGGCGTACGCACTTACATTGTACATATTATACTGTTTATAGATATACCATACCAGTGTTTAACAATTATATTTAAACATATATGTTTTTATTTTTAAATACGTATTTATTCTTAAAGAGTAATATACAGTTTCAGAAAAACTTGTCCGGGCAGAAGAATTCTTAGCATACGCCCGTGGAGGCGTGGACTTGACGGTGGGGTCTCGTGGGGCCAACGGGTCGCCCCATGCCCCAGCCTTATCTGTGAGAGATGCCCCGACGATAAACAGCCTCATAGCCCGCGCAGCGCCACGCCCGTCTCACGCGAGGGTTGATGCTCTTCTGGAGAGATTGTCTGCCCCTGCCCCTTCGTCGCCTCATTCTGTGATTGTTCATTCTAGGGCGGCTCCTACGCCTTCGCCCCCGTCTTCTAATGAGGTATATGTAACGATTAAAAAATAAATCAGTGGCACTACAACCTCTGTAGATCTTGGCCTCAGATTTCTGAGTCTGTTTGATAATCATTTTTAAATCTAATAGGCAAGTAGGGGCTCAGCCTCCTGTGCCTGACACACGCCGTCGACTTTTTGGGTCTAAGACATGTCGGTTTCCTTCACCGATATGTATAATATGTAACGATTCCTCCCTAATATATTTTACATTTGATTAGTGTTTCTCTTTGATTCCCCAAAACTCAGTCCATAAATCATTCTCATAGTATTTACAGACTTTAACACTTTATATTTCAAATTTTTCAGGATTCAGCCGACTCCTGTGGAGCTCCTCCAGGTTCAAAGCGGAAAAGGAAACCAGAACGCACGATACGAGTACCCATTCCACCTCCGCCATCTGATATGCCACGTCCATTGACCATACAAAATGGAGACACGCACAACGGGCCCGAGAAACCAGTAAAACAAAACGTACCAGAGAAACAGGATAAACAAGATAGACCGGACAAACCACCCACCCCCGAAATGCCAGAACCACATGCAAGAAGAAAAACCCGCGCCGACTCCTCAGAAACAATAGACGATATCGCAGCCCTGATAGCCAACACGGAGCGAAGAGATATCCCCACTGAACCGTTCCCGGAACCGGAAACGCCCATCACTATTGACAAACTCAAAAGTGTCCTAGCTAGTCCCGAACCGGAGAAATCGCCAGTCAAAACACCCCCTAAGTCCCCACCTAAATCCCCGCCGAAGTCGCCAAAAGAACAAAAAGAAAAATCGACACCGAAAGAAGAAATAGAACCGCCTCCGACGGCGGCTGCACCTAGACGCAGGAGCACCAGAACAAACTCGGAATCCACCAACGTTCCAGTGGAATCACCCTCGGAGGCGAAACCGGCCGAACCCGAAGCCAGCGAAACGAAGATGGCGGAACCCACATCGGCGTTCGTGGAAGTCGAGAATCAAATGGAGAAAATGTTTGGTGATATTGAGGAACCAGCTGAATCTAAAGCTGAGGAGAAGGCTACTGCTAAACCTAAGAAAAGACGGAAATCTGCACCCACGAAAGGAGAGAAGAAGGCTTCTAAGCGGTCTAGCAGGCGGTCGACGGGAGATGATGGGCCAAGAAGGAAGGTAGCGAGGAAAAAGGGGATAAGTAAGAAAGAGGCTTTGAAGGATGCGTATGACTCGGGAAGTAATGCCAGTTCCAGTCGGTCAAGGGGGCCTTACATTCAGGTTAGCTAATATCATCAGAAACAATTATTCTAACAAAGCTGTAACAAATTTATGCCCATTTATTTTTAAACGTTTTTTGTAGATATTGATATGTTCTTTAATATTGTGGAACATTTTATTGTTCTATCATCAATAGTCTTCGCAGCGCATGCGATGAAAGATATTTTATAGGCATTTTTTTACACCTTGGGTCACATTATTGTAGTTTTAGTAAGGACCCTTATTGCAATGAAAATAGCCTCTATTAATCAGTGTAGCATTCAAATGGTGAAAGAATTTTTTAAATCGGTCCAGTACTTTTGAGCCAATTTCTAACAAACATACTTACATACAAATCATTTTTAATATGCGTATAGATAAAACAATTTTAGTCTATTTAAGTAACCTTTAGTTTCAGAGGCGTTAATATACCATCTAGGCATGCCCGTGGCAAATTTTTTTGTTGGGGCCCTATCAATAAAAATCGTCACGTACTCAGTTTAATTTAAATAAACTTCGAGATTTTCAGCTTACTCAATTACACGTTGTATATGCCCCACTAATGGCCATAGGCCTCTCTTAGCCGAGAGGGAATGTTTAGTAGTCTCCACGCTAGCCCAATGCGTATTGGAGACTTCACATTCATCCATAGAACATAATATCTCTTGGGCAGGGGCCCGTGGCATTTTCCCAGCCCTGCCACACTATTGTTACGTCACTCTTTAGTTATTATACAAATTAAGTTCTATCATATAAACAGCGATAAAATTCAAATTTCAGATCGTAGGGCCACGAGACTCCCCAGTATCAGTAGCAGTGGTTAACGCAACGGCGACGGAAGACGACAGGCGTACGGCGGACGAATGGCGGAACGGGCTCAAAGCTCGCGGCCTTCACGCGAGTACTTTGGGATTGAGATACGACGCCAGTACACCTGATGCCTCGTGGCTTTGTGCCTTTTGTGAGAGAGGACCGCACCACGCTGGCCTGGGAGACCTATTCGGACCCTATACGGTTGACACCACCTGTGATGAATTTAGGTAAGATAGATTATTTTAAGTGAAACGCCACGAAGACGTGCAGCGTTTTTGTCTAAGAAGAGTGAGAAAGGGAGATCGAGAAAAATAACCGCTATTGGTTGATGTATTCGTTTAGTAGTTACATATTACAACTTTAGATGGCAATTCTGTCGCATAACGTCCTGCAGTAAACGCAGATTTTTTATTTATTAATATTATTAATAGCACGTATACAGTGTGTAAACAGTGTGAATATAGTGGTAGGGGAGCCCAAGAGGGGATTTCGGGATTTACTAAAGCGCGGCAGATTAATATATAGGGGGATACCTTGTACCCGGTTAAGTACCTCCACAAAATATGAGGCCCATATATAAGGCCGCACGTGAAGGAGACAGGATCAGTTTAGTAAAAAAAAATTGACCATCAGAAATTCCCGAGCGCGTCAGATTAAGGTAGGGTGAGTTAATTACATCCTAAAAAGTGTATATTCCACTAATCTGACAATTTGAGAGTGACGGAAAAAAAGGGGAGGGCAACAAAGTTGTAAAAAAAAACGTCATCTCGACATTCTCGAGCGTAGCTAATTTTTTTTTTATTTTGAAGGAAATAATTCAAGAATAATGAAAAATATATAATCTGACGATTTCCGCAAGCCGAAATAACAAAAATTCGTCGATAAAGTTAAATGCGTGCAGCTGCGTGATGCCTACATTTCCTTAAACCGATCGGAATCTACTAAACGGCGTTCTAAATATTTCCCTCAAAATTACATTTTCTGTGAATTTGAACCGATTCGGACCGATAGATTTTGAGAAATTTTGAAAAATCTTAAAAAAATAAGAAATATTTTTTTTAAAGTGGTTTCTTTATCGATCAACTTCAAAAACTAATCCGCCTTTGAGCTTGAAAAACCACGTCGATCGCCACCAAGCTGGTCAAAAGCGGTTGATTCGTTCGAGAGATATCGTACACGAAAGAAACCCGAAAAAGTGTTTAATCGGGATTACTCCGAAATTTGTGGTTCGATCAATTAAAATTGCAAAATCACTTATGAGAATGATAAAACTGCGTCGGATGCCGCCAACCGCGTGAAAATTGCTTGATCCATTCAAAAGTTATTGAGGTTTGAAAATTCCAAAAATAGTGTTCTATGAAACTTCTATCAGACTTTCGAGCTGGGAGAGCTCAAATGCATAGAAATGTTATTTCTTTGAACTCAGCGAGCTCAAAATATCAATTTTAAGCGCCCAGGAATGGAATTAGCGGGAAGTTGCAGGGATGGCCCTTTAGGTGAACCGTTTTTCTATTTTTTTTTTGTCAGATCAGGCGAATCCCTCTAGATAATCGTCAGATTATGAGACAGTACGTTTAGAACATAAAGAGGAACCACATATATCTTAATCTGACGCGCTTGAGTATTTCAAAATTGCGATTTTTTTTGCAAATTAAGAAAATGGCTGTGGGTTTGCGTCCCATCGAAATCGTCAGATTAGTGAATGAGAGCTTTTTTTTGGTGCACTTAACACTCCCTTAGAAAATCTGACGCGCTCGATAAATTTTTTTTTTTTTAATTTTCAACCCTTAAATACAACCACCCGCATCATGCAAACGATCAGATTAACATATGTACATTATTAAAAATACGTAGGGCATAGATGCTATCAATATCTGACGCGCTCGAGGATGTCCATGCAACAGTTTTTTTTTACATATTTAACTATCTATAGCCGCTTCCCCCACCGATGAAAAGGAATTTATCATATAACATTTTTTTCTTCTTTTTATCTAAGCTTTGCATCCCAATAGGTCTCTACGACGCTCGAGTAAATCCCCATTTAGCATCGTGGGCCCCTACCATAGATATACAAATACATGGAGTGATCACTACATACTAGTACATGATCATCTATTGGGGCTTTTACCTGAGTAATAATCAATTTACAAAGAAGTTTCAATTCTGACATGTGTACTTTGTTCGCACGGACTTTAATAATTTGGAGGTTCAACATATTGTCAAAATATTTATTTTGTAATCTGCATTTCAGATCGCTAGACGAATTATCACAAACCCGATTCCCTAGCGTGGAAGCCGGGGCAGAAGTTTGGTTCCACGAAGCGTGTGCCGTATGGGCCCCGGGGCTCGTCGCCATCGGGGCCCGAATTTTTGGCCTCGCGCAAGCCGTTTGGGGCTCTCGGGCCTCAAAGTGCGCACATTGCTCCACGTCCGGAGCGCCAATTGCCTGCGCGACCAGAACTTGCCGTGCTAGGGCTCACCTGCCCTGCGCTCGCACAAACAAGTGGCAGTTGGACGATGAGAACTTCAAGGCTGTCTGTCCTCGACACGCTTAGCACACTGCCTAATAGTGATAGTGTTACACCAGTGATTATGAAAGTGTTTGTGAAGTGATTGAGACCAATTTTGGTATGGCTTCAGTTTGTATTGAAGCCCGAGTGTGAACTTGCCTGGTAAGAAAACCAAAACAGATATGCTTGTCCTGACCTGGATTACGGTACATCAGTTTTAGAATGTAATGACAAATTGAAATTATCATTGACCTTATAGAATGAAAGTTTTAGGCTAATGGAGTTTATCAATAACAAATTTTGTAATGAAGCCAACTAAATGTATTGAAGGTCTTAAAGAACTAATTTGAACGTATTGTGGTCCGTAACGCATTCATTTCACCAACATATGGTCTCTCAGTACCTGTGTGACAGTCATGCCTCAGTTACCTTAATAATCCAACATATATAGCATAGCAACTCGGTTCTTGTTTCAAGGGACCAAAAATTAACTTCCGAACACCTAATCCCTTTATTCTAGCATTGGTTTCTATGAAATATTCTTGAACCTTAATTAGTAGCTTGTGCGGTTTAGTATTTTAGCACAAATTATTTGTAACGGGTGATAGATCACATGGAGTGGATGCGGTTGAAAATTCAATTAATTTATTGAATTATTACAATTTTGTATAAAATTTACAGTATTTCATTGAGCTGTCAATACAATCGCTTGTAATGGTTTCAAATTCTTTGAATACTTTTGTATCTGAAATTGGAATCTCTCTTAAAATATCAATCATGTTTCATTTGAGTAATTTTGCCAAAAAAAAATATTACCGACATAGAGAGTAAAATTGATATAACCAGAGGTGTTCTGATGCCAAATGCTTAAATGCATTTTCTATATTTTTGTGATATGAATTTGTCGTAACAATTATGGATCTTGGTTTTTTTAAGTATATTGTATTATGGTGACGAAAACTTAATACCGTTTATATAAGTAAGAGTCAAATTTGGAAGTATCACTGGCGGTATAACATACCAAGTACATAATATATGTAGTATAGATAATTGTAGATATATACTTTGTTATAAAGTTTTAGAAGTAATTTATGAATTGCAGCATCACTGTACATAAGTCATGGGATTGTATATATAGTGTAATGTATATATCAGTTGTAGCATCAGAACACCATTTATTAGTTGTAGGTAAACTGTACTATATATTGTACAGTTAAAGCCTCATAGGATTAAAATTCTATACAGGTGGACTTAAAAAGGCAAAAATAAAGTAAAATTTTAATACAATAAACTAAAGTTAAAACCTCACTGAAAAACATTTTTTTTTATTCTTAACTTGTGTATAGATTGTTTACAATTTTAGAATACAAAAAATGGGCTTAGTATGACAATTCTTCCACTAATGTCTGTGGTTGTCATTCTTGAAAAAGTTGCCAGTTTTTAATTACAAATAAAATGGTACTATGACACAGACACCTGTATAGTTTTTAGACTGTACTTTATGTTGTATAGGCATAAGCGCCAATGTTACATATGGAATAAAACTATTTACTCTATCGAAACTGTGTTTAGTTAATAGTTACCTATTAGTTTCACAAACAAAGTATAATATTTGGTGTTATAACATGACTACATGCAATGATGCTAGATTTTTTTTTATTCTCAAACATCACAAGTAATAAAAATATTATTAATTTAATACATTAGAGAGCACAGTCTAAAATTTTATTTCAAAAATGGCAATCACTATTAAATTATTCTGAAAATTTTAGCAAAACTTCAGTGAAACTCCCACTTTTTTATCTCTTTATTATTTACTGAGAAACATTCATATTTATTGTGTTATAAAAATATCCACTGTTAATATGATGAGTATTGGAGAGAAAAGCTAAATCGGAAAAAGTCCAATTTCTCAGGTTCACAATATAGTAGAATTAAATGATTTAAGGAAATAATACTGCGTCTCGTGTAGGAATTTAAAAAAAATAGTTAATATACCAAAATTTTCCTATCATCTGATGGTAGGGCTTGTTCTCGCTCTTTTATTTCACGCTGACGAATGTTTACAGCCTCACTAAGTCATTCACATAGAAAATTATTCGTTTTAAAACTAATACAGTTTCAGACAGAAATAGTTTTATTTCAATATATAAAGAAAATCTAAAGACAGTATTTACTAGAACTATCCATAAATTTAGTGAAAATCAAGCTAGATAAACGTCGCGGGCGATTTTATTGTTAATTAAAATTAAACCAACCAATTTAAACTTTAATTGGATGGTTTAATAGGTTTACAATTAATGTGATCGTGTATTTTATCTGTTTCTATGTTTCCTTCATAAGTAGGAAATAATATTTATTTTGACAAAGACTAGATCATAATGTCTAAATGAAAAAAACAACTACAATGACCTGAACAAAATAACATGTATGGGTAAGATTCTGAGTCAAGGCTAAACTAAAAGACTTTACATAAGTAAAATCCATATTTTGACACACGGAGGTGCAACTTACCCTGAGTCGACTTTGAGCTTTACCCATAAACATTCTATATGCCTTATATATGTTCTGTCACTGTCATTTAAAACACATAAATGAAACAAAGATTTTACTTATCAATAACAATTATAAGATTATATATACCATATAAGATTTAGCACTGTTATCTTTAAGAATACATATAATCACTAAACCAGAAAAATATTAAATGAAAATTGCCTTAGTATACGCTATCGCGTTTATTGTAAACTTACGTCTCGCAAAAAAATTTTTAAGATATATAATTGTATCTAACAGTGTTGCCATCAGCTACCAAACTAGTCGCCAAGTTTTTAATTTCTTTAAAGGTTCATTGATGGAACTAATGTATGATTTATCTTAAGTCATTAAAACCCCGAAGAAATACTTCATGCAACAGTATTACAAGTTCATTTTGGCATCTGATAGGAATCGAAACTCATGTGATAATAGGTAACTCATTTTTATAACGAAGGTTCATTATTCTTTGCGCAATCCTTATAACTCTTTCAATTGCCAAAATGTTCTTGTAGACTACTAAATGTATACTTTTTCATCGATATTTAAAGACAGTTTTTAGTCTATGGCTGAAAATTTTTAACAGTGTTGCCCATTAACAAATCGTGACTTTACAGAGTAAACAACGCAGCAATAACGCAAATGCAGGGTAGTGCACATGAATATACATATTTTTATTAGAACATGTTAGACCTCACGTGTCACTAAGGAACTATCTTTTCAGTTTTCTGCTTTTTAGAAAATTGATTTAAATTTTTTTATCAACATTGAAATTTAAACTTTGAGCATTTTTGCACTTATGAAAAATATTTTTCTTTACCGCTCAAGGCGGATCTATCTATCACTATTAAACCTTAAAAGATAACAAAATGTTTTAAGCATTTGTATATTATGCTTTGAGTAGCTTCGATAAAATTTTAACGTAAATGAATTTTAGCGGGAATGTGGTGTAAATTAATCATACTTTCCAGTGAACTAGAATAGATGTAGAGAATATTAAGGTACAAATTTATAGTAGGAATGATCAGGCCAGTTTAGTGTTTTAAAAGTTTATTCAGACATGATGGCGCGTAGATGTGAACAATATCGGATACTCCAAAGCCTTAATTGTAAATGGTGTAATTTTTTAAACAATTACGGCAAATTTACTTTAAGTTTGTAATTGTTATAAATTATATTTATCATGACATTATAAGCAAATTGAAATACAACATGTTTAAAATGATTTTAGTATTTTTATTTAGAATCGCGTTTAAATAGAAAACAATTGTTTTTACAAGTTTATTGTTACATTGGCTAGTTCGTTTAATCACCTTTATAAATATATAAAATCTATTTTAACAAGCGAGGTTTTACTTATACATTCACAATAAAACATATAATCATAGTACTTTGGTATTGTCAATATTAATTTCTCCGACACGCAGATTACAATCGTAAAAAGAACACGTGGCTACCATAGACAATTCTTTGTTTTCGAATTTCCAATCCGCACCGTAGGCTATACTCTCGTGTTCTAAATATTCATAGAGAATTTCAATTGTGTCTTCTGCTCGAAGTAGCCTAAAACCTCCATACATGCAAGCCGCTAAAATGACGCTTTTTCGATTTGGATGCCATTTAAGGCGCCAAACACCGCCGCCAACATTTGTTTCTGTTAGACAGCGTTTCATCTGCCTAGCGTCCCAAAGACGTACTTTTTCGTCGTAGCTAAAAAATCATATATTTATGTATATCTTAGGCCTGCTAAAAATACTAATTTTCAGATAATATTGTTAGAAGCTTCCTCCACTTCCTGATATCTGCTTCTAAAATCTCTAAAGGGAGGATAAGTGAAGAACTAAGATTTTTCGCACATAGACTTTAAGCAAGTACTAGAGTTTCTTACCAATAGAGTTTATTTTATGTGCACATTTAACATTCGCTCGAACGGTGAAGGAAACCTGTTTTGCCTTGGACCCAAATAAAACAGGCGACGGCGACGGTGTCAGGCACAGGAGGCTGATCACCTACTTGACTATTAGATCTGACTAGGTGATCACGAAACGTTTTATTATACTTGGGTACAGAAAAACGTTACGGCGCGTTACATGGGGAGGCGTCAATAATCTCCAAAAATTGCGTGACGTAATACTTGAACGCTCCTAAGGGAGCGGGTATTGGCCTTAGCCAACCGCTCCAACCGGGATTCAAACTCGTGATCCGCGGCCATGCTTTCACGCTTAACCAATTAGTACGAGTAAGTTACCTCCCCGTTAGTAATTGATGTTCAACATCGACGTGGCTCCGAATAGCTGTAACTCCAGCTTCGTGGCTTCGGTTTGTCATTACTACGTCTGGAGATTTACGGTCGAAACATTTCAACACGCAGTCATCGCCACCTGAATTAAAAAAAATATATTAATTAATTTATCTTAAAGAAAGTATTATTAACGAAATATATCTTCTTTGCGTTTGTATATATGTTTTGTGTATAAAACTCCTAAATGGCTGGACCAAATTCGCACGGAATTTTTGAATGTTTCGAGCTCCTGAATTCGCCAATCCACTGAACTCCAAAATCACCGTTGGTCGCAAAACGCGGATTGCAGACAGTCCAAAATGGTACTGCCAGCAGTTAACCCGCCCAGCCTCAACAGAATTAATCTCAAGATAATGGTAGGGACAATTACGTCACTGTCTCCTTAATAAACATCTCTTTGTCCTTGTGCAGAGGCTATTTCAGCGCAGAGAAATCAGTCACCCACGTAATCCTGGAGCGTGGCTGTAGCTTCCCTATGAGCAGAAACCCACGGAGCAGTGGGGTAGCTCCGTGAAGCCAGCGAAGGGCCCAGGAAACTTTTGAGCTTCTGGAAGGAGCTAGGCTGACTTAATTAGTCCACAGTTTAAGAAAATATTATGTAGGTACATTTTCTTGTTTAATGAAAATAAATAAATTTTAATGAATAGTGAAATGTAAGCCTAATTTAAAAAAAATGGTGCGTGTACTTATGTACGCGCGTAAGAAGTTATACTTCTTTGGCTTTTTTTTTTTTTAATATTACATAATTAATAATAAATATTTAGCGGTAATAATTTAACAATATTTAATATTTAGTAAATTATTCAATTATAAATTAATATTAATAATAATTATTATTTATTATAGTATTAATTCTATTTAATAACTAGGTATGTTTCATAACCTTTTAACTAATTAACCATAGGTCTTTGTGAAAAAGCATTGCTAAATTTCTTTGAAAAAGTAATTAAAACTCCTTTATTTGTTTAAAAGGTCACAAATGTCATTATGGTCATTCAAAATTCTTGGCGTAGCTGCTAACGTCACGCATATTCTATTTCTTTTTACTTGTAGATTGTCTTCTTCCCATCTCGCTCGTGCACGCTCGGCGCCCATACTGATAATTTTGTGTCACGGTGCGCGCGCATCGTAAAATTTCACTCTCATAAATTTTTCATAACGCGCTTAAAGAAGTATAACTTCAAAAAATAAGGACTTACAGTTTTAGTTTCCTTACCTGTATAAAACACATCCAAATTCCAATAATTAAATGCAGCAATCCAAGCTTCATATCCATGAGCTTGCCACTCACCAACTTTTTCTAAAGTATCATCCACCTTCCACAATGTTACATTTCCCGCCGAATCGCTAACAATAACACTTGTATTTCCATTATATTTATTCGTCGACCAATCAAGTGAGAGCGCCAGAACATTTTCACCAATCACAGCTTCGAGCCAACGTTCTAATTTTAAATTGATCAATCGGTATAGATGTAAACTACCCTCAGATGTCACAGCACCAAGAACAGGATGACCATCAATGCAATTATAGCTCCATTTTTGGTCTAAAATACCTGCTGTATCTATACTTTGTATAGGACATATCTCATCCATATCATCGCTGACTTTGAATAAATAAATTCTTCCCAGTCTTTTCTGCTTTTTAGTAGACCCATCTAAAAATTTAAACGTACAATACATATTAACGAAATCAAATCAAGCAAGCAATCGCTATTTGTGAGCAAAATAACGGGTTTCTTAAAAAGTTCGGTACGTATGATGCCGGCAGTGGATTTTATTACTGGCTAGGACAATAACGCGACAAAAGAACGTACGTACATAGCTCCGTAGTTTTAACTAATTTTGGCAATTTAAAAAGTACTTTTTATTATTAAATTGCCGTTAATAAGATGGTTTGTGATTTCGACGCTTTAAGAGGTTTGTGGTTAAATCCATAGACCACAAGCCCATGAACAAAAAATACCTGTGAAATGACCCAACGTGAATTACGCTTAGAAGGCTGTTACTATATCTGAAAATAGCTCTGAGCACTATGCCGTCATTTCTGAGCGGTACATGGTACGTGAGTGAATGGACTTTCTCAGGTACATGCCGTACATTTTTTGTGGAACACATAGGTGTATGGGGTAAATTACTTTCCTCAGAAAAGAGTCATTTTCCGGTGATTTTTATCTGTACGGCAATAACACAGGTTATTAATACTTTAGACCATCTTCAATAAAAGATAAATGCCGTACACTTTTGATAGTCCGCTAGTCTGTGAAATGGCAGATTATACCACCGCCTACCAATACAGGGCGCCCCAAAGTTATCGGACATGAAGGGAAAGTACCTTAAATATCGTAGATAGGGTATTTTACTAAAAGAAGACTTTATGTTATTTTTAAAAGTTAGTAATTCTGCATTCAAAGATTTTCTAAAAATTACTTGCCTCGTCTGGGAATCGAACCGACTTATATGTAAAAAAAACACCCCTACTTTTATGATGCCAATCGAAAGAATGGCCGAAACCTAATAACTTTTCCGAAGTAACAGACTCGTAGGGGATTTTTTTAGGCCGAATACGATAGATAATATTTTTAATTTGATTAAAAATATATATTCACGCAGGTCCTTTCTTTTAAAATACTATGTTACTTAAGAAGAGTTATTAGGTTTTGGCCATTCTTTCGATTGGCATCATAAAAGTAGGGGTGTTTTTTTACATTTAAGCCGGTTCGATTTCCAGACGAGCCAAGTATTTTTTACAAAATCTTTGAATGCAGAATATCTAACTTTTAAAAATAACATAAAGTCTTCTTTCAGTAAAATACCCTATCTACGATATTAAAGGTATTTTCCATTCATGTCCCATAACTTTGGGACATGAATTATATTTTTATTTTTGTTAAAAATATTTTTCCTTTACCTTCTCTGCTGGTACGATAAGGCTGTAAATATACTTTACAGCCTTATGGTAGTATACTCAGATACGTACAGTTATTAATGACCTTAAGGGACACCTCAAACGTCGTCGACGTTTTTATCAGCTGTAAAGAATAATCTGGAGTAAAATGTACGGCATCTGGTTTTTTTTGTTTATTTATATTTGTTACATATAAAATAACAATAATCTTTGAAAATATTACTCTAGGAATATTTGAAAAGTCATCTAAATTTCAGAAATTTCATATATTTTTTATCATAATATTTTTATTTGTTACCATTTATAATGAACGGCTATAAGGTACAACGGTAATATTTCGTAACATTATGTAAAAAAACAAGTTGCCGTACATTATTCTCTGATCTTACAGCTGTAAGAACTCGGTAAATCCTGAAATTTCGATAAATATTTATTTACACCAATATTAACTATAATTTTTGGACGGCATAATTATAAAGCATTATTGTCCGTGTTAAATAATATTTTGAACATGTTGCCGTACATTTTACAATGACCTTAGGGTATATGGGTGTAGGGGTTGGGTTGCGACCCTTGGCTTTCGACCGCTCCGCTGGAAATATGTACGGCGTTTACGGGTAAAGTATCTGTATATGTGTCCAAAGGAATTACACAAATGCCGTACAGTAATAAATGACCTATATTGCTTCTGCAACTATCGTCGAATTAAAAATTTGCACCGACTTCCGGTACCATCACTTTAGTACGGCACTAGGTTTTTCGACATTTATTTTTAATCATCTATACACTTATAACAAAGCCGTACATTAACAATTAGTCGAAATTCCCCAATTGTACCTGAGAAAGTCCATTCACTCACGTACTCACATGTACCGCTCAGAAATGACGGCATAGTGCTCAGAGCTATTTTCAGATATAGTAACAGCCTTCTAAGCGTAATTCACGTTGGGTCATTTCACAGGTATTTTTTGTTCATGGGCTTGTGGTCTACCAGGGACGTTACATGGAGCTTACAATGTACGTACAAAATGTAAAATTAGAAGCATTTAATACGTATCTCTTTTTTGACGTTCATAAGTGTACATTGTGTTACCTAAATAAATAAATGATTTTGATTTGAATTACAACAACTATGTGCTAAGATGACGGTCCTATCTCCGTACTGGTTTAAGAAATGTACGCGACGTATCAGGTCAAAAGAAAAATATTTTAACACATAAACAGATGAACCAATAACAAACATTAAATCTCACCTTCATCGGTTTTATCGAGTTGGTAGGTCCCACACACAAATATGTCCGTGTAGGGCTGCACAGGACACCACTCTACGGAATCGGCGCTGTAACTTGTGCACCACTTGTGTAGCGTTTTCCAAGATGTCATTGTGGCCTAAAATATTTTATCCTAGATTAATTTATTGTTTCAGAGGTTTGACCCTTTAATCAAACTTACAACTCCAGTCGACAACCATATAAAGTCTATTACCATCGAATTAGGCCTTAGTGAAACAGACACACACAAGAGTCTAACACGTAATGTAAGGGCTCATGCACACGTGACACGGCTCGCGGTTGCGCGGTGAGCCGCCGCCAGCGCCGGCGTCCCGTGGTTGCCGTCATGGTGTTCCATACAAGACTGACGACCGGGCTTAGGCCTTAGACCCTTTCTACGTCTCTCTCTCTTCTCTACTAGTGTCGTGGGCATGAACCGTAAGGGTACAACTTCCGTAGATGATGTAAAATTATTGTAGTAATAGAATCTATTGCAAGTTCATAGAGAATTTTTTTTTTAGCGCCCAAATAAATTGTAATCTACTAAAAAATTTTTGAAGTGAAACTTCTTTATCGAGGTTGGAAAAAAATTTAGTGTAACATTTTTTCGTTACGCGTCACATTTTTCGGTTACGCGCCATGTTGCTTTTTGAAGTCAAACTTCTTTATCGGCGTTGGAATGAAACTTCTTTATCGACGTATGGGAGAAATTTTGTAGCAAATCGTCACGTTTTTCAATGATAGTAATAATTCTATTACAATTAATGAAATTCTATAATAATCTTCGTAGTAGTAAGGTAAAATGAAATATTTGTATTCATGTCTATGATAATAAAAGCCTTTTGTTAAACTTTATTTAATTTAACGAATTTCTGTAAAGTTGCATATAGTAGATCATTTTTCGAAAAATAAGATCATAAAGAAGTTTCACTTCTTACGTGTGTACACCTAGTACACGCACAATTATTATTTTTTTAATAGGAAACAGAGTACAATTACATAATATACAGAAAGTGCATACTGTATATTTTACTACTGTGTATTAGCAAACAAAGCAAACCATTTAATAAATAACAATACTAATATTATATTAGGTAGAAGACAACCAAATTAATGGATGGAACCACAATCACTAGTCTACTACAAAATGTAAGAAAAGTCAAAGAAATTGTAATTGTAACATATTTTAAGAATAGGATCTGAAATAAAACTACTTAATTTATTTATTTATTTATAATAAAAATAAGTCCGTACATGAATAAATACAGTATACACTAATTCTTATATTTGAAACATATCAATATATCTATATCGTCTTTTCAGACCTAATTAAATTGCTAACATTTGTACTATTTTATGGTTCATCTCTTACTAATTACATTTTATAGAGAACTAATAAAATAAAATGAAATTATTGCCAACATTCAAATTGAGAAAATTAAATTGTAGCAATGTAGAGCGTAAAAAGAGTTGATCCACTTCTTTCAAGATCTTTTATTTAAATGATCATGTTATAACCACTCTTATTCTTTAAAAGCACGGTTCCATTTTTAATACACAACTGTTCTTAATTCCAATAAGTAAAAATCAAACTTATTGACAGCATCTTTTAACAGATAAATTTAACACCAATTAAACTCTTTATTATTAATTTAATCATTTTATAATAGAGTATTAAACTCATAAGATAACCTGTTTTTACATAACTACAACTAATAAGCTGTAAATTCTCAATTTGAATATGGGGTCCTGTTTTATGCGTAACATTGCCATAGTTAAAATAATATATGAAAAAATACAATATAAAAATATCAAAGTGGACTTCACAAATCATTACTTTTCGGTAAGTACTTAATTAATGGTAACTTAAACATAATTACTGCATATATCTTCTTATCACTACTTATTTCTATCAAGTATACTTCAACGGCAGTTGGACCTTTATTTTGTGAAAGATAATCTGTGGTATTTTACGACTAGTGCTACATTAAATAATCATGAACTTGCATGTCTGTGTTATTAGAAATCTTAGATCATGAACAGTTCTAAAAAAATCCAAAAGAACAACAGACATCAGGAAATCATTATTATTTTAAAAATACTATTGATTTACGTATCAACATTTTATCCAACAGAAAAGTATGTTATTTGTAGCTAAATGCTTTTCGATACCTGAATACAGACTAAATTATGTACAACTTAGCTCTATTTTAAAATAAAAATTATCAAATGAATGAGCACAATTCTTACAAACTAATTCTAAGCTGAGGTTTGAAATCTTGTTATGACATACATAACAATACTAACAGCCACTAAATATCATTGTACTGTAATTTTCGAGAATATTAAATTCTTAATTAATATCAACCACTAAAACATATTTATATTTTTGTCTGAGGTAGATTTTCACAATAAATGTTTCAATCACAGCCCTATGGACATTTATTTAACACATGATAATAATATGTGACTGAACTAACAGATTCACATAATTCCACCATAGATTTTTTTACTATTGATAAAATACTCTCATACGGTTACAACTTTTCATGGCATAGAGATATAAGCCCCTTACTTATAAAAACTAAAATTTTTATTACACTATTTTGATTAAAGTATTATTTCGTCTCTTTCCATAAAATTCTGTTCACTGAGGTGAAAAGCAATTTTTTTGCATTAGTTAAAATGGTGCAAATAAGGTCATTTATTTGTCACAAATAAGGGATAACAACTTCAGTGATTATTCATAGAAATCTCATCCATGTAAGCCCACTATTTTTCTCAACTGCCAAATCTTATCTAATTTACAATAAGTAAATATTTTTAGAATTTTTAAAGTATACCATATCCTTTCCATTTTAAAACATTTTGTCTGTCTGTCCATTGAAAATATGCCATAAATTTAATTTAGCTTTACAAAAATGGAATATAGCACATTGTTGGTGGACATATTTAGATGCCAACTCCTCCCGATTGTGTCACTGTAATAATTACAAACTTTGAAATTATAACAGGAGTTATTATAATTGTTAAAGAGTTGACAAAAAATTAATTTGCCTGAGAATTCGTTTTTAGCACACAGGTTTTTTAGATCACCAACAATGCACATTTATGTGTTTACTCATAATATTCATATAAACTTATACTTTAATTTCTAAGTACCCTGAACATTAAGTTAAATTTAAGCTAACATTTATCTTAAAATCATATTGAACCCATAATGTTTTTGCTATACTTGAAACAATATTATTGTTCCACACTTTTAAACCCAAAAACCTGACATTATCCAACTAATTGAGGTATGTAAAATTGACTGAGGTATGTCAAATAATTACTACTGTCTTGCTGATCGCTCTGTCTCAATGAGGCATTCTCTGACCAGAATTCTAGCATGTACAATACCTCTTTTTAACCGTTCTGCCGAGCTACGACTACCAGAGTAGCTTGGTCTCACTTCTTTTCCCATTTCTTCAATCACGGCCAATAATTGAGCATACTTTGACATACCGTTGTCCTTATCTTTACCATTTGAAGATGGTGACGACGCAGGAACAGTGGATATAGTCGCGTGGCTACTACCCCCGTGACTTAAATCCTTATGGCTGCTTTTTCCATTCATAGGTATAGCTGTTACAGTAACATCGCTTAGTTTAGACTCGACTGCTTGGATGTCCATAGCTTCCATCCTGGAAATCATGTACAGCGATGATAAATAAGACGCCGACTAAACAAATGTAATATGATCTTAACTTACCAACCAAATAAATATCACAACACTTGAGCTGACGTTACACGCGCGATTAACAAAAAATCTTTGACGAAAACGTATTATAGTTAATAAATCATTAATTTAGGACATACCCGAATAGTTGTTTTCTTGCTCCGACGATTTGGATATCTTTCTTTGATTGTTTTCTTAATTGAATGACAACAATGTAAACAGGTTTGCAGTTTACACTACGCAGATCCACTTTTTGAAAATGGACAGTAAAAATTTAAGGTTGTTGCTTGATAAATATATAAATTTAATAAAATGTTTTTTTATTAAATAGGTATTCAATTGATAAAAATCATTGACAGAAAAATAATGACAAATGACAACTTTTGTTGTATACCATGACCATGGATACAAGTCTTTCAGTCGGATTTTTTTTTACCAAGTGTAGCAGTGTATAGCTTCGATATGATAGAATTGTTTACATTAATTAAAGTAATATTATATCGCAAAGTAATCAACATGAGGAAATGGAAAGTGGAAATATATGTATTTAATACGATCAAATATATATATTTCGTGTCAAATCAGAAAATATTCAACAATTGACAATCGTATTTTGAATCCATCATATCCATCACCATGACTATTAACTTCAATTATTATTTTTTTTCTATGGATTATTTTCTGCTAATTTTTTGTCTTATTCCTTTTGTCTGCATAGTATTAAGCATTCTTAAAACTTAAAAGTTCAATCCTAATTTTAAAAGCTCACATATAGCTAAACCCGATGTAGATGTATAACATTTTATATTTTATTAAACAAAAATGTATTGGTTGTTCCAATTGATTGGGCAGCCGTTCCGATTGAACAAATGTAGGCAATGCAAGTAAATAAAGGAGCCTGCATTAAGTGATATCTCCGGCGACAGCGCCCACTATATCATTATGTGATTAGTTCAATTTGTGAAATAAGAAGCTGAAGAAGATGTCTGGAGAGGGCGAGCGGGCATCGCGTCCTAATTCTTTGCTACTTGAAGCCCCGGCACCTGAAAGGGAACCTCTGCATTTTAATGTAAATCTAGTTGGAGCTCCTCCTGAAGTAGAACAACTCGTAAATAACATAAAACAAGTTGCAGAGGATTTCCTGTATCATTGGAAAACATTTCCTATCGGTAAGAATCATAAGAGTTAGTACAAATTAATGTTGTTTAAAATTAGACCTGTGTGTTAGATAATATTTAATTTAAGCTTCCAAGTACATGAATGATTTACAACAAATATCTTGGAAACTAAAACTTATCAAGATGATCCCCAATTAATTTGATTATTATTCTAACTTAGAGAAGAGTTCAAGTTTTATAAATATCAGTTTGATTGCTTTTCAAGTAACGGTGGCTAGAAGTCAGTTATATATAGCCTTTTATTCAGATCGACTTAGGTACACACATCGATCATTATATTAAACTAGTTATTAGGAGGTTGAAAAAAAACTATTACAAATGGTAGTATATATATTGTATTGTAGCTTTTTTAAATTTTATTCAAGGCAAAATGAATTAAAATTGTAAATCTTAATTTCTTCTGCAATTTCTTGCTTTACATGTAAGGGATTATTTCTTTTTTATTATTAAATCTATGGAAGCATATGGCTAAGTAAAATCTTTCAATACAAGCAGTATTTTTACTTTTAGTTTTACCCCAATCTCGATTCACCGGGGCAGGAAATCATCCTTCAGATATTATAGTTGCACCACCATGTGATGAGATAGATGCAGCGGCCCTGGATGCTGGGGTTGAGCCACATCCTCTATCACCAAAGCAGCTACATTCAATTAGAGAAAGAGGGTATGTAATTCAAGTGACATAAGTGCAAATAAGAAACAGATCTAAACAGACAAATAAATTAACAATGCTAAGACTAATAAATGTAAAAAATGATTCTTTCAATCACTTATAATTTGGTATATTTATTCAACCTTATCAAATCTGGTAACAGTTTATCAACTAAACATTTATTCTTGACTATTCAACTTGTCTTGAATATGTTGTTGTATATAGAAAACAAAATATTTAATTTACTATACTCAATTCATTAATAGTAATTTTAGTTGTCAGGTGTAAGATATGTGACAATTTCTTTAATACACCTCAAACAATAGAACAACAGGAAACAAAAAGTAAGCTGTGGCCCATTCAACAAATTTATTATGTAAATGTGTAACAAAGAAGTCTTGTTTAAAATTCTATTCATACAAAGCTTTTGTGTGTTGCCATTAAATTTAATTTTAGTCTTATTTAAATGCATAACAATTTTCTATATTTATTTTTCTTAAGTATTTTAAAAAATATTTTTTTATTATAATGTGTTTTTTTACTATTAAAACGTAATAGTATTTTATAGTTGCACTAAACATATATATCAAATAAAACATTTAAGACTTATTTCTTTTTTGCAATATAATATGAACAGTAATCATCCGACAAGGCAGACATTTCTAAATCTTTTTCTTAAATAAGTTTTCTTCATATGTCTATGTCGCAGCCAACTAGCTTATAAGGCGTTCAATTAACAGCCTAGCCTTTTAACTAAACGGTGCCGTTTATTAGTGAGTAGGTACTTTGTAGGACTGTGTGGTATAGAAACCAGGATTTTATCCCATGTAAATAATCCACGATGGCAGTATACTTAGTTACTAAAACAATGCAGTAACAATTTAAATCATTTACATGAGGACGACGCTTTTTGATTACCATTCCCCTCATCATTAATTTCAATTAACCGTAGTGACTCAGAAAAATTTCAATGTGAATTTACACAGACAAACATTTTTTAATGAAATATTATATACTTTAAGACAGACTTAAACATCGCAACACCACTATGTGCAACCAGCTGCTCATTGAAGTATTTCCGAACCAATTCCACTTAGGGTCCTTCAAGAAAAAAGCGTTTTAATTATTAAAAGGCCTATGCACTCGCGAGCCCGCTTGCGAGTGTCTATGGATGTTGGTATCAGTTAACATCAGGTGAGCCTCCTGCCCGTTTGTCCCCTGTTCTATAAAAAAAAAGTGCGTGCAGACAAAGTACACATGTCACAAGTGAAACTTCTTTGACAAACAAATTTTAACTCTTGTTCATATTTATACAAATCTAAAACATAAGTTTTCCGAGACTTAGAGGGAGGGTATAAGGAAGATATGTTAGGAATTTAATTGTCATTAAAATATAAAGTGTTCAAAATTAATGCAAATAAGATAAAATTTAAGTATTTAATTCATTTCTTCTATAATAAAAACACATGGCATTTTAACTTACAATTCGTCATTTGAGATTTCAATAAATTATTTTGCATAAAATATGAAATACTAATATTTCATAAATTCTCTTTACGTTATTATAATTTTAAAAATAGAATTTCTAAAATGTAATTCACCCTTCTCACTCTCTCTCAATCCCTTTCGATAACAATGCTGCACATTTTCGTGACGTTCCGTAAAAATTTTACCGTCATGCGCCTAAGAAGTTGCACTTCAATATGATACTCTTCAACTCCAATCAGTCCTGTATTTTTGTACCCAATTTGGATACTTTTTTAGAATCTAAACCGCTGATATCCCTTAGATTCACAACAAAAATATTATCTTAAAGACGGTTTTGCTGTCACTATTGGTAATAATTACCAGATTTAATATAGCATACAGAAATACAAAGCTACTAATAAGATCTGTTGTGAACACTAAACTAATTGACCAAAGAAATTAAACGAATCCGAGATCATTTAGAAAAATCATATTTTTTAGCTTTGAGAAGTTCATTCATAATCATGTTAGTACATAAGTTTTTGTTCTTAAGCTGGCACAAGGAAAAATTTATGCCGAAGAAGTTAAATACTAAGCAATTGGATACAATACGCCAAAGGGGGTATGTTATATGTATATGTAGTATACCTTTCTGTTTGTCTATGGGCAGGAATTGTATGGTTATAGCTTGTTCATACGAATTTCTTACTTGCCAAATAAGGCATAAAATAAACAATAAACCTTTTTAGGTCTTGGCCTCAGGTTTCTGTATCTGTTTCACAATCATTTGTTAATCTAATAGGCAAGTAGGTGATCAGCCTACGGTGCCTGACACACGCCGTCGACTTTTTGAGTCTAAGGCAAGCCGGTTTTCTCACGATGTTTTCCTTCACCGTTCGAGCGAATGTTAAATGCGCATATAGAAAGAATGTCCATTGGTGCACAGCCGAGGATCGAACCTACGACCTCAGTGATGAGAGGCGCACGCTGAAGCCACTAGGCCAACAAAGTGTATTTTACATTGCACATATTATAAAATTATAATTTACGCAATCAAAAAGCATGTATTAGTTTTCGCGCGAAATTTGTGGACAAAAATACAAAACTAAAAGTTAACGGATCTAGTAGAAGCGTTAACGAAAGTAATTTTAAAATTCTATTAAAAATACAATTCCTGCCTAAATAAACCCCCCCCCAAACGCACATTGCATGTTACCATGAACACCATTGACCATACAGAATTTATTTATAATTTACAATATATATTTAATCTGTCTCCTGTGTGATTTAGAATTAAATATACTTATTTACCTGTGTATAATTCCAATGCAAACTCTTCCGGTCTTCCCTTTTGTAGATTGGTCAATTTTCTTACTACGCCCGGTTGCAATACTACGAGACGTAATTTTAATAGAAACAAAAATTATTGGTTATAATAGATTTTTTAATGTGGTAAAACCGATAAGTACTGGCCTCGACAATACATCAATTTTCGCATGACTTTTCATCTGCCGTGTCTAGCTAGATTGTGTTGTTGTTTGTAAGAATTTTTTAGCCTGTAAGTACCTAATCCGCAAAATGTAAGAAATCTAAAAAAAAAGGGTCCGTGTACTTATGTACGCGCGTAAGAAGTTATACTTCTTTGGCAATATTAAAAATAGTTTGGCTTTGTTCCACCTCCAGTTTTTGATGTTTCACAGCGATAAGATGAAAACTCTTTTTTTGTATTCAATTTAGTGCAGTTACACTGATTCTTCAATTGTTTTTTGTCTTTTTTCCTTATATTTGCTAGATAAAATCAGAAAAATTACATGTTTTGATTAAACAATGTGGTTAATTTTTTAATCAAAACATTACTCGATAATAATAATAATACATACGGATAGTTAACCTCAATTGTATTGAAGCACTTAGGAAGGTTGATGAGCACAGTTTTTTCACAAATATTAATTAGTATTGGTTTAAATATTCAATTTAAATCACTTCTGATTGTAATTCAAAAAGCATCGCTAAATTTCTTTGAAAAAATAATTAAAACTCCTTTATTTGTTTAAAAGGTAAATGACAAATGTCATTATGGTAGGGAGCCCACGATGCTAAATGGGGATTTACTCGAGCGTCGTAGAGACCTATTGGGATGCAAAGCTTAGATAATAAGAAGAAAAAAATGTTATATGATAAATTCCTTTTCATCGGTGGGGGAAGCGGCTATAGATAGTTAAATATGTAAAAAAAACTGTTGCATGGACATCCTCGAGCGCGTCAGATATTGATAGCATCTATGCCCTACGTATTTTTAATAATGTACGTATGTTAATCTGATCGTTTGCATGATGCGGGTGGTAGTATTTAAGGGTTGAAAATGAAAAAAAAATTTATCGAGCGCGTCAGATTTTCTAAGGGAGTGTTAAGTGCACCAAAAAAAAGCTCTCATTCACTAATCTGACGATTTCGATGGGACGCAAACCCACAGCCATTTTCGTAATTTGCAAAAAAAAAATCGCAATTTTGAAATACTCAAGCGCGTCAGATTAAAATATATGTGGTTCATCTTTATGTTCTAAACGTACTGTCTCATAATCTGACGATTATCTAGAGGGATTCGCCTGATCTGACAAAAAAAATTTAGAAAAACGGTTCACCTAAAGGGCCATCCCTGCAACTTCCCGCTAATTCCATTCCTGGGCGCTTAAAATTGATATTTTGAGCTCGCTGAGTTCAAAGAAATAACATTTCTATGCATTTGAGCTCTCCCAGCTCGAAAGTCTGATAGAAGTTTCATAGAACACTATTTTTGGAATTTTCAAACCGCAATAACTTTTGAATGGATCAAGCAATTTTCACGCGGTTGGCGGCATTCGACGCAGTTTTATCATCCTCATAAGTAATTTTAATTGATCGAACCACAAATTTCGGAGTAATCCCGAATAAACACTTTTTCGGGTTTCTTTCGTTGACGATATCTCTCGAACGAATCAACCGCTTTTGACCAGCTTAGTGGCGATCAACGTGGTTTTTCAAGCTCAAAGGCGGATTAGTTTTTGAAGTTGATCGATAAAGAAACCACTTTAAAAAAAATATTTCTTATTTTTTTAAGATTTTTCAAAATTTCTCAAAATGTATCGGTCCGAATCGGTTCAAATTCACAGGAAATGTAATTTTGAGGGAAATATTTAGAACGCCGTTTAGTAGATTCCGATCGGTTTAAGGAAATGTAGGCATCACGCAGCTGCACGCATTTAACTTTATCGACGAATTTTTGTTATTTCGGCTTGCGGAAATCGTCAGATTATATATTTTTCATTATTCTTGAATTATTTCCTTCAAAATAAAAAAAAAAATTAGCCACGCTCGAGAATGTCGAGATGACGTTTTTTTTTACAACTTTGTTGCCCTCCCTTTTTTTCCGTCACTCTCAAATTGTCAGATTAGTGGAATATACACTTTTTAGGATGTAATTAACTCACCCTACCTTAATCTGATGCGCTCAATTTCTGATGGTCAATTTTTTTTTACTAATCTGATCCTGTCTCCTTCACAGGCGGCCTTATATATGGACCTCATGTTTTGTGGAGGTACTTAACCGAGTACAAGCTATCCCCCTGTATATTAATCTGCCGCGCTTTAGTAAATCCCGAAATCCCCTCTTGGGCTCCCCTACCATTATGGTCATTCAAAATTGTTGGCATACGAACTTCACGCATATTCTATTTCTTTTTACTTGTAGATTGTCTTATTCCTATCTGGCTCGCGCACGCTATAATCACACTCCTAATTTTGTGTCACAGGTGCGCGCGCATTGTAAAATTTCACTCTCATAAATTTTTCATAACGCGCCTAAAGAAGTATAACTTCAAAAATAAATCAGTAGCGCTACAACCTTTTTAAATCTGGGCTACAGATTTCTGAATCTGTCCATGCATTTTTCAATGTAATTCATGTTAAATGCGCACATAGAAATAAAGTCCATTGGTGCACAGCCGGGGACCGAAACTACGATCTCATGTATGAGAGTCGCACTCTGAAGCCTGAAGTAACTCTTGAAGTTATAAAACCTGTATTCCCATACAAGTAAGAAAGTCTAGAAGAAGGATATAATGTTTTTAATTTATTCGATCCAACTTCTAGGACATATGAGCAAATTCATTTTTATAGCTTCCACAACTGGGGCCGTTCAAGTATTACGTAAGCCGATTTACTGCAATTTATGCCCCCTCCCCTCTCTTGTCAGCAAAAGTAAGCAAAGCTCTCAAAAATTAAGCGTATTAATTTTTTGTAGGAATCCTCGAAAATGCATTTCGTTTACAAGTATAGACAATGTGTGGGTAATATGTATAAAAAACTAAATAATTACTGTTGCTGTAATCACCAAATAAGAAAATCAAAGACCAGGGGGGTCTCCCCTAAAGTGCTTATTACTTATTACGTTACGTACTTGAACGACCACACTGCTGGAAGAGCTAATTTTGCGCGGAATCGTGCAACCTACTAGCTAGTGCTCCTCCCTGTTAAATATGTACTTGGCCAACTATAAGAAAGGAAAAGAAAAATAACTTATATACATTTACAGCGAGTTCGAAGTCCCGTCCCGACATTTCCCGGGTCAGACCCACGTATGGCGCGTAGCTGGATGGTTGCAACGTGGCAGAATTCGGGCGAGGGAAGAGCTCTATCGCCATATTGCGAGGGCTGTGGCGCTGATCGTTGTGGTAGCTAGAGATAGGCTGTTAAGGGATGAAGCTATCTCGGTCGTAGCTGGCGCGAAAGCCTTCCTTGATGGGCTACACAGGTATTCATTTATTTAAAATTTTGTTAAACTCTTTTCGTTATTATTAACCCTGTCGGTCTGGGTAGCGTATGTAGAACTGAGTGTGCTCTCTGGTGAATTCTCTCTGGTGACTGTATTAATAGAAGAATTTTGGGCAATAGTTTCGGCAGGGGCAGGAGCAAGGGCTGAGTCTAAATGTGGTAATAGACTCGTATTTTGGCCCGTTGTATTAAGTGAAAATCTCGTCATGAGCACTGTACACATTACATAGGTATTCATCTTTTCATCTACAATTATTAGAATAAAAATTGTGTGCGTACAAAGTGCACATGTCAGAAGTGAAACTTCTATGGCAAACAAATTATTAAGTCTTGTTCATATTTATACATAGGTATCTAAAAATTTCCGAGACTTAGAGAGAGGGAAAAAGGATGATATATATATTATATATTATATTAAGTATATAGATAATTTTTTTTAAATTATTTCTTCGATAACAAAAACACGTGGTATTTTAATTTACAATTTGTCATTTGAGATTTGAATAAATTATTAAGCATAAAATATAAATTATTAATATTTCATAAATTCTCTTAACGAAAACTTAATTTAAAAATTTTCAGTAAGGTAGTTCGCCCTTCTCACTCTCTCTCTCAATCTGTCTCAATCGCTCTCTCCCATTTCTTCGACAAAAACGCTGCACATCTTCGTGACGCTTATATTATTATTATTGCGTTTCATCCGTAAAAATTTTACCCTCATGCGCCTAAAGAAGTTTCACTTAAAAAAAAATATGTACCAGAATTTTAAAGGGAGATCTTGAAGCGCCTATACTTCTATAAGAATATATATTGAATGAAAGAAGTCGTATATGTTTATGTAAGTTAAAAAAAACCAGTGGTACTTCGAGCTGTTAGGTCTGGGCTTTAGATTTTTAAGCCATCCTTCCAGCCTTCGGTCTAACTTTTTGGGATTACAGCCGATTTCTTACGATGTTTCCCTTGACCGTACGAGCGAGTGTAATGTAAAACCCTTATAATAATTTATTACTATTACAGGCTTTTAGATTTAGCTTTTGGTATGCCTTCTTTGGAAGCCAGAGATCTAGACAAGAAAATACGAGAGGAGCGTTCGAGATATTTAGTCGCTGAACTTATATGCAAGGTATTCTAACTTTAAAAACCTTTTCCTTTAACTAGCTAACTTATGTAACCTACTTTACTTTTTTTTCTATATGTGTAATTATGTGTATTATGGCAATGAAGTGTAAATAAATAAATAACTTTAATCGGCAGCTCATGTCTGAGCCTCGAGGTCAGCATCCGGAGCGGATCTGTTTCTACCGGTTTCTCTCCAGCACCTCTCTTACCCTCTATAACCCCATGAACCCCATGTAATTTAAACATACAGTACCAGACAAACTTCCTTTGATATTTCTTGTTTTCACTAAACAGATACAATGTTTTAATATAGCCAGAGAACCGCGAAGATGTAGCGGCTTTAGCGGCGTGGGTGACGCGTGCGATGCGTCGTGCCGCGTCCGAAAAGAGCGACGCGCGGGACGTACAACGCGCCGCTCCGCGCGTTCCGCACATTTATACTACGCCGCAGCGGACACAAGTAATATATATTTTGATTGTTAATATATACAATTCTCACATGTGTCACAGTGTCACAATGTTCGTTCCCATACCCCTCCGATATTTTTTATGCATATTCAGTAAGTCTGAGAATCGGCTACTATTTATCTTTCAAACTCCAAGTGATAAGGAGTGTCCACTCCAAAAATATGTATTTTTTATTTTTTAGACCATTTTTTTTTAAAAGAAAAAACTTTTTAACCGGATTAAAGTTATGTGGAACAAAGTTGCCCGCTGAAGTATTTCCGAACCAATTCGACTTAGGGTCCTTCAGTAAAAGAGCGTACCGATTTTTAAACAGCCTGCAACGCACTCGCGAGGCACTGGCATTGAGAGTGTCCATTTAACATTAGGTGAGCCTCCTGCCCGTTTGCCCCCTGTTCTATAAAAAAAATACCCATGATAGAATAATGTTTGAATGATGTTTATACTTCCATTTAGTACTTAGACGTGCTGGAAGTTTGTCGATTTGTTTTTAATATTTATTATATGTATAAATGTAATTTAATTAAATAGTGAAACAACTTTGGTTCACATTGTTGTATATACATACTTTCTTTTTGTTTACTTTCATTAAACATTGAAATCATTCTTTGAAACAGATTTTTACCATAACAAACATTATATCATGCTCCTTATCACATCCCAAAGCAATAATAAAATAATAATAGTCACACACTTAAGTTACTACAAGTACTTGTAAAATAAAATAGTGTACGCAAATATTTTACATTTCTTTTTTTATCTCTATAATACTTTTTTTTTCTTTTAGGTGGATTTAAGACTGTACAGACGAGAGCTGCTACGCAAAGCCGCTGGGTCTCTACAGGCGATATTAGAGCGGGAGTCGAGAGGCTGGTTCCTTCACTTTCGCGAAAAGAGAGCGGCTCATCTTGCGAGCCAGAAGGTGCCTATCAAGGATATTGAAGAGGTATGTAGCCAGTATAAGTACATAGTATTATTATTATTTTCTTATGCCAAGTTCACATTTCAAGGATCGTCATGCACGCTTAAATGTCATTGCTTGTGGCGGGGTCCATGCGTCGGGTTGTCTCTCTCCCTAAAATATGGCGAGGGGGCCGATGGCTGGCCAAGCGTCATGGTCGTGATCGGGTACTGCTTGTGGTGACTGGTCGTACTTGAATTCGTGTATTTGGTGATGTAGGTTATTTTGACTATGTGTTTGCGTGTTGCTCCCACGAAAATGTAGGTGCGTGCTCCTATTTCAACATGCCTCCTGCTGATAGAGGACAAGTCTTTGTTTTAGTTTTTTTTTTTTATGTTATTATTATTAATTACTTGATGTATCATGTGGAACATGGTGTAATGGTTGCAGCTCCTTACAAACAATGTGTGGAAAAAAAATGATGATTAAAAAGAGTGGCGGAGAGTTTATTGCCAGTTCTTCTCTTCCGTTCTACGCCCTTGATTTGAGAAGTAAATGTAAAATTAGAAGCATTAATATGTATTTCTTTACTGACGAGTCATAAGGGTACATTATGTTACCTATGTGATTAAATAATTTTTTTACTTAACTTTACTTATTATGTATGAAGGAAGGTGATGCTCTTTCTCTACCTAAGATCCTCGACCGGTCTGACTGGCCTGAAGGTCCAAGTGGGTTCTTTGCTCGTGTTTATCGAGGCGATGTAATTGTTGGCAGCCTGCTGATGCAGAACGCCAATGGGGCGGGCGTATTTAATTTTTAAGCTTCACGTAAAAACGACTCAAAATACGGCTGAAAGTATTTTTTTTTTTAGGAAGTATCAACGGCCGCTATGCGCGAGTACGTATCGCGCGTGTGCGCAGGCGTGATGTCGTGTACGCAACTGGCGTCTCTGGGCCCGAACGTTCCCGAACTGCTCGCCGAACAATTGCGAGCGGCCGCCGCCATCAATAGGTTAGGTTAGCCCTGTATTAAACGAACGCTTAAACAGAGAGATATTTATTTATTTATAAAAGCTGGCCATCGCTTGGCACACTGATATATTGGTACAAGATAAATAAAATACAATATTACTACTAATACTTAGGGGCTGTCCATTAATCACGTGAGGTTCGAAAGGGGGGAGGTTGTTCGGTAAAAATCACAAGGGGGGGTAGTAAGATATCACGTGTACTTATTTTTTCGTCAAACGCGTGATTTCTAAACCGAAAAGCGGCTTAAAAGATTCGCTGCGTAGTGCGCGTGATGACGCCGAGTGGCTTGATGAAACCGACGTTGATCTTCAACAAAATACAGTGCCAACAACTGACTTGCAAGATGCTTATCCAGTTTTTAGTATAGAAGAAAGTCTTGCTAATCTGTGGCAATGTACATTAAATATGTTCATGTACTAATACAATATATGTTTTTCGCATGATTACACCATTCCTGTAATATTATTTTTATGCCAGTCAAAAGCAACCTTATTATTCCTCAACTCTCACCATTGTCGAATGCTCCGTTCGGACCTCGCAGAGTAAATATACGTTTAAGAAACAACCACAAACAGATTTAATTTCTTTACGTCTACATCGGCTGGTTGAAACTGTTTTTCGCCGCCTTTTTAATCTTGTCTTTTATTATTTTTTCACCTATTTTGTTCCCATACATAATCAGTAACTTAACATAATCGTATGGGTTAGTTAAGGATTAATCCTAAATTAAATTTTTCAGGGCTCAAGAAGGAGTTCGCCGTAAACTAGAAGCCGGTCTAGCAACAGCCGAGGCTAGGTAAGTAATACCTGAGACACGTGAATAGTTGTTGTATGGATATGTTGAGATATATGTTAAATAAAACACTTTGTTTGAATCTGGATAACAACTGGCTTTAATTGTTTAAAACGTGAGCTAAGATATCATGGGTTGCGACGCTGGATTAACAAAAACTAAGTTGACTTATTGAAGAGGCATATCGGGAAACGAGAATGTAAATACAATTTATGAGTGTGGTAAATACTAAAGTGCTCGTTTTGGCTTCAAGTGTGCGATGATGTTTACATTTTGCTTACGATTTTATTAATTATTAATAATACGTATATATGTAACTTAACTAATGTTAGTATAATATTATAATAATAATTATTATTTATTTATTGCAAGAATATGGTAAAAAAATGTGTAAGGTGGTACAATCGTAAGTTCGCATATTCTGCCACACACAAAGGCGCGCAAATTTGTCTTAAGAAATTTTACATTTTACATTATTCTATTATTATAAACTCAATTCTTATATTATTTGTATCGTACATATCATACTTTATTATTATTTATATCAACTACAGTGTCTCGCGCAAATAATCATTTATTTTTCAAAATAGTATCGTGATCCATGACTTTTTGACCATTCTGTATATAGAGATTTATTAAATATTTTCTTAGACTTCGTGCTTCCCATCCAATACTGTCGCGCGCGGACGCCTGGCGTAAAGAGAGATTGGCCCTTGCTGCGCAGAGGTTAAAGGACGAATTGAGATGGACCGGTATGGAGGATGCGGCAGCAGCGATGCAAGCCCATAAATTACATCAGCATAGATACTTTTTGCTTCGCGATCTGACGTTTATGAGGGATCGGGAGCCTCTGCTTTTAAAGGTGAGATTGTATACATTATTGTATTTTCTTTATTTACCAATTAAAATATATTTTTGAAGTGAAACTTCTTTAGGCGCATGAGGGTGAATTTTTACGGATGAAACGCAATAATAATAATATTAGCGTCACGAAGATGTGCAACGTTTTTGTCGAAGAAAACAGAGAGTGCGACCGATTGAGAGAGTGAGAAAGGGCGAACGTAGCATTAGGCAAATAGCCATGGAGCGAGAGTAGGGAGCAAGCAAGTGAGAAAGATCGAGAGGTGAGAAAGGGCGATAGTGAGAAAGATTGAGAGAGAGAGAGTAAGGGAGATCGAGAAAAAATACACGCTATTGGTTGATGTATTCGTTTAGTAGTTACATATTAGAACTTTTTATTAGAGCGTGTGACACTCATCTCGGAGGTCTTAGGTTCGATCCCCGGCACCGTGCACCAATGGACTTTCTTTATAAGTGCGCATTTAACATTCGCTCGAACGGTGAAGGAAAACATCGGGAGACAACCGGCCTTAGACCAAAAAGTCGACGGCGTTTGTCAGGCACAGGAGGCTGATCACCTACTTGCCTATAAGATTGACAAATGATCATGAAACAGATACAGAAATCTGAGGCCCAGTTCTAAAAAAGTTGTAGCGTTACTGATTTATTTTTCATTTATGCCATAAGCATTGTTCAGTCGGCTGTTACCTAACAACGCCAGATTTTCAAAATACCCTCAAACTTTAACAGGAACTCCGGGCAGCGAAAACTCCTACCCGCGAATTTTCTTGGGCTACCCGTATCTGGTTGCCTCGCAATTGGGCTGTGATACGTCACTTCCGAGGCCGATCGGAAAGGATACCGACGGTTATCAGTAGCCGCGCTACTAATATTGTAACGCCGCGGTCTGATCCGTCCCAACCGGTGTTCCTTGCTGATAGGGAAAAGGTCCGGTCTACGAGCACGAGGTGGCCGGGGTGGAGGCTGCTCAATTTTGCCCACAGGTTAGATTTTGATTTTGATTTCTGTTGTCAACAACACCTCCCTACCTGACTACCCTCCCTATTCAAAAGGGAGGGTAGTCACCGATAAAAAAAATAATCACAAAAAACTTAAATTTTTATAACAGCTAATACTTTGATCTATACTCTGATTTTTTATTCCATAGAATTCTGACAGCTATCATTTTTTGACATGTCAGAGATTATAAACTTTTTTGGCCGGAAACATTTTTCAATTTCAATACGAGTCCGTATCTGAGTCTATACAAACATTTTATTTGTTAGTGAATGTATCCATTTTATTAAGTGCGGTGCTCAATATTAAAAGTGGTTTTACGGCAACTGATAATTACGTCCCTTGTCATGTCACAAACAGAAAAAACTCACAAGTAATGATAAAAAAATTTTTTTTAAATGTTTACTAAACCTGGAATTGGTAGGCAGTGATGCCAGCTAAAGAATAAAATGAAGTCATTAAAGTTAATACCATATATTGTTCGTGATATTGAAATATTTGTTATTTTTGTATTAGGTCACTTAAGTAAGTTAATATTAATATTTACCTTTTTGTAAAACATAAAAAAATACGTAGCATTTTATTTGATTGTCCTAAAATGGGTCAAATTTGTCCCATTTTCGGTGGAAAACTTTTTAGTAGCAACATTTATGAAATGTCAGAATATAACATATATGTTGTTAGTTGTATAATCTAACGCCAACAATGTATAATATAAATTTCCTTTTCTAACATTTATCTTTAAAAAAAATATGTAAAATGTCCTTTTAAAGCAATGTGGCGCCCCCATTCATTACATAATACCAAAAGGAAATATATAGTTTGAGTTTAATATTACAGAACTTGGTGCTGGACCTGGAACATAATGTTCCTCTTCGGTGTAATGGTTCCTTGGTGTTCGCCGCTCTCTCTACGCACTTTGCTCTGTGTCAAACCGTTCGTACCTGACTTGGAATTGTCACAGGTATTCATTTAATTTTTCACTTTGAATTCTCGTTTTTACTTTTTAGCTTATAGCGTCACATAGCACACACATTTGCCCCACGGTTCTATGAATTCAAAATATAGATTTCCACGCCAAAACATAATAACAGACAAAAAGTATGTAGAAAAAAAATCGATAAAATTTTGAATGCGTAGTGCAGTTTTCTATTTCTAATCGAGTTCAAACAATTGTTTATCAGTTGTACGTGCACGTGCACGAACTATGTCTCTTATGTATACGTATAAAAACGTATCCGTATGCTGAAATCCATACATTTTTGATGTACGGAAGTTATACTAAGCCAAATCTGATGAATTCGAAATCAGATCAATCTAAATGTTACCTTAAAAGTCATGCGACCAAGGAAAGTTTCATTTTGCAATATACAAAAACGCTTTTTTCATAAATTATATTGTGAATTTTTGACGTGACAACGTCTAATAAATCGAAATATAGCACGCACGAAAAAGCGTGACTCATTGTCCCGTTACGTCCATTGTACGCAAGCGCCGCATCTATCTCTCTTCCGTTCGAAGACTTGCAATCATTTATAAATGTTTTGTTATGATGTTGTCACGTTAAACTATCGTCCGTAAACCATTTTTTCCACTACAATTAACAGGTTAAAATTTTACTATTTCATCTTCATGTTCTTTTAGGTGAACGGAACATTGTTCCCGAAACGCAGCAGCGAGACTCAGACGATGTGGTCTCGTCTGCTGCAGCTGTGGCGACATGTCTCCAAGGAACGGACCAGATTCGAGACGGAGCCTGATACAGGTATGATTTTTTATTATTATGAAAGTATTATATTGTTTTTAATTATATTTTAATGCACCTTTTCCTTTTTCGCGTTGATTATACAAAGGACGATTTTTCATATTGTATAATAGTCTGTGTTAGTTTTTGCATAGAAGTTATTTAATTTCTTTCCTTATCGCACTTATGTTAATGAATGAGACAGACTCATTACTAATAGCAATTTCTACGGTTTGAAATATTATCTAGGAGATTTTAGGTTTAAAAACTACTTTTAATATCATTATTAGACATCGTTATTAGCGGGCGTCGCGACGCGTCGTGTGGGTAAAGTGCGAGCACAAAAGACACGAATAATTATCGTACAGTATTTAATTTAGAATGATTCCTTTTAATATTACAAATAACACTTTAGCTAAAATTATAATGAGCAGCGGGTTCAAGGCACCGATCTCACTTTTAATCACAATCTACTCAACCATAAATCACATAGACCCGTAGTACTACCCTGTGTTCCCTGAACGCACTGTCCAAAGTCAAGATGGCGTCTCGACCCCACTCGCGTTTCCTCGGCTCTGATTGGTCGAAACAATATATGTACTTTGACTTTGACTTAGAAAGAACCAACCAACCAGGCTCCAGAAGATAAACTACTCCTTATATGGAAATTGTATTCGTTTTTACAACAAACTTCCAAACGAAATTAGAGAATTTTCACTAAATAAATTCAAAGCACTTGTTAAACGTAAATTAATCAATAAAATTTGCCCCAAACAATTTGTATGACTTAAAACTTAGTGATTAAAAATAGTGACGGACAGTTTCTTACCAGTTCTTCTTGCCCGCTCTACGCCCTTGACTTGCGAACTGGTAGTAAAAGTAAATTTACAATTAACTTAACTTCTTTTCTACGAACAATAAAGTTTTATTAAATAAAAACAAATCGAATCAAATTAAATTATGATTCTCAAAAGAAATAAAAGGAATTATTAACCAAAGCAACAAACAATAAAAATCAACGCTCAATTGACTCGATCAGAACCATTCCCGACATATATTTGATTTTATTTAAATTATGGATTGTCTTTATTTATTGATCCGTGCGTTGTTCCAGGTCTTTTAGGCAAGGGTCTATCCAGACAAGCCAACCGTGTATGGAACTATGGTATTGTGGGGGGAGTGGGCTCGCTCGTCTTACTCCTTCTGTTTCCGATCGCGGCGTTGCTAGCAAGTCTGATAGCGCTGGCAATCGCAACGACTGTACCATTTTGGATGCCTTTTGCCGCGTTGACTGTTCACGCGGCGAATGCCTTGATATATGAGGTCGACTCGCCTGATCCGCATGGACTTAATAGGTGAGTTAGTGCATTAATAAGATATAAAGAAATATATACAGTGTATAACGAATATACTCTCTATAACGTAAAAATTAGTTAAATTTATTTGGTAACAAAAAACCCATACATTAATTTACTCTTTATAAGGCGACAGCCATTCTCTATTACGAAGAAATATTTTCATATTTAAACATGTTTTTATAATCAGTTTACAAAACTTACATTTTGAGGTGCCGAAATTTCTAAAAAAGAAACCTGAGATCATAAACAGCCGTCTCGCCTTTGTTATTGTTAATTGCATTAACACGTGTGCCATTATTCTTAGATTACATTGCCTGTTCGATATCATAGCAAAATACGTCAGGCAAAATTAACAGAATATATGTGTTTAAAATAATTTACCTATTGATAGTAGAAAAATTAGAAATTATTGTATTAAATTTGTTTTTATCTCTTTCCTCCATATAACGAAACCTTGAATGAAAAAAAATGCTCGGAAATTCATTTTAAAGAGTTTACACGGTATTCATAAAAGACCGGCAACTCACTTGCAAGCATTCTGGCTAAGCGAGTGTCCATGGGCGGTATCACTTAACACCAGGTTTGCCTCAAAATGTTATGAAAAAAAATGTTATCACAGCATCAAGTGTATTGTAGAGTGTAAAAAGCCGAAGATTTTTAGGACATCACGATAAATTGAAATTAATAATAAGACTTTAAATCTTAAGTTTAGCAAAAACATCTAAATCGAAAAAAATATAGCGGTTTGGATTCCTGTAGGGTACTTAAAAAATACTGACGGTACTTCACGCTTTATAAAGTCGACATTTTACGGCGCACCACCACTATGTGGAAGCAGCTGCCCACTGAAGTATTTCCGAACCAATTCGACTTTGGGTCCATCAAGAAAAGAGCGTATCAATTCTTAAGGCTGGCACTTGCGAGCCTATAAGCAATGTGAGTGTGTATGGGCGACGGTATTACCTAACATCAGGTGAGCATCCTGCCCGTTTGCCCGTTATATATAAAATAAAACAATACTAATAAAAATCATAAATATATAATCAGGCATTTTTGGAGACAATACAGCCTTCAGAATATCGTGGTTAATTTGCAAATAGGCTTAACCTGTATGTAATTTTTATTACAGATTTATATGTCGGTCTTAATCGCTTGTCATGACTATATATTTCTTTTTGTTATTACACAAATACACAATACACAAATTTATCGGTAACTAAAAGCAAGATGTATCTTTTTTAGTTTAAATCGTTAACTTTGGTAACGATTCTAGTTTTATCGAATCATTTCAGTAGTAAATATAAATATCCAAAGCAATACGTCTTATCTTTAAAAAAAATAGCGGACTTATTCTAAAAATGCCGGCAACGCAAACGCGAGCCCTTTGGCTTTAAGAGTCCATATATCATCAGTTGAGCCAGTTTTCTCCATGTTCTATAAAAATATTCATTTTTACTTAGTCATAAGTCTTAAGTTCATTTTAATTTTGATTGACCTATTAAGCATTTACTACGTTATAAATATAAAGTCCTATAAATGTAACATCCGATAAATGTTATGTCCGATAAATGTTACGTCCGATAAATGTAACGTCCTATAAATTTTACGTATAAGTAAATGTAAAATTTTCAGGTGGTTTGTGCTCCTGGAAGTGGTATTATGGCGTATTGCGATATTGGGATTATTGCAGCCGGTTCTCGCTGTGGTGGTCGCCGTACTGTTGTGCCCCATTGCTGCATTTATACTGCTTATTGGTGAGTTTGTGTAACTGTATCTCAACTACATCTAAATAAATATTGCTATTTGCTATAGTTTTACAGCTTACTAAACAATCCCCAATATATAGCTTACTTCTGAATTTTTGTTCATTTTATTTTGTTGAATCTTTTTAACTGATTAGTCAAATGTATAAGGAATTGAAAATTGTTCAATAGATATGCGTCGCTGAAAATAGATTTTATCATATAAGAAATTAATTAAACGCGATAATTAAAATCAGAAAGTCGATACCATAGACAATTTTAAAATTAAATGTAGTTATGGTTAGCTAAAGACCCTAAAAGTTACCATAATATCTATGAATTAGACGCTGAAATATATTTCCACTATTAGGGGCGTCATTTAGATCGTCAATCAAACTTAAATCTAATTTCATGAGCTGTCAAATATTTTTTTCTGTATAAAGTTTGACATCTTTGACAGCGCTCAAAACGAGATTGACTTGAGATACGAATAAGAGTATGGACCTTAGTTTCTAACCGACTTTAAAATATAGGTGTTTTTTTTATGTTTTAGTTTGTTCGGCTTTGTTTTAATAATTTGTCGTATGTAATAGGTGGGGTGGGATGGTGGAGTATCCGCGGTGTATGGGAGCGAGCTTCCTGGCGTTGGGTCATCGTGAGAGGGGCGCGTGTGCCTGCTCATGACTCTGCTTTTTGTACACGCGTCGCTGGACCCGGATTCCATGCGCCTGCGTCTTATCAGATCACGTAAGATGCAAGTCATATATTCACGCATAATATTTATAGGCTGCTTTATATCTACCCTTTGATGCTATGGCAGATGCCAGATACTTTTGAGACCTAGTATGTAGTTACACACTTTTTTCATTCGCTCACTCACTTACACATTTGCACCCACAGACTCACTCATGCACTCAGGCGTGTTGATAACAGTTGAAAAGTAAATAAAATAAAAGATGTAATTAAATTTAATATAAAGAATATTTTAAGGAATTTATACTTAAGTTTGTTATGGAAGAGTTGGGAACCCTGGCACAGGTATTTCTTACTTAAAAGGGTTCCCAAATCTTACACATTGTAATGCATATGTACTTAAAATGAATAAACAGATTTTTATATTTATTTATTTATATACATATTTTGTTTTCTAAGTAAGTTGAATTAATTTATATAATAATTATAAAAGTATAATAATTTATTAAAATCCTTCGCAAATAAAGTATTATTGGAACCAAATTTAAGGTTCACAATAAAAAATGTATAAAAATCTAAGAAGTATAGAATCTTATATAGCCTAAAACCTTTCTCTATTGTATATATCTAACACACAAAAAAGCAATTGGATCGAGTGTAATAACGATTAAGCTAATATGTCTATAATTATTTTTTCCAGCGCCGCACAAGCCCTAGCGGCGGTATGCGCACGCGCAGAATGCGAACAACTAAACGCGTGGGGTTCGCAATTGGAAGCCGCGGTTGAACGACCGTTGAGGGACTACCGTCATTTCGTGGACGCCTGTTTTGGACCATTTTCCGTTCAAATTGCTAAGGTTATTGTTAAACTATAATAATTTAATTAGCATCAAGTTATAAAGAGTAATTAAAATTTAAAAAAAAATTCATTAGCTCAATACTAGAGCCTTATTATAATTTTTGTGTTTGATTTTTTTTTTCAGACAGGAGCCTATAAGCAGTTAGAGAAGGAATGTAGCGAGCTGGTGGCTTCTGGTCGTGAGAAGTTGGCAGCTCGACGCCGGGATCTCGCCCTTGGACTAAGTGACGCTGCCAGGGCGAGGGTCAGGATGCCTGCGCAAGAGTTGAGGGTTCGTACTAATATATATTTTTGAAGTGTCAATAAATATCTAGTTTAAGGAGCTGTAAATAGAATTTATTTCTGTATGAAGTTTGACATATCGTCACTAGAATAGAATGATAACCTCGTATGTCAAAAACCATCTATTTTTTTATTCTTAGACTCTTATGTCATTTAACTGGTATAATCATGAAGTCAGGATTTATGTCATTTCATTTGGAACATGGTGTAATGTTTGCAGCTCCTTACAAACGTTGTGTAAAAAAAACAAGGCGATTAAAAATAGTGGCGGAGAGTTTATTGCCAGTTCTTCTCTTCCGTTCTACGCCCTCGATTTGAGAACTGGCACTAAATGTAAAGTTAGAAGCATTTCATATATATTTATTTTTGACGTTCATAAGTGTACATCGTGTTACCTACACGAATAAATGATTTTTGAATTGAATTTGTATAAATGAAGTCCTTTTTACCATCTAAAACTATGGATAATAATATATTAACGAACATTGACGAAATGGAACATTTTTTCGTTTTCTTTAATGGTTGGTTCTCTGGACATACGAAGTTATCATTCTACAGCGACGATATTTGACAGCGCTGAAGATGATACTGTGACTTGATACGAATTAAAATACAGTTTAGAGTTTCTGAAATGCGTACAAATTCTTCATATTTATACTATTTATTTAAGTTTATTTTCAGAAAGCGATACACGCGTCAGCCCTAGAGTTGGCCCGAATGTTCGGCCACGCGGCTCGCGGTGAAGAGTGGTGGACCGCGAGGGGACTGGAACCAGGCGATTGGCACGCCTTGGCCGCTAATACGCTCGTGGAGGTATTTTTGGCTTCCTATTGATATTTTGGTGTAAAGTTAACTCTGAAGGAACGTTTGAGTATATAATCTATATATATAAAATTCTCGTGTCACAATGCTCGTTTCCATACTCCTCCGAAACAACTCGACCGATTCTTATGAAGTTTTTTTATGTATATTCAGTAAGTCTGAGAATCGGCTACTTTCTATCTTTCCCCCTAAGTGATATGGGGTGTCCACAAAAAAAAATTTTTAGAATTTTTGTTTTGTTTTTATTTTTTTATGATACAACATACAAAAATACAAACAACCCCTAATTTTCACCCCTCTACGATACACCCCTATTTTTTAATATGGTAGATACAGTAGAACCTCGATAACGTAAACCTCGGTAACATAAAAACCTCTGTTACTTCAAAAAATACTATGTTCCCTTCCCATCAGAGCCCAAAACCTCTATAACTTAAAATACGCAACCTCTATAACGTAAATAAATAATCTCTGTATAGGCCCTCAGTAACTAAAAGAAATGTTTCCACAACCTCTATAACATAAAATTGTTTGTGAATGAGTCATTTTATAAGAGTGTCAAAACAAATGGTTTCGGTATTTATTGCTTGCACGTGTTTACTAATGTATTGTTAACGTAAACAATACATTACCTATTGTTTGCTTTATCTAAATTCTTCAAAGCTTTGCGGCGGTTAGCTTTGTGACAACGACTTACTTGCATCATAAGTTAATGTGTTAATGTATTCTCCTCTCTATTTGTCATTGAAAATCAAATCGATTATAAACAGTGAATTTTTTAAAACAAAAGAAAATCACAGTTTTTTTAAGTAGACTAAACCTTTAGTTGTTGTTTTATTTTTATGTAATGTAAGTAATGTGAATAAATATGATTAAATATTTAATTTTCCATCCTTCTGATGCATTCAAGTAAAAATGGGAGGAAGGGTACATAGAAACATGTACATACCTCTATATTAGCCTTTACCTGACATAGAACCTTGATAACATAAAACCTCGATAACATAAAATATTTTGTGTTTCCCTTGGACTTTATCTTATCGAGGTTCTACTGTAGTTATTTTTATTGAACTAAAAATTGTTTCCTAGAAATAATATACATGGCAAAACAACGTTTGCCGGGTCAGCTAGTTTATTATAATATTTGTAAGTGAATTAATAAATTTCTCATTTAAATTAGGTGTTCGATGCGGAAATCCTAATGGCCCTAGAAGAGGGTGAGGCGCGCCTGTCCCTAGACGCAGGTCCGGGCGTGAACACGTGGGCAGGGCGCTGTGCCAGGGACCACGCCCCGCCTGACGTTCTCGCTGAGAGAGATGATTGGGGTATTGCGCCTGGTGAGCTCAATTCTTATTTTATTAAGCCAATTATGTAAGATATTTTTACGAATATTATACTTAATGGCAGATCTACATGTCAAAGATTCAAAGTCCGTAAATAATTACCTAAAATTTGTTGGAAATATAATTTTAAAACAAGTACGAATTGGGTTGGTATAATTGTTAATTTGCGTGTTGTTCCCACGGGAATCTAAGTGCTTGCTCCTATTTCACCATGGCTCCTGCTGATAGAGGACAAATCTTTATTTTTAATTTATTTTATTATTATCTATTACTTAAGATGTAATGTGGAACATGGTGTAACGCTTGCAGCTTTTTACAAACATTGTGTTAAACCAAAACTTGGCGATTAAAAAGAGTGGGGAAGAATTTATTGTCAATTCTTCTCTTCCGTTCTACGCCCTTGATTTGAACTGGCAGTAAATGTAAACTTAGAAGCATTTTATATATATTTATTTTTTGACGTTCATTGTGTTACCTACATGAATAAATGATTTTTGACTATTGAGTGAAAATATAAATCGAAAGTCGTAACGTTGCCGTTCAATTGTGATTGGTCAATAGCATCTCAAATCCAATACGCGACATGCGTGCTGTCCGTTTGACCAATCGTTGTTATTTATTTATTTATTTGATCACCGTTATTCCTACAGCTACTTATTAAACAATATTCAAACGATTACACTGTACACAATAGCCAAAACGGAATACCATTTACAATTGTTATATTCCTATCTAATTGCTATTTTTGTATGTACATTGTATATTTGCGGATAATTTGTCGTCATTGTAACTTGTGTGATGTTTGACAACATAAATAAAATAAAATTTCTAATATTCTAAAGAATGAAAGAATCGTTTCTGCGTTGAATCTTTTTTTTTTTGAAGTGAAACTTCTTTAGGCGCATGAGGGTAAAATTTTTACGGAACCTCACGGAGATGTGCAGCGTTTTTTTCGAAGAAAGGGAAGAGAGCGATTGAAGGAGAGTGAGAAGGGCGAATTACCTTATAGAAATTCTATTTTTAAAATTAAAATTTCGTTAAGAGAATTTATGAAATATTAGTATTTCATATTTTATGCAAAATAATTTATTGAAATCTCAAATGACGAATTGTAAATTAAAATGCCACGTGTTTTTACTGTCGAAGAAATAATTTTATAATTTCTATTAATTTTCGAAACTTAATATTTTAATGACAATAAATTCTTTAAATTCCTAACATATCTCCCTTTTTCCACCCTCTAAGTCTCGGAAATCTAAAGTTTTAGATTTGTAAATATGAATAAGACTTAAAAATTCAGTTTGCCAAAGAAGTTTCACTTCTGAGATGTGTGCTTTGTACGCACGCACTTTTTTTTTACTTTCTCTTCAAGGTTAAAAGTTAGAATAAAGTTTAAAATGAAGCAAGAATTTGTTAAATCATATTTATCTCCTATATTATTTAATATTTATAATACTTTAGGTATGTGGGGAGAATGGGGCGGGTCAGCTCTTCCACGAGTGCCGGCGCCATCTTTGGAAGCTAGTGCGTTTAGCCCCCGCGCCCCTCACTTGCCTCCAGTGCCACACCCTGCCACTGTAGCCCTAGTACTACATAATAGGTAGGTATCTTATTCTAAATATTAATAGCTAAAATAATAATAATAAACTAATTCTCATGAAAAACTTAAAATACCAACTTTCAAATAAACTAGTAAAAGAATGCATATCACTTTATTAAACCGTAATTATTGAAATTAAACAGTTATAACCAATCTTTAGACTGTAGAGTTAAAAAGTTCGCCGCGAACTATTGGTGTACTGCAAGGCTCTATACCAGGACGCTATTATTCTTTATTTATGTGAATGATCTTTTGTTGGAAAGCTTTTCGGAATTTTTTGGTGATGAAACTTCGTAATTTTTTTAATTGAAATGAGAAATGCTTGTGTAAATAATTGATAAACTACATAAGAAAACATAACAATTTCTTACATACGTCATTGCAGAGAGTCTGATAACCCAGTACCATTAGAGACAGAACTGTGTGTGGAAATACTTCGCGGGCTAGAAGACGCACCTGACTGCGACGATAAAAGAGGTATTTTTTTTAGTCCAATCTTTTAGCATTTACATTTATTCAAGAAATATTTAGTAAGTATAGAAAATAAGTTTTTATTTTTATATATAATAATGATAATTTGATAAAAATTAAATATAATAATATTTATTTGATATAATTAATATAACAATAACTCCCAAGTTTTTAAAATCGCAGGTTTTAGATATATGTATGTTTAAACTGTCATTTTGTCTAAATCTTTAAATTTAAAATTCTCCGAAGTGAGTTAGAATTTATATATTTATTTATTAAACCACTTATAAACATTAATTAACTGTTTATATTGACATAAACACTAAAGCGTTAATTAACACTACGTAATTTATTTATTAATTTGTTATAGAGGGTGTAGAAAGATACCGCGGTGGTGGGAGCGAGGCCAGCAGCGAGAGCAGTGGCTCCATCTCGCCTGACGAGGAACGGCTTCCGGAAACGCCAGACTCTGCGCTTTGCAGGTATTGGGACAAATAGATTTTCTACATATTTAACCGACTTTGAAAATTGTGTGTGATTTTGAAATTGGTCAATATTTTCGTTTATATTGGTGCCCTGATTGAACACCAATGCTATCAATGCAATCCTAAAGATCAGGAATAGAAGGTCGATTATTTGCCTAAGGGTTGAAACGCACGTTCTATCCACTATGCTAGCACATTTTCTAAAATCTTCTAGAATATCTCCAAGCGCAGAGCGCGCGGCGTGTCGTTGGACATTGACGGGTCGAGGTGTTCGCCTGAGGGCGGACCTGGCCAGTCCCGAAGACGTCACATTGGACACCGACCGACACGGCACGTCCGTCTGACACATGTGACTTATCTAATTGAAGGTAATTAGCGAAATATGACTATCGTAAGTCGAAATCGTTAAATACGGAAGTCGTACACTACACTCTGAATGTAAGAGTCTCGAGACTGTCAACTGAAATTAAATTGAAATTGTTAATTGTCAATCTCAAAGCCTTCAAAGTCAATAAAAAAAGTAGATAAACTACTACTTAAAATACTGTCGACTAAAAAAACACATATACATACTTAAAGAATAACTTCAATTTTCTTGGCTCAAATAACCCGTTCGTTCGTTCTTAAATACCTTCGTTCGTTTCATCTTACATACGTTCGTTCGTTCTTATAGATGTACGTTCGTCGTTGCTCTAGTAGTCGCTCCTGTGCCCTTTGCATAGATCGAATTTTCATTCCTCCTTCACTCTCACCATACCATTGTCGAATGCTCCGCCTTCAGCCGTTCAGACCTCGCAGAGTAAATATAAACAATTCCCCACAAACTAATTTACTACACTTATATTTTTTTTTACATCTGTGTTGTGTGAAAGTGCTTTTAGGTATATAGTACATACTATAAGTAAAACACGATGCATAGTAACAACAATTTAGTGACAAGAACAAAATGACACTTGACAGTGACAGATTAGATAATTAATTTTCCACAGATGTCTCTGTATAAGGGCGGGTTATTAGGGTTCGAGTGTAAGGGTATGACCCTTTTTAGTTTTCGTTTGGATCTATGGCGAACTAAGGTTTAAGTATGAACTTTTAATGAAAACGCGATTTTGATTGATGAAATTTGAAAATTGTGTAAATAATTTAGAAGCTTAAAATGGCTCAATGTTAAAGAATCTCGATATAACGTAATAAATTCTAAAACTAGTAACGGCTTAAGCATTTATAGGTTAAGATTTCAGAACGCTTAAAGCAGGAATTGATAGTGTTCGATATTTGAATTTCTGACATTGTAAACCGCTAAAAATACAGAATTTTCGATGTTATACTTCTTTTGGCGTGTTAGGGAAAAATTATGAGAGTAAATTTTTACGATGTGCGCGCACACCGTCACAAAAAACCGACACCCTGAAGTTAGCTATAGTAAACATTTTAGTTTTTGAAGTTATACTTCTTTTGGCGCGTTAGGGAAAAATTATGAGAGTAATTTTTTTCTATAGTCTGTGGTTTTTTTCTACAAACGTAGAATAAGGCGAAAGATAAAGTTTTGAAAGATCTTTCCAAAACGCCAAAAAAGTATAAGTTCTAACGCGTGTACATACGTTTTTTTTACACGAGTTATATATCGATTAAGTATTTTTTTTTTGTATAAATACATTCACGCAAAATCTAGTTTAATGTTATTTAATTTTGAATTATTTGAAGTTATTTTTTACAATCTCAGAAATTCAATTGCAAATATACCTCACAAGTGCACTTGAACAATACAACGATGTGCACGCTTACGATTAGATTATATCGGACCATATTTCAATAATTATATTATTCGACTCCTAATTTTAATTGTTTTATTAATATGGGTTAAATATAATAGAACAATGTAAAAAATCAAGGTTACAAAATTATATTGACTAATATCCTTTCTATTGATTTTTAATACAATTTTAAATTATCTATGGTCCCTTAGTAGAAGTCGTTATAAGCATAATCCTAATTATAAGGTTGTGTTGAGTGCGAATAATTAGATATTTTATTTAGCTAAGTTAATATATGACGCAGCAATTTTTATTTATTATGTTTCTGCACAAAAGGGAAGACTATTTTGCATGTAATAGCAATCAAATCCATTTTAGTTGGCAACTATTGTAGGTTTTGGCCTAAACAGAAATTGACATGAAATTAAAAATCAAGTTTTTTGAGCATTTATTCATTGTAAGTTACGATTTGTAATACAGTAGAAACGGAATATAACAAAGAACTGGTTAACCGGTAATATTAAATGTTCTGGTCAGTTCGTTCTTAATGTTATACCGATCATTCGTCAAACGTGTAATGGCCATATCGTCAATTGATATTAGTTTAATGTCGAACTTCTTTGTCCTCCCCAGACGGGACTTTATGAAAAAAAAATTTTTTTTGGCGGTAACTGATTATCTTCTGTGACAAATAACAAATGATCAAGTTTCTACTGTATATATGTTGTGGTCCTAAACATTTTTGCTATAAGATATCGAATTATAATAGTAAGCTAAATTTTCAATGAGTGCCTATATTTCAATTATTTTAGTAGATTTTAGAATTAAATAAGACTCATCCAGGTAACATACCTTTAGTGTATTTTTGCAATGACATAAGGAAATTGGAATAATGGCAAAAGCATTTCAATACCTGAATATAGTTTCCGTAAGTTGACAGTTTTTTTTTTGTCTTTTTAAAAGTACTCATTACCCAAAATCTTCCCGTGTCGAAACGATTGCAAAATAGAAATTATTTCTATAAATTTTACATAATAAAAACCTGGTCGTTTTGTCTTCTGTTAAATAAATTGACTTTTGCCCTTAATCCACCAAGTCGCCTTAGAATTTAGTGAGCACGTGTTGCGAGCCGGCCAAGAATTGTAGACTGTACAGCACTATTTTATTTATGCACGTTTAAATATTAAGAATAACATTGTTAAAATCCTATTAACGATTCAATAGGAGCGAGACATTTCGATTCACATAATAATTGCCATCATTACAGACATTGACAGTTTTGGTCAATCCTAAAGCATGCGCTACACGGCATGAAACGGCGGTTTGAAACTTTGGTTTCAAACCGTGTGGATAGTTGTTTTATGCCAAATTTCGTTTAACCTTGATATGACCTTGGCAGCACGCTTTGCGTTGCAAACCGCGACCAAAACCGTTGGTTTGAAACAGTCTAGCCGCTTGTTTAAAACCACGCGTTCGGCAGTCGTGCTGCGGCGGCGAGCGTAGACGCACGAACGTGAAGTTATTACCGAATTGCTCGAATTATACAGAGAATTGCCATGTCTTTGGGATTTTGGAAAAAAACATCGATTAAAATTGATTTTTTTACGCGATTTTTATATTTAAAATAATCGATTATTTTTATAATTGAAAATCAATCATAGTCGATTTTTTATCTGCCACCTACCGACATTATGTCTGGTATTTTATAACCCGGACCTTGAACTATTAGGGATATTCGATATACAACGATGTTTACAATGCGATACATTGAATCCGATTCTTTGAAGATGTATTGTTTTTTTTGTAAAACATCGAAAGGATGATAAAACTATAACTTAAAAAGTAAAATAAATTTATTCAGCAGCACAAGACTACATACAATTAAAAATACAACAAAAATACTGCAATGTGCTACTGAAGAAATAGATTATTTATTAATCGATTTTTCATGCTAAAAAACTTATCGATTAATAAAAAGTCGATTTTTTTATGCAGAATGTCACATCCCTACGGAGACGTCTTATCAGCGCAACGTTATTTTGGACACTGTTGGTTTTAAACCGTGTAGCCGAAAAGCGCAACTCGCTTTTATTTCGTTTCAAACCGCCGTTTCATACCGTGTAGCACATGCTTAAGGTATACAGAAGTTACATGCTCGGTGATTGAAACGTCACTGTCAAATATAAGTATGGGAATTTTTAGCGCGCTACACTATCATTTTTCATTCATAAACATCATAACTATTACTCTTGGGTAATAGTTATCTTTCCGCTTTCAAGCAAATAATGAAATGGACTCAAGTATTGAAATAAATGTATTTAACCTAGTTATAGTTTTGAAAATACTCAAACCAATCCAAAGAATTGTTGCAATCTGATGACAAGCTTTAGTTAGATTAAAGAGTTATTTTTTGCTTTATATAATATACCTGATCTAAGATTTACATTAAGTGATATATTGGCACTTTTTTTACTTTAATTTATTGAACAGTTTGCAGACATCTGACACAACGCTTTAACACTTAGTCTGCAAATCTGTTTAACATGCGTTTATATTAATGTGTTTAAATGAATGTATTGTTTTTAATTACATGACGAGATATATTGAATGAATGATACCTGCTGTTTTATTTCCTTTTATGTTGACTAGATAGATTATGGAACGCTGACGGGTCGTGCGATTGTCTTTTGGTATGGCAACACTAATTATAGTAAAGATTCTATATTAAATTAACATAATTTTTTAATATGTTTGACTGACTGAAATTTGTCGAGGGAATAAAATAAAACACGTATTATAGTTGAATGGAATTTAAAATTTATTAAACCTACCTAACTATAATAATTATAATCTTCATCTGTTGCATGTTATCACATGGATTTGAAAATTATTAGAAATATCTACTATGACAGAGTACAGGTTTTGATTGCATAAATATAAAAGGTTTTAATCATAATTTATTTGATCTCAGCGTGCAAGCGCTATTAGTTAGTCTAATAATTTTACCATTTCTAATTAACAATTATAATTTGAAAAAATTTGTTGGACCTACCTATCTAAGATTAAATAATTGAAAAAATATAGAAAACCTACTATTATGCTTACTCAACAAAGGATAATATTTATATTAAACAATAATAGGTCCTTAAAATTAACATAAAATGCAAACTTTAAAATGTAGCGAAATAACTAAATAATAACTCAAAACAAAATAAACCACATCGCACCATTCAAAAATAAAATCTCAGAATAATTTATTTTATAAATAATACCAGCTAGAAATAAAAAAATAATTTAGAATTTGTTAAAATAAAATTTACAATCTCCATGTGATAGTCAATTCATATAAAAATAAATATAATTCTAATCCACATCTAAACATTAAAGTTCCGACCACTGCAGCGACCCCTGCCATTAAACTTTACATGCATTTATAAATAAAGCAATTTAAACTCCCATGGAATGGAAATGTTATTGAGGGCCGAGTAGCTTCAGTGGTCAGCACAAACCAGAAAAACACTAGCGATAATAAGCTACTTAGGCAGACACAGGACACTTTGTTAATCACCACTACACAATCCTACATTTAAATGCAAACAAACTTATCCATGCAATTGCCAAATCAGATTATTCGAGTACTTAGGCCTGAACAGCTTTTTGAAAATACCTTGCCAATTGAAAATTTAAATCGTCTCCATGAACGTAAAACATGGCAACACTAATGAGGTCAAATGTCTATAGCTAAATACTTGTTCACTAATGAAACATTATGCTGGTACTATTCTGAGATAAATTTTATCACTACAATAACTTGAATATTGAAGGCGGTTGTGGTCATATTGCTTCCGAATACAATGCACACGCTACACTTAGTATAATCCAATACAATTTGAAAACACTACTTACATCTAAATATATTTCTAAATTAAATTTGTTATTCCTATTACTATAATATGTTGATACAAAAGTTTTAAAGATATTTTAGTAAGTTCAAAATATAAATATACTTTGTTACGTAGAAAAGTTGAAATAAATTCATATAAAATGCTTTATATATTCCCATATAACCAGAGTACACGTTTTAGTACATAAAACAACTGTTGATATTAAAATAGTAAGATACCTACATAGATTTTATTTTATATAAAAGTTAAAAAAAAATATAAATCGCAACATTTGTTAAATTTACGGAGGATATAGGTTTTGCTGTTCAACTGATACATAAGTTGTAGTGAATAAAGCATATTTTCATACAGTATGTAACCAAAACTCTATGAACAATTTAAAATTCAAGCTAAGATAACAATGCCCAAAAAATACGTAGTTGGGGTCATTCACCGCAAGATCATGAACCTACAGCTGTTTGACAAGGTTTAAAGAGATCTTCTAGAAGTCACTGCAAATTCATGACATTTGTGAAACTATTAATATAACATCTTTAACAGTATTTTTTAAGTCCAGAGAGGTGAGTTACATTTTTAATGAGGCTATTTTTCAACCTCAGGATTTCTTATGGTTTAATTTCTATTGTTTTAGGATCACACCCGATACAATTTAATAATGTCTAATTCTTGTATGTCTACATGATTATTTGGTACATTTTAATCTTTCTTGATTCAAGAGCGTCAATTTATAAAATATTTTTCGCATTTAATAAAGCTTTTGCTTCCAGTGCTGCCTTGAATAGTTATCATTCAGTTAATAATTTATATTATAAACATTGGTAAATAAACATCTGCTAACTGAGATTTTCTTGTCTTCATTATAGCAATCCTATTAATAAACAGCTTGGGCAATTACAGAAAAATCCTTTTATCTTTTATATAAGGGAATAAATAAGTCAAATTCACTGACTGTTCAGTGATTGAATTAACGGAGTTTCAAAGATTTTAATAATTCATTTGGAATGTTCATATAAAAATGCGTAACTGTTAATGAATGATCTTATAATAAAAGTTAAAACTTCCCTCATATAAAGCACTTCGCTGTCTTTATAAGAAAATTCAAATGAACACTTTATCAAGAGATATCAAAATTAATATGATTTAATACATTAAATCTTTCATGACATTGGTCCATAGATAAAAGAGGTGAATGTTGTGAAAAAAAACAAGTACATTACAAAACCTTAATAAAAATGTAAAAAAATTCAACAAGTTTACTGTCACCTATAGTATCTAAGATAGTGCAAAATTATTTCAACTGTAATAATTAAAAACTACTCTCATAGTTGAAATATTAATACAATTACAAGCAACAATCCTTCCATCAATGACTTTTAGTAAAAATGTTTTGTCTATGACTGATGAAAGAATTGTCACAGATAATTATGGATTCCATAGCCATGTACTACAGAAAAGCAAAGATTGAATATTTTGAAATCTAAATTAACACCAAAAGCATTTTGTAACATTAAATTTTAAAAACTGCTACTTTGAACCATGCACTACGGTAAATTTACTTTTAAGAAAATATTTAAACGCTATATAGGCATTATTAATATAAAATATATAAACCGTATTATTTGTATTTGAATGTTACACTAAGATAAACAAATTGCATTGGTGTATGTTGGATCACCGCAATATTTTATAGATTTTCCACTATTCCTATGTATATCTCATATAAAGCCACAATATTTCCAATTACGAGTTATATATTTTAATACATGATAGAAAACTTTGCATATTTTATTTAGTAAATCTATTAGAATCGTCACTTTCATATTAATATCTGTTTAGTATCGCTCCTTCAAATGCATTTTAGTCAGCAGCAGTAAATTTGAAAAACTACTCACTTTTACCAATAAATATGGAAATCTTAACTTTCTACAGTAAAATATCTTAAAACCATTAGTCGATACGACATAACTCATCGGTATAGTCTAGTCATATATATAAAAATATTGAGAAATTTTGCACTCCAAACACTTACAATTTTGAGACAGTATCGAGTAGAGAGCGACTACTTCTACATCACATGGGTAACCGAGTGCATCTGTTGAGTATTATGATGTGTAATACTACTGCAACCTGGCCGACCGTCGGTCTACTGGTGATGCTGGATGGGAGTCTGACAGTAGGGGCACTCCTTGGCTGTGCCGGCGCAGCTTTCGCACAACACATAGTGGTTGCAAGGGGGTAGAGTCACGCTACGGGGCTGTTCTTCGCACACCATACACTTCGTCGCCGTCTCTAGATACAGCGCCTTCTCGATCTCCTCCAAATCAGAACGCACTTGTACTTGGAGAGACTTCAGGGCCGTCAGGGGCAGGCCACGTAACTCTCGTCTGCCGGCGCGTGTGGTTTCGAGCTCGCGTTTGAGGATCAACGCGTGGGCCAAAGCCTCGTCCCTCTGTCGCTCGGCCAAAGCCGCTTTGCGTTGTGCTTCGTCGGACTCCCTTTGCCAGGCTTCGCAAGCGGAACGGGCCTGCGCGATTCTCTCATCCCAGCGAGCGGCCGCCGCCCTCGAGGCCACCACTTCCTCCCGCAGTCTCGATAACTCGGCCGGGGCTGAGGGCGAAGTCGCCGCGAATTCGAACGCGTTACCCGCCGCTCCGAAACTTCCCGCTTTCATCGGATGCGAGTTGAACAATCTGTCCGTATCACTAGCGTACCGGAGAAACGGCGGCAACGGTGATCCTCCGCTGGGTGGGCTGAAGCCCCTGAGAGAAGGACGTGGAATGTTCACAGGAGCCGATCCACCGAGCAAACCCTCTCCGTCTGACAGATCACGATCCAGAGAGGCCACGAGGTTCAAAGGATCGTCCAGGTGAATATCGTCGAGGGCGTTTCCGACTACCTCTTGGAGGACTGTGGCGTCGAACGTGGACCGTGGCGGCCACGACGGTTGGGGCTTCTCATGGTCTTGGTATGACTGCAGAGCTGTCGTTTGAATGGGACGCGATTGATGTATAGAGCCTCCGCTGGAGGTCGAAGCGCACTCGGAGCCGTCTCCGCTGCCGTTGGTGTGCGGCTGGGGACTAAGAGGACGGCCGAGGCCTAAGGCTCCGCCGAGCACGCCGACGTCATTCTTTTTGTCGTTGGGTAACGCCGAAGAAAGAAGATCGGCGAGATTGGTCCCACACTCCAGTGGAGCACTCATGTCTCGATTTGATGACAAATCTTCAGCTGCAATTGGAAAAAATAAGTTATACCTTAGGAAACCACAACACATACCACGGAAAAGAATGATAGGATCGATACGGCATCTTTATCTACAGACGAGGCTTATAAAGTTTTTTATTTAAAAAATATTTCATGGTCAAATAAAAAGATATATCAACAAAATAAACAAGGTTAAGGTAATTGTTAAGTTTATTAATTACGTGGTATTTAATACATTACACGAGAGACTTATTACATGTGGGATATTAATAATATAAATAGTATATATATTATGTATAATTATATCCTGTGCAACCAAGAAAGTTTCATAATATATATCACGAAATAATATTAAAAATATAAAGCCTATTTCGTGGTATTAATTGACAAAGCCCTCGCTTGTTAAAATTTATGTTAATGGATATTTAATGTCTTAGCAATACTTTAAAAGAAAATTCACTTAATACCGCAACGTAACACGATCATTAATCACAAATTTCACTATTATTTGAATTTAAAATTATACAACTGACTGGACGCTTCGGGTACCGGAAGCCTATGCGCGGATTCACTGGCGTGGTCAATGTCATAACATTAACAGCTGATTTTAGTGTTACCAGCGCCACCTATTTCCTATTTTTACCGTTGTTTATAACATTATTAATAAACAACAAAATTTTAATGATAGTGTTTCTAAAAAGCGTAGGCTTTCGTTATATATGTATAAACAAAACAACACATTTAAATTTTATCCCCCCCCCCATCCTCATAAAAAAATGGAACAGAAACCAAAATTCTGTAAACATGTTAATAAACTAAACATTGACATTTAAAAGCATCAATAAAAATGATATCTAAATCACTTAATATATTGGTTAAAAATAATGGAAATTTGAGGGGTTGTTGAGTTATTGCAGAAATGTTTATTCACACTCATTAAAAGTTCATCATCATAAACAGTAGAAGATATCATTCTATTGAATATTAATACTAATATTTCTTTGTCACAATAAATTTATCTCAGTTTTTAATACACATCCTTCCAGTATTATACTTTTCTCGAGCCGAACCAGAAGTTTAAAAAAAACATTTTTTGAGTAGGTTATATATTTACTTACGTTCAACATGTGCAAAGGCACAGAATAGACCCCGTGGGCAGTAGCCAGCTTGCTGTACATCATTGCATTTAGTGGATTTGTATATCTCTGGATGGAACTGCTGCTCCGTGCGAGTGTGGCAGTACCCACAGGCATCTCCAGCTTCACAACTGCTAGGTTCTCCCCATTCCTCTCCGTGCTTTACATTAGGACATGGTGTGCTACGGTACTTGTATTTGCGAGGTGATCTACGTTTATCCTGTTAAAACAAACATTTTATTAATGTAATTGGGTTCATTTAGTTTTAAAATATCAAATCCAATAGCAAATCTTTTACAATGATAAGTTTTTGAAACTAAGTTTTTATACTGAGACAAGTGATTAAAATAATTGTTTTGGACAATCAAATCTAACTATTTAACACAAATACACTAAGTATTTGTGCCAGAAACATAATTTTAAGTAAGAAATAATATATGATGGCACAAAATTCATTTTAGAGACTACAATCATTGTATTGTATCTTAATCAACAGGAAAGCAGAACGGTTGTGAAATCGCTACTGGTTTTTGCAGACCAGAAATTAAAAGAAATAAAATGATACTCACTTTACTATTATGATATTGTGGACATGCATACCCTTGTCTACAAAGCCTAGGTGGTCTTTTGCATGGTTCTGTTTTATATGATGATAACACATAATTTGTATCTGTAAAAAAAGCATTTATAAATATTTCTATGTACTACAAGCACATTGAATAATGTTTGTATGCTGGAGATGTTAATGGATTTCATGTACTAAATTTAATGCTTATTGACCTAAATTTACAGGACATATTATAGGTTGGTTACTAATATTATATATGATATTGAAAATTTCTTAATATTAAAAATATATTCATATATACCTTGCCACTTAGGGTCTTCATTCATCAAATTACGTTCTCTATCTAAAGCATTAGGTGCAGCTGTGTCCCCATCAGTTCCATTGGGATTTTCTAGAGCCTGCAGTTCCCTCATGTCCAACACTGGTGGTCTAAGGTCGGGAGCTCCGTGAGCAAAGGCACAGTGAGCCCCATTCTTCGTACAAAGGCCCCTCGCATCTGTGTCATGGACACACATACAAGTTTTGTAATACCGGAGATGATATCGCCGCTCAGTGTCTCCAGCTGTTCTATGCAAGTACGGACAACTGAAAAAAAAATTTAATTACTTAACTTTACCACTGTTATTCTCAACTAAGACAACTAAATAACCTAGCATTTTATTTTTTTACAAAATGAACTAGAACTATGTTAATTTTCTTGCATTCATTGAAAAGCCTTTTTAATTTTTATAAGTTTAACACTTTGTCAAGATGATATTAAATGTTTAAGAATAAAGTAGAAAATGTTTATTCATTTAACATATCTACTATGAATGGAGTTGCATTGTTGGACTTATTAATAGATAGATACAATTTTACAGTACAAGTTACAAGTACAAGTAGTACAAGTTACAATTTTATAATTAATCATCACTTTCACATTAAGATTGTAACCATTGTCTTTGGAATCATGTTATCAAAACATCAAATAAAACTTTAAACAGCTTTGAAATACTATGCTTTTATTATTTGTGTTAAAGAAAGGACAATGGAAAATAAAGACGATATTCCACCAAATACAAAAGAATGTTTCCCCTTAAGGAAACAAGATGTTGATGCGTCTACACAATTTGGCAGTATAACACTCACTTTAATATTAGTAAACAATTTTTTTATTGAAGTGAAAGTTTCTAATATAATATAATGGAAACTACACATATTGAAGAACAAATGTACCAAGTCCAATAAGAATCGTAAATAAATATTTGTGTATTTTTATGTCCACGATAAAACAAAGCGTCTGAAGGTACTTACTCGTCACCATCCTCGCAAATTCCTGAAGTCTCGTTGTATTTAGTACAATAATTGTCTGCGCTATAATTAAACGATCCATCCCGCTTACGTACAGGCCTTCTACGTCTTTGATTATTAAAATGCCAGTGGAAACATGTAAAAGGTCTATGTTGTGTACATTTATGTTGTAGGAACAACGGGCACTGTTCCACACGGAATTCCTTTAGATATCTGGAAAACGAAACCACTGATGTAAGCGAATCGCACATCACTGCAAACTTAATCACAAGTACTTTTATTTCGACAAGTTATTGAGACTGAAACAAGTAATTACTTATAATGATTTGGTTTTTCTGTTTGAGCTGTCAACAAAGGCTTAGATTCCGACGGCATTTTGGTGAACTATTATTGCGCCTCTCGCGTCGCGCAGGGCACGCTCACCGATGACCAATTAACATTCAATAAAATAAGATCACGTGATTACAAATATTTTAGAAAGTACAAACTTTATTTATTGAAAACAAAAACGTCTACGATAAAGTACTACAAAACATTTGATTATGACCTTGAACTTAAAAAAATAGTTTAGCATCGTGTGGATCAATGTATTTCCTAAATATTGCCTAAAAACATCGTACAATAGTTACTATTGAATAGTAGTCTATGCTTCAAAACTTTGAACTTTAAAGACACGGCAAATTATTTACACTCTGTAGTCTGTACTTGTGTAGTCATATAAAATTTTATTTTTATCAAAGTTATTGTATTTTAAGCAAAAATAATAAAGTTCAGAAGTCGCAGTACCCATTCATAAAAAAATATAAAACCTTAAAACACCTTAAAAACGTCAACAAGAGACCAATGTCAGAATGATTCACTGATCACTCCATGCCAAATTGAAATAAAAAATAGGTCAAAACTAGTAAAAATTTATATAGAGTCAAAACTGAAAATTAAAGATTCTTGAAGACCACATAAAATATTCATCATAACATATTTATGAATATTCGTTTATTTCGTACATATTTTATTTTTATTAGAATAATAGTTTAATAAAAATATGAATTATGGCTCAAAAGTAATAATTTTATGTGAGGTAACATTAAACATGTCAAGATTCATAAAACTGTTACCCAATCACAACACTGGAATTTATTTGGGCCTCCAATAGTATTCGGTAAATTTAGACCAATGATCGTTCACTATTAGTAAAAACCTTAACCAATCCAATACCAAACACTAAGCGTCGCTGTTCGCCCGCCATTCTCTCGTCGCCATATTGAAGTTTTACTTAAGCATATGAGCGCTGCTTTGTGCGTTAAATCGAGTTAAATTAATAAATTTTTACTTAATTACTTCAAAGAGGTACGAATAATGTTTATTTTTGCACAATATATTAGTTTAACTTAAATTTGCAAACTGTGTCTAAGTGGTCATTATTGTTTTGATTATTGTCCTAAATTAGTGTCGGAACCGTTTATGTTTACTGTTTTCCTTTATAGTAATTTATTTTTTTCAGTAAATAATGGCTCGTACGAAGCAAACAGCCCGTAAATCCACAGGAGGCAAAGCACCTCGTAAACAGTTAGCCACAAAAGCGGCGCGAAAATCAGCGCCCAGCACTGGGGGGGTCAAGAAGCCCCATCGTTACCGCCCTGGTACAGTCGCTCTCCGTGAAATCCGTCGTTACCAGAAATCTACCGAATTGCTCATTCGTAAACTGCCATTCCAGCGACTTGTAAGAGAAATCGCTCAAGACTTCAAGACTGACCTTCGTTTCCAGTCTGCCGCTATTGGTGCACTTCAGGTAAAATGTAACACTATACTGAATTTACATTACAAAACTTCTAGACTGAATATTCTTTTTACTAATTATTTTTTTTTCCTTTATTGCAGGAAGCCAGTGAAGCATACCTTGTTGGTCTCTTTGAAGACACTAACTTGTGTGCTATTCATGCTAAACGTGTGACTATCATGCCTAAAGATATCCAGTTGGCCAGACGAATCCGTGGAGAACGTGCTTAAATTAAGATTAGTTTACTTTATTATAAATTATTTGTAATTCAAATAGACATAATATCTAACATTTTTTGTATGTTCACAGTTTCTTCACCTTAAACATTGTAATCATTGTAATTTTAAGGCGTCAGAACTGGATTTTTTTTAATATTGTGTTTGTAATATGTAAGTTAGATTATGTGCAAGGTACAATTTAGGTGACTATATGGTTTTTATTGTCATCAGTGTGTGATCTTGTACTAACAAAATGTTTAGTGACTTGTGTTAGTAAATAGGTAATGTTGATAGTATCGGAGAAGAAACAAAATTTTATGCACTTTGGATGAGTAATTAAGATACTTGGTGTTAAATAAATCTAATTAGTCTTACATTTACACTTTTTCATTCTTAAAACTCCCAATTTTAAGTATGTACTATTTATTGACCAGTAGTATAAAAATGACATCTAATCGTGGTCATGTTTATAGGTTGTGATTGACCATTTTGAATATATGCAATGTCAATCATGTGTTTTTTAATACATAGAAAAATCTATTGGTGCATCACTATGATTTATACAAACAACCACATGGTCGATAACTTGATAGTCAATATTCCAGTGAGTAAGATGGTAGAATTGAAAATAAAACAAAATGTTAAGATTCCTATATTATATTTAATACATTATCTACAATAAATAGTCTTATTTACTAAGCAATGGCTAGACTTTTTTCTTTTTCTTCAATTTCCTTAAGACGTTGTTCAATTTCTACTACACTTTTTCCATTTTCTTTGTTAAAGCGGTAACTAAGTAATAATTGCTGTTTTTCTAGTCCATGTACTCTATCATATAAAGTTTTTTCAAACTCTGAATCTATGTCACTTTCTTCTCTAAATACACAAAAATAAAGTAGAAATACAGCAACACTGCCTACCACACTGTATGGCTGATACCAGGGCATTTTCAAGTTATGTTTATTAACAATGGGCATTATCCTAGACTTAGAAGCGGCACTAGTAGTAAATTTTATTGGAGCATTTTCATTCAAACCATCAGGTTTGTTGCTATAAAACCTTTTCTTGTAGGTTCTTATAAAACCCCTGAAAAAAAAAATTGTTTGTAGTGAAGTTAACTACATGCCACTAAAAATAACATCTAGAAGAATATATGTACAATTTTATGTCAGTAGATTACTATGAAAATTTGCTATGTTCAAACCCTCATCCCAAGGATGATTGCGTAATTAAACGAAATAGTATTTAAAAGATGATTCACAATAGTTATTAACTACCCACCACTGACATGATTATACTACATATTATAATGTTCTATGTATCTATTATTCTAACGACAATATCGTCATCTACATAGAATTCAATGTTTTCATGATTTGGAACTAAAAATTTACAAAATAATGAGGCCTAAAGATTTGAATTATGCCGTGGATCAACACAGCTAGTGAAAAACCTTGAAACAAATCGATGATCGTTTTTATAGAAATTATTTAACTAAACTCTAAATTTTACTACTCTGTAGTAAGTACCTGATCTGAAGAATAGATCTATTCATGATTTTTCTTTTTGTAATCAACTAATATTTCTACAGCAATTTCATTTTTCTTTATTGAAATTTGAAAACAAAACCTCGATTTTTTATTTTTAATAGATTGATACAGGTAACAGGATACTTGATAGTTATAAAAATGACAATTGATACTCAGTGATGTGCCAATTGCCAACTGTCAATTCGATTTGCTAACTCGATCCTATTGTCGATTCAAAATAAAATAGGATACAAAATATTGATCACATACTAGTACCTAATCTCATCTATGTATATTATGAAGTTAAAAGCAACATTAACTACTGAACCTGTAATTATTCAAACAATTATAATAATTATATATTATGTGTAGGACAAACAAAATATATGGTAATTTTTTTTTAAAGATTTGTATTTTATTTAATTTGAGAAAACCGTTAGAATGAATTTATAGATATAATTCATTAATGAAGTATTTTCTTATTTCACATAATATAACAATGGTAGTATTTAAATCAATAATTGCAGTATTTGAATCTTTCAAACAAACAAAAATGTCTGTTTAAAGTATTTATTCAGTCCATTGCATTTTTGACCATTTTAGCTATCGTCGATCTCGGCGATAGCTATGTTAATAGGTACAGACTACAGTCACTTCTTCGAGTTAGGGATGTGAAAAAATAATCGATTATAAAAAAAAACGATTAAAATCGATTTTTTACGCGATTTTTATATTTAAAATAATCGATTAATAATTGATTATTTTTATAATTGAAAATCAATCAAAGTCGATTTTTCATCTGCCACCTCCCGACATTATGTCTGGTCTTTTATAACCCGGACCTCGAACTATCAGGGATATTCGATATACATCGATGTTTACAATGCGATACATTGAATTCGATTCTTTGAAGATGTATTTATATACTCGATGCATTGATGTTTTTTGTAAAACATTGAAAATAAAATAAATTTATTCAGCAGCACAAAATTACATACAATTAAAAAGACAACAAAAATACTGCAATGTGCTACTGAAAGGCATCAAAACGAGATTAAGTTAATTTCGATTTTGATTATTCTTAAACGTTAATTTGTGTTTATAATTTCTATTGTTTATTTTTAATTAAAAAAAACCATGAAAAATAAAATATTTAGGTGTTTATTTTGAAATTAATTCAAAAATTAGGAAAAAATCGATTATTTTTTTAAGAAAAATCGGTTATTTATTAATCGATTTTTCATGCTAAAAAAATAAACGATTAATAAAAAATCGAGTTTTTATGCAGAATGTCACATCCCTACTTCGAGTCGAATTATAATACCTGTGTAAAATAGGTACACATAGATTAAAGTAAATTGTGTTTAGTTGTGTTGTATAACACAATGAACAGTTCATCTAGCTCCGTAATTTTTTTAAACTAAACAAAAACCATAAGACTTACACCATTGTCTTTTAAATTAATTTCTTAGACTTGCAACCTTTTCATCAAGGTATCGTAGTGCATTTTTGATTCTAAAAAGTAAAAAAGTCAGTTAAAATTTAATGTGTATTTTTTAAGCTATTGCGTAGCTTTTATCGAGGGCTTTGAGCGCGGCGACCGAATCAAGAAATTCCGTAACGAAAATAAAAACCTAACATACGATGACGTAATATAGGTGGGGCCAATACGCGTTAGAGCGTGCTAGAATTAACTTCTTATTTAATCAATAAAAGAAAAATAATGTTTTTTTATCGGTCATCACGCTCAAAAAGTGTAACTTGAATTAATATCAAAGAAAAAAAAAATACTGCATAAATAAAAAATAAATAAATAGGTAATTATAATTGCATAAGTTGATAAAAAAAGCTATGCAATAGCTTTACCGCGGCAGTCCCCGAGTGCTACACTTATTTTTATTTATTTCGTACTCCTACAACTCACTTTAATTATATATAATAAAAAACAATTATACTAAAATATGTCCAAGATGAAACACATAATATTGGATAGGTTCAAACATTAACTATAAAAGAAACAGTCAATAAAAATAGTATAATACGTACATTAGTACCAAATATGGGTGTGTTGTGTGATGGTGTGTGAGTCAGGGTATGTATGTGTGTATGTTGGGGTGCGCTCATGATGCATGTGATTAGTCTGATAGGCAGAAACCAGGAAGTGTAATTTTTCAAGTAGTGAGCTTCATTTATTTATTTATCTGAGATGGTGTCATGCAGTAGCACTATATAGTATTATTTTCGTCGAGTCTAGTGTCAATTTTTAAACGGGCTATTGGCGTGTCAATTATACGCTTATAATTTTCAATTTTTTTGTGTACTGTCTAACTAGGTAATGGTAGGGGAGCCCAAGAGGGGATTTCGGGATTTACTAAAGCGCGGCAGATTAATATATAGGGGGATACCTTGTACCCGGTTAGGTACCTCCACAAAATATGAGGCCCATATATAAGGCCGCCCGTGAAGGAGACAGGATCAGATTAGTAAAAAAAAATTGACCATCAGAAATTCCCGAGCGCGTCAGATTAAGGTAGGGTGAGTTAATTACATCCTAAAAAGTGTATATTCCACTAAACTGACAATTTGAAAGTGACGTAAAAAAAGGGGAGGGCAACAAAGTTGTAAAAAAAAAAGTCATCTCGACATTCTCGAGCGTAGCTAATTTTTTTTATTTTGAATGAAATAATTCAAGAATAATGAAAAATATATAATCTGACGATTTCCGCAAGCCGAAATAACAAAAATTCGTCGATAAAGTTAAATGCGTGCAGCTGCGTCATGCCTACATTTCGTTAAACCGATCGGAATCTACTAAACGGCGTTCTAAATATTTCCCTCAAAATTACATTTCCTGTGAATTTGAACCGATTCGGACTGATAGATTTTGAGAAATTTTGAAAAATCTTAAAAAAATAAGAAATATATTTTTTTTAAAGTGGTTTCTTTATCGATCAACTTCAAAAACTAATCCGCCTTTGAGCTTGAAAAACCACGTCGATCGCCACCAACCTGGTCAAAAGCGGTTGATTCGTTCGAGAGATATCGTAAACGAAAGAAACCCGAAAAAGTGTTTTTTCGGGATTACTCCGAAATTTGTGGTTCGATCAATTAAAATTGCAAAATTACTTATGAGGATGATAAAACTGCGTCGAATGCCGCCAACCGCGTGAAAATTGCTTGATCCATTCAAAAGTTATTGCGGTTTGAAAATTCCAAAAATAGTGTTCTATGAAACTTCTATCAGACTTTCGAGCTGGGAGAGCTCAAATGCATAGAAATGTTATTTCTTTGAACTCAGCGAGCTCAAAATATCAATTTTAAGCGCCCAGGAATGGAATTAGCCGGAAGTTGCAGGGATGGCCCTTTAGGTGAACCGTTTTTCTAAATTTTTTTTGTCAGATCAGGCGAATCCCTCTAGATAATCGTCAGATTATGAGACAGTACGTTTAGAACATACAGATGAACCACATATATCTTAATCTGACGCGCTTGAGTATTTCAAAATTGCGATTTTTTTTTGCAAATTATGAAAATGGCCGTGGGTTTGCGTCCCATCGAAATCAAAAGCTCTCATTCACTAATCTGAGTGAATGAGAGCTTTTCTTTGTGCACTTAACACTCCTTAGAAAATCTGACGCGCTCGATAATTTTTATTTTTTTTCATTTTCAACCCTTAAATACAACCACCCGCATCATGCAAACGATCAGATTAACATACGTACATTATTAAAAATACGTAGGGCATTGATGCTATCAATATCTGACGCGCTCGAGGATGTCCATGCAACAGTTTTTTTTACATATTTAATAATCTATAGCCTTAGAAAATCTGACGCGCTCGATAATTTTTTTTTTTTTTCATTTTCAACCCTTAAATACAACCACCCGCATCATGCAAACGATCAGATTAACATACGTACATTATTAAAAATACGTAGGGCATTGATGCTATCAATATCTGACGCGCTCGAGGATGTCCATGCAACAGTTTTTTTTACATATTTAATAATCTATAGCCTTAGAAAATCTGACGCGCTCGATAATTTTTTTTTTTTTTTCATTTTCAACCCTTAAATACAACCACCCGCATCATGCAAACGATCAGATTAACATACGTACATTATTAAAAATACGTAGGGCATTGATGCTATCAATATCTGACGCGCTCGAGGATGTCCATGCAACAGTTTTTTTTTACATATTTAATAATCTATAGCCGCTTCCCCCACCGATGAAAAGGTATATATCATATAACATTTTTTTCTTCTTATTATCTAAGCTTTGCATCCCAATAGGTCTCTACGACGCTCGAGTAAATCCCCATTTAGCATCGTGGGCTCCCCTACCATAATCAATCCGAGCAACCATAATCAAGAATACTTTTAACATATGTATATTGTATAGTACTCGATACAGATAGTAATCTTAAAAGTGTTATGTCAATATGGACATTATTCGTGATTTTATTGTCTAGCCTTTTTTCTAAGTCATGAACACAGTATACTTCTATAACTAAAGTTTATTTTGTTTTTTTCTTCGATATTCGATCTCGATAATCGATATTCTTTTTTTGCTATAATCCTTACAAAGTTTATTTAAGTCATTTTGCAGTGAAACTTCATTAGGCGCATGAGGGTAAATTTTATACGGATGAAACGCAATAATAATAATATTAGCGTCACGAAGATATGCAGCGTTTTTGTCGAAGACAAGGGATATACCGATTGAAGAGAGTGAGAAGGGTGAATTATCTTATAAAAATTCTATTTTTAAAATTAAAATTTCGTCAAGAGAATTTATGAAATATTAGTATTTTATATTTAATGCAAAATAATATATTGAAATCTCAAAAGACGAATTGTAAATTAAAATGCCACGAAGAAATCAATTAAATTTATATTTTTTATTAATTTTCGACACTTGATATTGTACCGTATCGCGGCACCAGCGATTTTGAGGCTGATTTTTTTTTACAGTCTCGTTATGATCTGTAAACATCATAACTAGTATTGTTATGATGGCGCATGAAAAAAAAACAACTTATTTAAAAAAAATATTAATATACTAACCTAACCTAACCGAATAATAGGTTTTTTGGACAGCTCCGGCGCTACTGGAAATGGGCTGCATTTCCAGTAGCGCAATCCTTGCGTACCAAAGCACAGGCATTTTATTCAAGCCTCAGCGGCTAAGGCTGGTGGTTGAGGGTAAACTGACATCAATTAATACTGTTTGAAAATAAATTAAAAGATCTGTATGTACCGAACGAATTCTCCCCCAGTGTCTGGTTCGGCGAGTAAGCGGTTGCGCTCTGCTATAGCTTTCTCCCGTCTTTCAATTGCAGTATGCAATCTGCCATCATTTGATACTATCTCTTTTTCTGGTGTGTTATTTCGTACTATGGGTTCGGTGCAGACTGGTTTTATTAGAAGTGCCCAAACATCGTATTCATCTGAAGTTTGCTTTACCGCTTCACAATAGGATGACCGAATTTTCCATACGTTAGAAATATTATAATTCTAGAAAATATGCTAGATTACATAAAGATAGTTCATGAAAATTGCTGTTGGTAAAACCATAGGTAAACATGGATCGCAATACCTATTAAGCTATGACCCCCGCTTATATTACGATCATGCTCCGCAGCGTTCGAAGTTGACAAATACTTGCGCATACGATTCCATTTCATAAGTAAAGATTAATTAAATAACTATATGATTGCAATACTTACTATGTCAGCTTTTAAATCTTCAAGTTCCTTTTTTAAAACGTCGACTTCAGATTTAATAGCTATATTTCTTATTTTCTCTAACTCTTTCTGCGACGATAGGTTTATTATCCTTTCATTTAAAGCCTTCTCCTCATCGTGCAGTTTGTCTATTAGCGTCAATGTATCGCGAATACTTCGTTGAAGTAATGTAATACTAGTTTCATCTGACAAATTTAAGAGATTTCATTTTATTTATAAAAATTAACAAATAGTAGGTTTTTACGTAATTGAAAGTTAGTAAGTGTTACTTACATTCTCTTTTTTCTTTTAATTTTGCTTCTTGCTCTTGTTCCTTTAGCTTAATTTTTTCTATTGTTGAATCCATTATTTTAAAATAAATGCAGTTTATGTTTTACTATTTTTTTTCATATAATTATATAATAATGTGATAGGTATATAATTATATTACTACAATTAAATTATTACGAGGATTTAGTTATCCTACTTAATTTCCCGCCATTTTTGAAAATGTAATATTTTAAGGAATTGACCATAGGTTAAGTCATTATATTATAGGAGGCAGGCTGTTTATTCTGTGAACGCTTTTTTATTAATTTTAATTGTCTTCCGGCCAGGATAAATTCTGAAGAGCTCGTTTTTCGTATTATTTGTTCTAGACATTTTCACAATCTAATTTAAGGAATAAGCTTAGATAAAATTATATTTTATACAATAATTAAGGACTGTAGCCAATTACATTAATTTTAGTTTAACACGATACTGTGGTTACAAATGACATTCGTTGGTTTCGTATCCCGGGAGATTTAAATATTGTTTATCATTCCTATTGCTTTGTTCATTGTCTTATATACTTGTTAGTAAAATATGGAAACTCCAGATGCAAACGGATTTGTAAACGTCTTATGGCCTAGCAAAAGTGTTCCACATGGAGGTATTTTTCATACTAGAGTTGTGGAACCATCACGAGCTCAACAAAATTTTTTAAAAGGTAATTTTGTAGGATGCTGCTGTCGAAGATTTGTAATAAAGGAAACGATGCGGTATTATTAAACTATTATAGTCGTAAATGGTAAATTTATATTTTTATATAGAACTATACTATTCCCTAAGATATATAAATTAACCCAATTACCTTTAGGACATTGAGAGATTTTCATCACTTTCAAATATAAATATGTACCTATTTAGATATATTTATTATTTATACACTAACATAAATATATTTATTTTAGTGTTGCTTGAGGAATCAAGGTTAAGTATTGCTCAACGTAAAAAGTCAGAGCTCGGCCTTCGCCAGTATGAGAAAAAAGAAGACCATCAATCACAAGTGGACATTCCTATGGTACGGCCACGAACCTCACGACGCCGATCCCTGTCAGCTATACGGGAATCTGGAATTTTGGACGCAGTATAGTTAGCAGCATTCCTTTTTCTTCATTATCGATATAAGTTTTAAAAGCGTGAATATAGCTTAAAATCGTGTGAAGATATTTCAAAATTATTTAGTTACAGTTACACTTTTATGCGAAACAGTTTATTCATAGTAAAAACTAGTATTAGGTAAAAACTTCTAATGAAATAATTATTGACACACAATACTAACTAAAGACCAAAAAAACATTTCTAGCTATCGTCCCTTAAAGCGAGGGGAAGACCGCGAAAAACTAAAGGATCGACTTGCGAATGTCATGGCATATGGAGAGCAAGAGCAGAAACCTCCGCCGGCCCCGCACCGTGCGAAGTCACCTCCAAAACTGCCTACAAAAAAGGAAAAATGGCATGACTGTAGGTATCTCGTTACAAGAATCATGAATATTTTCGCCGTTCCCTCGACATGTCATCTTTCGAAACAATATATAAAATTTTAAATGTAAAATTTATATAATAAATGCTATGAATTCATTTGCATGATGAGCAATGAGCTATAGTTGTTGGTGGTGAGTTTATTAAACCCAAACCAAATCTACACCTTGTAAGTGCTAACAATATGTGTATCCATTACTTGTTTTCAGTAATGACGCAAATAAGGGAACGAGCTGAGTGGTTAGCAGAAATGGAGGATTTGGGTCATGGGGCACCACATCGTGAACTTATCCAAGACCAGATAGCTGAAAGGCTCCGAGCCCTAGATGCACTTGGCTTGGATGAACCTGCCTCTGCAAGGTCTAAAGGCTCCGGGTTTAGTGTGCTTCCAAGTGTGAGATCCATAGATAGTGGTAGAAAAGAAACTGCAAGGGAAAGCGCTGGATCAAAGCATAGTTCTGGTTGGTAGGAGTCATTAAACTCAAAGTAAATATAAAGCATATTGAAAGGATTCTATGAAATAAAAATGGAGAGACACTTTGAAAGTAAAGCTTTGTAGATAGATGTATACTTAAGATTTTCTTTTCATATTCTATGAAGACTAATTTGTATAATTACAAATGTTTTTTATTGGTAGTTAATTAATGCTCTACTTTCAGTGAGATCGAAGCAATCAACAAAAAGTCTTGCTAAAAAACCATCTAAAAAAGAAGAGAATGTCTTGTGCTATCAAAAGCTACCTACACTACAATATTCACCAAGACGAAGGGTATAAATGGAGATTATTTTGCAAAATTTCTGTATAATTTCATGTATTACCAATTGTAGAGGATAAATAAAATAAAATTCCAGAGAATCTATTAAGTATTATTTTTAATCATCTATTATTAGCTTAGATTTTTTATTTTTTTTTTCTGTAGAAGATGGTCTTTTTACAGATTTTGTTACCACATGTACACATAACTCTTTAGGTGCCGCTTTGTCTATTTCAAATTTAGTGTACTTTCTAACAGGCATTTTCAAAGTGAAAGTTTTATCATAGACTGCTTCCATATTTGGGCCTTTTTTTAAATAAACAATTGTTGAATATGCAGTATAATGAAAATCTTCAGTGAGATAGCCTTCTACTAATAAATATGCAATAACATCTTCAGCAAAAATTCTTGAAAATGAAGGTTCTTTTCCTTTATGTCGCAATGGAACAGGTCCTTTTAGAAACCAAGCGTCAAGAAGTTTTTGAGCAGTTAGTTTAGTATCTTGCTTTGATGCATTATCTAAAATATTAGCCAAAGTCTGGCAGTGTGATTCAAGGTTTATCTCTTTTGTATTTCCAATTCCACTCATGCAAACATCACACATTTTATTACAATCAGAATCACCCCAGTCTTCGTCAAAATGTTTAGCAATCAGTTCTCTTCTACATAAATGTCCATTTAAACAGTATTTCACCATACCATACAAGAAATCCATGCTATCAACAGAAGAAAATACCATTGCACTAACTTTAAAAATGTCTTGCATACGGTATAAAGTTACACATTCTGCCCTCAGACCATCCCTGCCAGCTCTACCACTCTCTTGATAGTAATTCTCCATAGATTTACTTATTGTATGATGAATAACAAATCTGACATCAGGCTTATCTATACCCATGCCAAATGCTACTGTAGCAACTATCGCCTGATATGTTTTTTCATGCCACTTCATGTGTACTTTTGATCTTGCCTCTGCTTCCATATTAGCATGATAACAGCCAACCTTAAGACCCACTTTTCTTAATCCACTGGCAATATCTTCAGCATCCTTAATACTATTTGTATAAATTATACCACTTTCATCTTTATATCTACACTTCAAAAGATTTTCAAGTATATTCAGGCATTCGTCATTAGACGTTGGTTTTTCTAATATTTTATAGAATAAATTAGGTCTATTAAAAGTAGACTTTATTATAAGACATCCTTGAATGTTAAGAATTTTCTGCACATCATTTATAACATGTGCTGTGGCTGTTGCTGTTAAGCCTAATATAGGTATGCCGGGAAACATATTTGACAATATTCCTAGATATTTGTAATCTGGTCGAAAATCATGTCCCCAATGAGAACAGCAATGGACTTCATCAATAGCTATCCTTTGTAATCTACCATTAGAAAAACATTTTTGTAAATTGGCCATGAATCTCTTACTCTTAGCTAATCTTTCTGGTGTTACATAAAGTAATTTGATATCTGAATTTTTATCTTTTAATGCATTCAGAGCAGCATTAGTTTCTTCTTTGGGACTAGTACTGGTCATGAGCATAGCAGGAATATCCTTATTTTTTAAAGACCGTACTTGATCTTCCATTAAGGATACTAAAGGAGATATAACTATTGTTAAACCTTGCTCAACCAAAGCTGGCAGTTGGTAACACAAACTTTTACCAGCACCTGTAGGCATAACAACTATCGTATGTTGACGCGATAAAGTAGAATTGATGGCACTCAATTGCTTAGGTCTGAATGTGTTATTCTTAAATACGGTTTTTAAAGTAGATTCCACTTTTTCTGACCATTCGTAATTAGTACCTGCCCAATCCACTTGTGCTAAGGTGTCAGATTTTAATTTGTTTAGTGACTTTTTAAGTTCTGTTTTCTTTTCATGTAGTTGACGCTGTTTCGTTCTCCATTTTTCCATCTCTGTTTCTACTATAATTAATTCCTTTTCGACCTTTTTAATCTCATGTTCTAATTCTTCTGCAGAAGCCATGGTTTACACAAATCTTAATAAAACGTCTTAATTAATAAATTAACATAGGATTTTAGTTATTGCTTTACACATTATAATTATTTTTATTTGTACACTCGCGCACTCACTGTCACATCTATGCTCTCGTTGCCACAGATGACAGATATCTGATATACTAGTGAAGATGTGAAACTCAATCTCAAGTCTCAACTCATTGTTAACCTCATTAGTGTCATTACTTTTCATTATTGCTTCAGCGTTAAGCTAGGTATAAGATTTTTTTTGTTTAAAGTAAGGTTTAAGAGAATAAAATACTTGAAACTGGCATAAAGTTAAAACTATTGCCATAATATTAAAAAAAGAGAATAAAAGAGATTGATTGATTGTTGATTTTATACTTTATAGTAGGTACGTTACATTCTTCTTAAATTATATTAATTAGCTTATCAATTTGAAAAAAAAGTGTGTGTACTTATGTACACGCGTTAGAAGTTATTTTTCTTTGGCGTAACAAGATAAAAATATTTTCAAAAATTTTATCTTTCGCCTTATACGTTTGTAAAAAAAACGACACTAACAATAGAAAAAAATTACTCTCATCATTTTTTCAAAATATTAATAAACATTGAGTTTTAAATTTCGTTTTTGTCGTTTTTAATCATTTTTAACATCAAACTGAAAGGGAAACATATATAGACAAATACATCATTAAAATTAAATCATAATTTGAATAGTAGGTACGAAATCTTATTTAATTATATGATACTGTGTCATAAGAAAAGGGTCTTTGACGCTGATATTAAATCGAATCAAAGTTCACGGGAAGTAAATAAGGAAATAATCTATTAACGATAATTTGGTTATCTTGGAGGAAGATCAAAGTAGTCTTATTTAAATTCTTAAACATGCGGGTTGTATTTTTGTTATGTTTTTTATCGTAAGTAATATTCTATTTCAATTACAATGATTAAGTATTAGGAGACGTAATTATTTTTTTTTCGTCAGGCTCTTCATTTTAGCTTTTGCTAGCACTGCAGTTCTAATCCTTGCTCGTGGAGGCTCAAAAGGAGTTCACTTAAAGAATCTACGTGATGTTGGCGGGAAAACATTACTATCAAGAGCCATATTTGCTGCAAAACATGCACATCTCAAAGATATAACTATATCTACCGATAATCCTTTGATTGCATTAGAGGCATTGAAGAGTAAGTATAGAGAGACTAACTGTTATAGCAAAACCAAACAATGGTTAAAATAATAAATATGTATAAAATACCACATCATTTTTTTTGCAGACGGTGTCAGTGTTTTTAAAAGAAGTTACGTAACTGCGACTGATTGGGCACCGTCTATTTGGGGTGTTCAAGAGTTTTTGTCTCAAAGGCCTGATATACATGTTTTAGTTTTACTTCAAGCTACATCCCCCTTTACGTCGCCGGAACATTTAAAGCTTTCACTAACAAAACTTGATCAACCGAAGCCATATGACTGCATTTTCAGTGTAACAAGGTAAAGAAGTATTAAATAATGAATGCGTAAGTTTGTTATAAGTTAAATATTGTGTAAGAGTGTCTTCTACTTTTTTAAATACATGTCAAAAAAATGTGTGTGTACCTAAAAATTTGTTAAAAACCTATAAAGGCTATAGAAATTTAATTCTTCCCTCTAGAAGCTTCAAGCTTCGTTGGAATTCGAGTGGTTCAATTGTTTATCCAATAAACTTTAACTATAAACTACGACCTAGGAGACAGGATTGGAGTGGGGAATATATAGAAACTGGCGGGTTTTACATAATTCGATCACATATTATCCAGCAGGGATTTTTACAAAACGACAAGTAAGTTTAGAATATTAAGGTTCAAAAAACAATTTGAAGATAATTTACCAGGGTAAGTTAGAATAACTATGTTTATAAACGCGTAATCATGTAAGTTACTGTTGCAGTTATTGCAAGCCTAGGAGTAGTAATAATATTATAGTCTAGCAATATTTTAATAGCCTCAGGGCGTAGCATACCCGCTGGTCTACTGTACTCCGCTTCAGAGTCAATGAATAAAATAAATATTTCTATATCTTTAAATTACATATGCTGTCTCTATTAAAACCCCTCAATAAATAATAATTTTAATAGTTTAGAATTAGTATTCGCATTGTCATTTGCACAGATTATTTGAATGAAATATAAAAGTGATTGATCTACAGAATTATAAAGTAGGTAGGTATATTATTCTGAGATATATATTATTATAACTTAAATACAAACCTAGATGAAAATTCTGAATCAGATATCATCTATTCACAAGTTCATACTTTCTATCTCTGAAACAGAGTAATAGATTAAACTAAGTAAAAAGGTCACTAGTACTTAGTAACTGGTTAAAGATAAAGCACATTTAGTAATGCCAACTTAGGGGTGTTCCCCCCAAATTTAAGGGGAATCAAGACGTTCAGTGGGTTTTTTAGAGGGCAAGTTTTTAAGAAGTTTATATTAATCGTCGAACCCAACCAAGAAATTAAACCAAAAAACCCGAAGATTAATTTAAAATAAATAACGAAATCATAGCTCAACGGCTATATAAGTACAAAAAACTCGTAAAAATAATGTATGAAAAAAAAATGGTACTAGGGGGAATATTTTGTAGGCGTTGGCATCACTGGGCACAGTTACAGGCTACAGCCTAGTGCCTACAGGAGAAAAACTTAAAACCTCACAAGTTTAGTTGTTTCACTTGTTGTTCAAGTTTTTATATTATATTTAAACAATAAAGTATGTAGTTTTAACAGATTAAATTTTAATGATAATAAATAAAGAAAACAATACGTGGAATTTATGTTGTGCTCATAAGTTTATAATGTTTGGTGTTTACAGTTGCACGTTATGGGAAGTTTCGCAATTAGAAAGCATAGAAATTGACTCAGAATTAGATATTTATATAGCAAATATATTATCATTAGTTCTTTAGAAGATTCCCTTACAGGTATGGTATTATTTAATATTTTCTATAAATTTGTTCCTAGATGAATGAATAATTAATTAAATTTTGTAGAAAACTGAATATGTCAAGAAGTTCTGAAGAGGTTACATATGAGGACTTAGAAGAGACAGATGTAATAAGTGTCGAACTTGTACCAGAGAGGAAAGGTTTAATATTGAAACACTGTGAATATTATGTGAGTTCTCGAAGGCATGGTACAACTGTTACAAGGCGCTATAATGAATTTGTTCAGCTGTATGATGTGTTAGCAATTAAATATCCTTATAGGTAAGTATGTATTAATACTTCTTAAATGGTTTTAGTAACTTAAGAACATTTACAGAGATTATATGACTCATCTACTCGGACAATTGTTTGTATTATAATTTTTTTTCTTTAAATAAATTAATAAGTATAAATTATCCTAGGTAAATTAAAATAGTTGCAATGATGGTTCAGTGTAGACATTTAAATGTAATAAAAATACTATTTGTTCTTTTAAAGTCTGTAACCCTGCAATGGTGCTTCTGTACTACAATATTTGGCATTATTCAGTTTTAAAGTATGTATTATATTTCTATCGCAATATAGAACAGCAAATATTTGATTTTTCTTAACTATTTAATGAATATTTCATTTATAAGTGATGATAATTATAATGTACTGTTTTCTGTCAGAGGAAATATAATCCAACATTCAGATTTGTTATCAGTACAACACTAAAAATTTATGGTTTCAAAAGATGACAAACACATGCCAGTTATATATTATGCTATAGTTGTCCAATAACCCATTTTTTTTTCTTTAAGCATTTTATCCAAAAAAAATATTTTTTATATTTTAATGTGTTACCATAGACAATGTTTTCCTGAAGTATTCTTATAATATTGCTTTCAGAGCAATTTGTGGCCTACCCCCTAAAAGGGTAGTAGTGGGAGGTGGCAGTCCATTGTTTCTGCAAAGGCGTCGAGCTGCTTTGCAAAGGTGGTTGACCTTAGTTGCCCGACATCCTGTGTTGGCCCATGACGCAGATTTGCGAATGTTTTTATGTGAAACCAATCTTAAACTTGATAAGCCAAAACACGATGAATTTATTTTGGCGGGAACGCAAGAAGATAATCGAGTAAGTTATGTTTAACACAACAAAAAAAGCTGTATAGTTTCAGCTCCTACGTTTCTAAAGACAGTGTCGATAATTAGCCCTCCATAGCATCTTATACCAGATGAAGCATTTAAATTAAAATCTTTATTGATCGAGATACAAATTGTTTATCATGACGAGATATGTTTTCTTACACCTGATCGTTCTAAACTTATATGTTCTTAAACATAATGCAAGTATTTGCTATAGACAATGTTGTTCACAGAATTCAGTCTTAATTATCAACATCTCTATTTAAATTGCTTTAAAGTGAAAAAATAAGATACAACTAAAAATAAGATTTTTGTTGGAACATCTACTGATAACAGTTTCTTATCTGAAAAATGCAGACACCATTATTTTGACTGTCCCTTTCACTGTTTATATATGTTTTAATTGCTTTGCTTTGTTCTAATAGTTTTGTCTTAAGTAACTATATTATGTCATATGATGTAGTTCTGCACTTCTTGTGCTCACCTTACCTAATTTTATTGCATTTTCCCACAGTAAATGCCTTGAAGAGATCGCTAGAAAGCGATAAGGCCGCCAGTTGGCCTTGTATTTATTTAATTATTTTAATTGTACAGTATTTTTAACAGCAACAGTGTAAATAAATTAAAATATTTCCCATGATAACTCATAACTGTTATTCAAACTATATGGATACTTCAACGACAAACTTAATTTGTAAGCTTTTTGAAAGCTGTATTCTTGATAAAACTTGAAAATTATCCAACGCGATCATATTATTTTTACTGTTTTACTCAAGTTTAAATTGTCTCAGCACGAAATGACGACAGATGAAATGCAAGAGGAATTCGCGTGTGGTCAGGAACAGTTACGATTGGTGCAGCTGGGTTTGAAGAGGCTTTGCAAGATCTTTGAGAAAGGTAAGCAAAAATTGCATTAAGCCATTTTGTGATGATTTTTAAATACATTTCGAATGCGGGGATGAAAATGAAAGATCATGTCATGTTACAAGATTTAATTTAAGAACACCGTACGACATGAATGCCATAATCTCAGTTCTCACCAGTGTTGCTAGATGGTCTCGGCGACGTACATCTAGACTAATTTGATTTCCCTCCAGAAATCCCCTAGGATGCCTTCAAATACAAAAAAATGTGGGTTCTTGTGTAGTGTTATTACTGAATTTTCATGTTATTTCAGAATTTGTATTTAATTAAAATCACATCGTTCTTTGACAGCTCAAACGAATATACAATTAGTAAGGTTAACCACACGGATCCTATTCTTACGATCTTCAAAAGCCCCCTAAATCTAGGGGAAAAACCTCTGATCGGGCAACACTGGTCCATGTTCTGTATGCTGCATAAAAACTATAAAACGCTTTCAGCTGAAAGCCGTTGTGAAGCTGAGCAAGTGGATATTCGTGAATTGGGAGCGGGTTTGAGCGCATTGTCTGTTACCTCTAAGGCCGATACGCAGCGATGGACCAGGGTCAGGGAATCTATGAAAGCGGCTGCTCAGTAAGACAACCTAAAAAAAGATTTTGTATGTTTTTTTAGGTGATCACACGTCAAGCTAGACACGTTGGCTTGAAACAAGGATTGTTCACAAATTTCAACTTCACCATACGAAATTAAATTTGTTACGCTACAACTCTGTATGAACCCTAAAACTGGAAATCCTTTTTTTGGAGAGCGTACCAATTTTTAAAAGGCCGGCAACGCAATCGCACGCCGTCTGGCATCTTGGCTGTCGATGTATCACTTAATATCAAGTGAAAAAAAAAGATATAATAGATATGTCGCAGCCAACTAGTTTAATTAGCCGTTCAATTAACAAATAAATATTGAAAATACGGGTTTATTTAACTCTCATCTGGCATCTTTTGGATAGGTTTGCCCTCCAATAGACCACATCTCACTTCACATCAGGTGGCCGTCGTCTGTCCAATTCTGTATAAAAAGTTTTTACTAATAATAATCAATCGTTAAGGCTGGTGTCAGACATGGATGAGACTTCCATATCCGACGAGGAAGCACAACAGCGTCTCCTAGTAGCTCTAGACGCGTTAATCGCATACAAGGAGCTCTGTTCGCGGTTAACGCGAGGATTGCACGGCGAGCGAGCAGCGGCCGCAGCCAGTGCGCCGCATAGTGCCGCGTCGCATACACTGCGGGAGCGGCATAGATACGCTATGCGCTGTGCTGTGGAGGTTTGTCTAATTCGATATAACATCTGTGCTTTTATTTTGTCTAGTCTAGTGTAAAATTTATGTCAAGTAGGTATGAAAATATCAAATATACGCGTAAAGAAAAAAAGACACCATAACCACTTTACTATTTTGTCTCCTGTCAAACTGTGTTTTATCCGTGATGAAAGGAGACAGACTTTAACGTTGCAATTGGAATAATTTGATTTTTATGAATAAAGGGGCAAATATATATATATAATTATTTTAATCTACGTGAATTTGCACAAATTGATTGTATTGACTTCACTAACAATACAAGCACAGTAACATTATGCCATAGGTTAATGAGCGATACTTGTATCTGTTAAAATCTATTGTCTATTGAAATATTGTCTATTTTTTATAATAGTGCCCCATCCAAAAGGAAGCATATGGCATAAAGTTAAAACTATTGCCATAATATTAAAAAAAAGGAAGCATATCACGATTATACCTTTGCTTCCGCTTGTTTAATTCCTTGTTATCCACATTTATTTATTATTCATTCCGTATGTCAAACTTCACATTTTTGACATACGGGAGACGTAGCCAAAGTCTGGACTCTGAATCTAATTCCAATTAATTAAAAATATTTTAATTATTACGTCTTATTTTTAATATTAATTTTTGGAAACAAATAAATGAATACTGCCTGAATTGTCTTAAATGCATACAGCGCTTGCTTATGCTTGGAAAGTAATTAAACGCTTTAATGCATTACAACTAACACTGTTAAACTTGTTATAAAATAAAGAGAAATGCCACAGCAAACTACTCAACCGATTTCAACGATACTTAGACTGTTTTTTAAGTTTTAATATAACTTTTTAAATCATCTCTTAATTGGCAAGAAATTTGTGACCAAGGACAAATCATTAAAAATTTAAGCCTAAATATGAAATACAGGTCAAATTGATACCCTCCCTTGCTGAAGTCGGGTAACAAGAAAACGCTTAAAGGCAGTATGGATGGCACTCTCTAGGCTGCTATTTAACTTATAGTTTTATTTTAATAGGAGGCTCGCCTTTCCCGCGTATACGCACTATCCGCTCTCGAGGCTCTGCCCGCATTGCTGCACACACTGGGCACTGCTCACGCACGCATCGCCGCCTATTGGGCTGACCTGCATACCGCACTCAGGCATGCCAATGTTAAATCTAACCACAGATAATACACCCCGGCTTATATTTTGTACCACAGATCTTTATAGGGTTTTGTACTACGACCATAGATTTTTATAAATCGCAGTTTTTTAAGCTGTGGATTGTGTCTGTAGAAAGTCGAAAACTACTTTTTATGAAAATGACAGTATGTGTCTAGAATTCTTCATACAAATTTAGTTTTCGGCTTTCTACATACATTACTGTTAAGGCATCTTGACTAAACCCCTTCCCCTTCACTTAAGTAACTTAAAGTAGGAAGAAATTATTAGAAATTGTTGACAAAACACAGTAAGTAAATTTTAAAAACTGAAATTCGAATTCTACATAAATCAACAATCAAATCACCCTGTGGGGCGTGGGTTCCACCTTGAGAAACACTGACTTATACCATCATCTGACGTTTAAATGTTGTTCTGTGAGTTACGATTCGGGGAGGGGATTAATTAAGTTACCAACCACAAATAAATAGAAACCAAAAACGTCTCTTAATTTTAGAAACAGTATTGACCTATTCAGCGTTGACGGGGTTTAAACAAAATTCAAAATTTCAACAACCTCGGACTAACTTCTTGACAGACAAGATGATAATCATTTATGTCATTAGTGATTTTTATGAATAGTTATGAAAGTACAAAATATTACTTGGATCTAATAAAAACTAAATTATGCCTTATATAAACATTCCAATTTATAAAGTTTTATATTATAAATTGGTGCTAAAAAATAAGTAATTTTATCTCAAGTTTGGTGGCACCTAAAATTATTGTATTACATAATAATATTTGGATAATAAATATTGTTAATTTTGTTTAATTTACATTAATTATAAACTAGTATGACTCGAATATTATGAATCTTAAAAAGATAAGGACTAGATATTAACTTTTTACAGTATATATATAACTTTAACAGCAGGAACATGATAGTTTCGTCAAATAGGAAAAAGTGTTTTTGACAGCTCGTAAGTATTGGCGCCAAATAGCGATACGTTTCCTAAATTCATGCAAAAACATTTACTTTTCTATCGCGGTAGCTATTCGAGTTTATGTATTGTTTTTGGTAAGATGAAAATTTAGAAAAAAAAAACAAACAATGGCGCCTTTCGTTTGCTTGTCACTAATTAAGTGATTTCCTTATATAGCGTAGTTTCGTAAGAGGGGTACTTGTATTGGGTATGCGGGGCAAAGGGAGTGCAATGAATATGTAACACACTTGTCAGTGAGCAAAATCATTAATTTTTTTCGTAATAATCACAACATTGTTAGGTGTACGCTTTGACCCAATTTATTTCCCTAGGGTTTTAATATGAACACAATAACAATTCCGTGAATTCAGAAGAATTTCCTAGCTGTTAAAAATGTGTTAAATAATAATTGTGTTTTAGGCTTTTAATGTAATGCACGCTCATGAGCCATTTATTATATTTTTTGTATGTTTTTAAAATTATATATGTTTGTGTTTATATTTTTAACCGATTGTTATTATTAAGCGTATTTATCGGAACTTTAAAGGTATCCAAAAACTGACGTCGTCAGGCGATACGATTATTAACGTCTCGTAACTTTTACGAATAGTATTTTGATAAAGTTATTTAGCATTTTATAAGAATTTTAAGAATTAGAAATTTGTTATATTTTTCGATTACGTTTATTATGTACCAAAATGTTTGAATACTGTGATATAAAATGGCAATATCCACTATTTGATACTAATATATTATTTTTTTTATATTTAAGCACATTTATATTAGAGATATTTGTATATTTTGAATATTACGGTGTTAATAAAGTTTTTAATAACATGTGTTTGTTTTAACTGTTATCCTTCACAGTTAAGTGGCAATCGCGCCGTGGCCAGATTTCTGTATGTTTTATGATCATTTGTCAATTTAATAGGCAAGTAGGTGATCAGCCTGTGCCTTACACATGCCGTCGCCTTATGGATTTAAGGCAAGCCGGTTTACTCACGATGTTTTCCTTCAACTTCGAGCGAATGTTAAATGAGCACATAGAAAGAAAGTCCATTGGTGCAAAGCCGGGGATCAAACCTACGCTAAAGCCTAGACTAGGCCAACACTGCTAATGATTTGGGACATAAAAAAGACGCAAAAATCTGTTTCTCTATGCCCACCAGTTATAGAACAATATCTTTTCATTTAAAACAAACTAAAAGAGAACCAAACAAAATATATTACTTGGTATTTACCTTACCAAGCCATAAACAAACGTGATAAACTGTTATTAACGTAAGTAATTAAAAATAGAATTAGTTTTATTTAAGCTTAAGAAATTTTCTGAGCATATGACTCGAGAATCTTATTAATATCGCTATCGCTTTGATGGCTGGAACAGTTCCGTTCTCTAGGCATTTCCTTTGTGAACTGGCGAGCTGCGAATCGGCTCTTAGTGGAGGTCTTTCTGGGAGTTGAGACGTCTAGATTTAAAAAAAATAGCATTTCCCCCATAAAAAGGTCGGCAACGTACTTACATGGGTGTCAATGAGCTTTGGCTTTTCAGCAGGCTCTTGCCCATCATATAAACATAATTATATCCCTGTCAATTGTAAGCAAGTTTTTTGTAAATTATAATTGCGTCTTAAAATTTGTAACTTACTATAACATTTTATTTTATAACGCCTCATATTAATAAAACAATAGTAAATTACGTAAGACAAACGAAATTATTTACAAATATCATCTTTTGTTTTTATCATGATCTAATTTATATTAATTCATCTTCCATATTCCTTTCTAGTCGACATCTAATGATCTATGGGGATGGACGTCTTTATTTTTTTAATTGGATTAACTGCGGTGACATCGGAGTACATTAATGACCTAAGCCATGTGGAAAGCTTCCTACGAAATAAAGAGTCATCATTGAGAAAGAAGTACAGACCGTTTTATCATCTCACCGCTCCCGATGGCTGGATCAGCAGCCCCACGGGACTCACAGTTTTCAGACGAAAATACCATTTGTTCTATCAATACTACCCTTATAATGGAGCTTGGGGGCATATGAGTTGGGGTCACGCAGTTAGCGGTGATCTGATAGATTGGGTCCACTACCCAACTGCAATTTTACCTAAGGATTACTACGATAAACATGGCTGCCTCGCAGGAACAGCTCTTGTAAGAAATAACTTCTTGACTCTCTTCTACACAGGCAACGTTCTATCTGAGAACGAGAGCATTCAAACACAAAACATCGCGCTGAGCGGAGATGGTGCCATCTTCCAGAAATATCTGTATAATCCCATAATTCGCGATTCACCTACTGGAATTGGTGAAATCAGGAACCCAAAAGTGTGGCGGTTCCGTAACATTTGGTACATGGTACTTGGAACATCCTCGAGACAACGACATGGCCAACTGATTTTGTATACATCCAATGATATGTTTAATTGGAAAATGAACGGAACACTAGTAGAATCTTACGGAGATATGGGACATATATGGGAGAGTCCAGATATTTTCGAATTAGAAGGTCACCACGTGTTAATTCTCTCGGTGCAAGGAATCGAAGCTGATGGCTTCAGATTTAGGAATCTCTACCAAAATGGATACGTTAATGGGTTTTTCAATTACCGACGAGCAAGGTTTGAGGATCTTGAAGTCTCCACGGCCACGTTTCATGAATTAGATTTTGGACATGACTTTTACGGTGCTAAGACGATGCGAGCCCTGGATGGGCGCAGATTGTTGGTTGCTTGGTTGGGAATGTGGGAGAGTAATTTTATAGAGTCGACGGCTGGTTGGGCGAGCATGTTGACGCTATTCCGAGAAGTGCGTATCAATAAATACGGAAGACTTCTACTAATGCCTATACGAGAAATGATTGAGTTAAGGACGGAAATGTTAGAAAATGCTTGGTACAGTCCTGGCGAGTCCTTCGATGCTGAAGGTAGGTCGTTTGAACTGATCGCAAATTCGACTTCGGTGGATTCTGATGTTGGACTTATATTTGAATGGAAGGATGGCCGCTACGTAATTGGGTATTCGGCTGATCACGAATATATTATGATAGATAGAGGTGGCATAGATGGTGTGAGGCGCGCGTTTTGGTCACCAAAGAGTTCCGTTAATTTAAGGATTTTTGTCGACGCGAGTTCTATCGAAGTATTTTGTGGGGAAGGAGAAGTGGTGTTTTCGAGTCGCGTGTATCCACGAGCCATGAGCATTAGGATTTCTGGAGAAGCCCAACTTCACCTGGTGCAATATAAACTTCGACGTAGCGCTGGCTATGACTATAAATTGGCTAAGGGTTTGAAAGAAAACTTTCTGCATAAGTATAATTTGTATAATAATGTGTCGTTTTAACATTGTTCAATCATTGTCTTTTTTAAGAAAATTTTCAATAGAAAAGTTATATCAACGTTAAAATGTTGTTTTGTGATAATGAAATTCATTAAATAAATATTACGGTACGTAACAAGAAGTTTTTATATTACCCTTGAGATTTTCCCTCCCGGCCTTATTATAAGTAGTAGGTATTGAGATTATTGATTTATACTGAAGTAGGTATTAAATTACTACTAGCTACTACATTGACATTATTATATAGATGCGATATAATACACTTGTTTGGCCATATTAAGTAATACATTTCCCTATATTTTGTTCTTTTTGTCAATAACCGCCTTCATTTTCTAAAATATTTGTCTCTAAAGGTGGGAACTGACCAACGTTACGAGGTGTAATGTAACACGTTACACAGCGAGCATTCAAAATCAATAGGAGACATGCGTACAAAGTTTTTATACTGTCCAGTAATCATTTGGTTTTTTAAAATTGCTATCAATGACAAACCACCACATCTCGTGAACACTGGCGGCGAAAGCGGAGCACAGAGTTTTGATTAGCATGTTACGCCGATTTTAAAACACAGCGTAACATGCTCGATGCGTGACACGCTCGATGCGAATGCTACATTACACCTCGTAACTTTGGTCAGTTCCCACCTTAATATTTCCATTCTGAGCATCGAACGTTTACTGACAGTTCTAACGAGTACAGAATAATGTAGTCTATGAGCCGATTAAAGAATAATTCAAAAAATGATTATAATTCACAATAGTTTTATAAAAATGGACCAATGCTTTAGACATTTCCTGACAAAAAAACTTCCTAGAAGTACGATAAAAAGTACATTGACATAAAATACACTAGATTCTGTCTTATGTCATCAAAGTAATATGTGCATACTTACGATTTTTTAAAGTAACAGAAATTAAAAAAATATTTTATTATTCATAGTCACATATTACATAAAATGGAATTAACATTTTTTTTTATAGAACAGGGGGCAAACGGGCAGGAGCCTCACCTGATGTTAAGTGATACCGCCGCCCATGGACACTCTCAATGCCAGAGGGCTCGCGAGTGCGTTGCCGGCCTTTCAAGAATTGGTACGCTCTTTTCTTGAAGGACCCTAAGTCGAATTGGTTCGGAAATACTTCAGTGGGCAGCTGGTTCCACAAAGTGGTAGTGCGCGGCAAAAACTGCCTTGTAAAACGCTCAGTTGCGGACCGGCGGACGTCGAGGTGATACGGGTGGAATTTCGTACTCTGCCTCGACGTCCGATGACGAAACTCAGCTGCAGGTATTAATCCGAACAACTCCTCTGAACACTCTCCATGGTAAATGCGGTAGAAGATGCAGAGTGACCCCACATCTCTACGCAACGCCAAAGGATCAAGCCGCTCGGAGTGGGATTGGTCGTCGACGATTCGAACCGCTCTTCGTTGAATACGGTCAAGTGGAAGGAGTTGGTACTGGGGAGCCCCCGCCCAGAGCTGAGAGCAGTACTCCACGTGGGGCCGAATTTGCGCTTTATATGCGCATGCGGTGGCCCGGAGTGAAGTACCGTCTCGCCCTGCTGAGCACACCAAGCTTTTTGGAGGCTAATTTAGCCTTTCCCTCCAAGTGACCGCGAAACTGAACGTCGTTCGATATGTCAACGCCAAGTATTCCAATGCTGGCTGTGGCTTTAAGAAGAGTGTTTTCGAAAAGAGGAGTAGCGACAAAGGGTGTTTTTTTAGCGGAAAACGCGCAAACTTGTGTCTTCTTGGGGTTAAATTGGACTAGGTTTAGTCTGCCCCAGTCTGAGACTCCACGTAGTAGAGTTTCGACTTCAGACACAAGTTTGTTCCGGTACTCATCGACAACTGCCCGAGAAATACCTGCCCGGCCAGTGTAAAGAGTATCCCCAGTGCTGTCATCAATGAATGTTGCTAAGTTGCAACATATCATTGATATGCAGAAGAAACAGGGTCGGGGATAGAACACAGCCTTGTGGGACCCCCGCGTTCACGGGTTTAAGGTCGGAATATGCTCCGTCTATGACGACCTTGATGCTCCGATCGGACAGAAAGCTGGAGATCCAATCGCATAATTTCTCGGGTAGCCCATAGGCTGGAAGCTTCGAGAGCAGTGCTCTGTTCCACACCCGATCGAAGGCTTTCACTATGTCCAAACTAACCGCTAGCGCCTCCCCCTTGGACTCAATTGCCTCTGCCCATCTATGTGTAAGGTATACAAGAAGGTCACCAGCCAAACGACCACGACGAAAGCCGTACTGATATTCGCTAATCAGCTGGTGGCCCTCTAGATACCTCAAGAGCTGGCAATTAACAATGGATTCCATTATTTTGGAGAACAAGGAGGTTATGGCTATTGGGCGATAGTTGGACGGATCAGAGCGATCGCCTTTTTTAGGGATCGGCAATGTGCTCTGACTTTGCCTTAGTGATTTCCCGGTTGAAGGATCTGGAGGCTGAGTTATATGCTTTTTTAAGTTCGCTGGTATTGGCATCACGAGATTTCGCCGCTTCCGCCCATGCCTTAAAGCATTCTCGCTTTCGACACGAGGCCGCCTTGCAAGAACGTTTAAACCAGGGCTGAGACTTGCCACCGATCGGCACCGCAGAAAATGGAATAAAGAGTTCCATACCCTGCAGAACCACTTCGGTGACAGAGGCAGCGACGGAATCTGGAGCTTCCGACGATAAGCACATAGGCCCCCAAGGGTAGGACGCAAAGAAAGACCGCATCCCGTCCCAATCTGCTGACTTGTAGTGCCAAATACGGCGACAACCCAAAAAGCGGGGCCGTGAAGGGCGCGTAGAAGGCACAGTACTCCAGACCACACAATGATCTGATGAACCCAATGGCGGGTCAACAGAGACTTGATAGTTCTCCGGATGTGAAGTCAGCAGAAGATCCAACAAAGAGGGTTTATGACCATCCACATCTGGTATTCGCGTAATCGCAGGGACCATTTGTGTCAGGTCGTAGGCTAAAGCAAAGTCGTGAAAGGATCTTCCCGCGTGATCGGTAGTATCAGAGCCAAGCCAATCGGCATGGTGGGCGTTAAAATCGCCATGTATCACGATTTCAGCGGTAGGAACCCTTTCGAGCAGGGAATCTGTAGCCGTTTGAATGTGCTCGATGAGTCGGTTAGTTTCGTCATTTCCGCTATGGGACCTATACAGGCACGCATAGAATCGCGGATGGTCATCGCAGTCTACGCGCAGCCAGAGGTTAGATAGGTCCCTTCCTTCAAGCGTCCCGAGGCGACGAGAACAGATATCCTCCCTGACGTACACGCAAACTCCCGCCCGCGGCACAAATGAATGTTCCAATTTGTACCCCGGATTTATGGGCTCCGGGAGTCTCACTCACCGCACGAAACGCGAGTAATAGTAAGATAAAATGAACTTATTGCATCACTTCACGCCGGTTTTCTGTGAGACAGTGGTACTGCCCCGGTCGTGCCTGCCCATTTGGCTGAAGCCCTAAAGCAACAGCATGGCACTCCCACTAGGATGGGGGTTGACTGATTGCACTGGTGAAATAACCTCTGTTACAGGTTATTTCACCAGTGGGCGATGGGGTCGTCACATCCCGACGCCGGAAAAAGAGACACATTTAAAAGAGTCACAGAGAGAGTTGAGAACATTAAAAAAGAGACAGTCACTATTGCTTAAAATAAGTGTAAGGCGTTTAAAATTCAGCATCTTAAAATAATTAAAGGCGGAAACATACTACCAAAACGCGACGCTACACCACGCCATCCGACGCATGTCAGTACTTATCAATCCAATATATTTAATATGGTCAGATGCACATAGACAACACGCCATGTGATCACACGCGGTAACATCCAATCGATTTGGATCGGCGTGTTGTCGTGTTGTTGACGCCAAGCGTCAAACGTTCGAGTTTTTGGCACAAATGTCAATTGTCAGCTAAATGACTTCTGAATTTGCAAGTGTGTCGTGGTGTCGCGTGTTGGTAATGTGCACGATGGACATCGGGTGTCGACACGTTGCGTCGCGTGGCGTTTTAGTAGTATGTTTCCACCTTAATACGTCACATCCAACATATTTTACTCTCTACACACTTTATTCTTGAGTCTTTCAGACTTTAATTATTACTCGCCCACTCTACTTTGTCATGCGTAAACAAGATGGAAAATATATTGGATAGGCTTGCAAAAAAATGTTATTGTAATATAATTCAAACCGTTTGCAACTTTAAATCTAAGGTGATAAGAATAAAAGTCGAACCGATTTTCACTGTAATAGTGACGTCATTAAACTTTAACATAGATTATAAAATAAATAATTCGAGAATACGAAAACGATCTTAGATCCAGGTTGTTGGACTATATTATATTGTATAGCATTGTTTTGTTATAACAATTATACTATAGTTAATAATAATTAGAGTCAATAATAATAATACACAGTATTTGTCGTAGAAATTGAAATATTTTTGCTATATCAACCCAACTAATAGGTTAATATTTTTTTGTTAAACTTTACATCAAGTTGATTAACTGAAATTGATCAACAAATTATCTACCCGAAAGAGTTCAGATTATAACTCATCTGATTTTTATCATCTTTGGAATCTTGTGTTACTTACCTTTATAAGATTACCACAAATAGTGGGAATTTTACTACATATTTCCTTCATATTATTCCTATGTTTATGACATGTTATAGGCAGCGGCACGTAAGTCTAGCGCTGGCCGATACGTGGAGGGGATTGCTGCGCATGTGTACTGTCGCGCACGCAATACATTATATGCCACTTTGATTAATGATTACCTAAATAACGATATTAAGCTGAACGAAATGTGAAGGATAGCTGCTGCGCATGATTACTGTCGCGCATGTAAGTAATATTACCTATCTATAAGATATAATAAGACAGTAAAAAAGTGTCTGTACATAGAACGTATTTCCAAAAAAGACCTAAGATATTTTAACAAGTTTATGGTATGTAGAAAAATAAAAACATTATCTTTTAATTTGTAATCTTTTATTAATCTGAATCAGAGAACGGTATCACGCCTTCAATGGTCTCGCGACACGGCCTTTTACTTACTGAGGGCCCGGGCTCAGGGCTGCTTCGTTCGTCGGCACTAGCGTCATCTTCATTGCTATCCTCGGAACTATCTCCATCGACATGAATAATGAATTGTTCTGTTACCAAATCCACAACATGATCACTCTTTGCATATTGCTCTTCTATATCCTTATATTACAGTAACAATAATATTAATGACGCGACTGTACACGGGATGTGCGCGGGACGTCGTATCGGTGCGGGGGACGGAATGCGACTGGAGGCCAATCGACGCTACGCGCGCCCGCTCTTCATTCCGCTAGCCCCCCTCAGGTACCTTATTTGTTACTACTGCGCAATAACGGTCAGCGCTAGAGTTTCGTACCGCTACTAATACATATCTTATGCTTGAATACGTATAATATAGAGTACGGTTTCAGAAGGTTTAAACGTAAAATGAGCATAAACCATTTTGCGTGATAAAATATAGTATTAGTAGTATTACCTATATTATCTTAAGTGACGAGACACTGAAAAGTGACTTATTCTTAATTAGTGAATAGTTACTATAAATTTGATGTTAGCTACTACATATTGTGTTTTGTTGTATTTAGGAAATAAATAAGTATGATATAAGTAATGGCAACATTTTTGGACTATTGTTAAGTTAATGTTCTTAATATTTGTCAATTGTCACAGTAGTGAAAGGCTTAGTCAGGGGGTGGGATGGGTACAGTTTCGAAGGTTGAAAAGTTTTTGTTCGTAATAAATCTCACTCAAACGAACGTGTAACTAGTTTAATATAATATATCTTTGTTATTTAACATATGGTTATAAATGAATGAACTTCAATACTAAGTGTATTAACAATGGCCAATGCCAGTATTTACTTTGTCGTGGCTGTTCTGTGTATCAGTTTTGTAAATTCCGATGCTACTTTAAAGTTTTATCAAGAAAAGGTAAGCTTAGATCTTAAAAACTTTTTTAATCAACACGTTTTAGTAAATCTCGCAATTTTTATCTGTTACCGCGTGATTTATCGCTATAAATATATTTTTATCTATTATAAGCTTTTTCTGCTTGTATTACTTCGTAATTTTAAATCAACAATATTTACAGATAATTTTAAAGTTAAATGCTTATATTCTTTTAATAATACAAATAGATAGAAACCAAAAATATACATCAACTTTTACTATAAAATTCTTTAAGGAATTAAATAGTCCTTTTTTTGTATAGGTTCATTTCATAATTATAATTAATTTATTTCAAGATATCAAATTCCTATGTTTTTTTATAGAATACTTTTATCACTGTCTAGACTATTGAATATAATCACAATTATCTAAGGACTTGCAATCTCTAGCATCAATTGAATTATTTGAAAAATTATCTTGTATTTTTCACATTTTTGTAACTTACTGTATTCATTATAAATCAGTATTATTAGATTATTTATTCTAGAGATGTTAACTTGAAAAATATTTTTTAGTAATAATGCTTATTTATAGTATAGTAAAGTTAATGTAAAAAGCACAATATTATGTTTAAATTTTTTTTAATGCCAGGAAATATTACTTATTTCATGATGATTACAGAATGTCCATGAAGCTCTAGAGCTTACAGATGATGATATCAAAAATATTGCCAAACTTTCTAATAAACAGGATTTTAGAGAGGTTCTTGATAAAATTCTTATACCAAGAGTGGTAGGAACCCCAAACCATAAAAAAGTTGGTGATTATATTGTAGATGAGATGAAAAACTTAGGCTGGGACGTGACTGAAGATATTTTCCCTGATACAACACCAGTCTTTGGCACCTTGAACTTTAGAAACATTATTGCCAAGTTGAATCCAAATGCTGATAGGTATTTGGTGCTTGCCTGTCATTACGACAGCAAGTACACAAGAGAGCATGATTTTCTAGGTGAGTTCAATTTATTCTCTGCTGCTAAGGATGTGTTTCTAGGATTAAGAAGAAATATGGTTAATCGATTTGAAATTTCAATACATTTCACAAAACTTTAAATTTTTATTAAAAATAATTAGACGCGTTTCCTGCAGCAAAAATCACTTGGAGGTGTTCCAATGAAGGTCCCCCGAGACTCCTAAATACTTAGTATCATAAAAAAAGTGCGACGGTATTCAAAACCCAACCCCGTCTTTCTTGCTAAGGGGCCAGGTTTCAGAACCATAAGTGTGCACTTTTTAACAAGTCACAGGGGAAAATTAAGTAATAACTTTTGTGTCATATTTCCTTAGAATCATTGATCATTTATTTTACTGTTATGTCACTTAAATGTTAAAATTATATATTTTGTGTATCAAGATTTCATGTAGAGGCTCAGAGCTATAATTTCAAATGACGATAGCCATCCCCAAAGGCTTTAGTACCCAAAAAGTTCTTGCAATATCCTTTGCTATGATGTTGATAACTACCGATTGCAAGGTATAAAATCTCAATATTGTGGGGCTTGTTATCACTATTGAGACTGAGTATCAGCGCTGCTTTGAGAAATCACTCATGACAAGTTTTTGTATAGAAGAATTGTTTAAGTTGTAGTCTAATATAAAATACCAAATGTTTAACTGTCTTTTGTTATTATATTACTTATCACATACTTAACAAATGTATGTTTATCTACATAATGATGAAAAAACTGTCTTGTTGTGTGGCGTCCAAATTAAAATTAGTTTGAACATAATATGGCAACCATGTTCCTTATTATCAAACCTTAACACAATTATTACCCGCTGAAGTAAAAAGAGTATCCGAGCGTAGCAAACACCGTTAACAGTCGTTTCACACTAATTTCACGCGTTTCTTCCGACGAGAATAATGTATTGATTAAGCAAAATTAAAACAATGATTGTATCTGAATCTATAAAGTAGGCCTAGTATTATTTAACAAATTATAAATAAAATCACTGCCTACGTAGCAGAGTGGTAATACCATGTAACATAGAATTCAAAAGTCCTGGCTTCGCTCATTTTAAAACAATTGTTTCCGTTGGAAGGCTCAATAAGCACGCAGGTGAAACTGTATTTCAATCTAAAATAATGTTTTGCGGTACAAGTCTAGCCATTAAGATATACTTCAATTCAGTTTTGACACGAAAGCCCTTAATTTTATATGAAAAATTGCATTTTAGGCGCAACAGACTCCGCAGTACCGTGTGCGATGATGATCAACCTCGCGAAAGTTTTGTCCAGACAACTTGACCCATTAAAATTCGGTTCACCAAGTTTGATGTTCATATTTTTCGACGGAGAAGAGGCCTTCCGACACTGGGGACCGAAAGATTCAATATACGGAGCTAGACATTTGGCTAAATCGTGGCATTCAACGCCATACAAAGACGGTGCAAATCATTTGCAAAGAATGGTATGTATATATTTTTTTTTAACTCAAAATAACTGTATTCATACGAGGGGAGGTCCAAAAGTTCGTGGAATGGAGGGGATGGAGTGGGGATAGGGGCGCTCGCTTAGTGTCATACTAATTGGGGACTCATAATTAGTATATAAATGGAGTTTCAGCCCTATTGCGTCATTCGTTTACGAACACTCGCCTGCTAAACACGTCAATCCGGAAGAAAACTGAAACTATGGAGAAAATTGAACACCGTGCTGTCATTAAATTCCTTACCAAGCAAGGAAAGAACGCTCAGACCATTTTGAATGAAATGGAAACTGTTTACGGAACAGTGCCCTAGTAAATCAATGATTTACAAATGGCATGGTGTTTTTAAACATGGTCGGGAGTCGATTGAAGACGACCCCCGCTCAGGAAGGCCAGTTGAGGCCACCACATCAGACATCGTCGAAAAAGTGGAAAAAATTGTACTGGAGGACACCCGTTTGAAGAAAAAACAGTTATCTGCATTAGTTGGAGTATCAGATACCACAATTTTGCGAATCCTACATGACCACCTGGGTATGACAAAAGTCAGTGCAAGATGGGTACCGAGAATGCTCACGCCGCTTCAAAAACAGCAGCGCGTCGAAGCGTCAAAACATTTTTTGAGTTGTGTAGCGACGATCCTGGATCGATTTTGGAGCGAATTGTTACCGGCGATGAAACATGGGTTCATCACTTCGAGCCTGAGTCCAAACAAGAGTCCATGCAATGGCATAAAAAGGAGACACCACCGCCAAAGAAATTCAAAGTGTCGGAGTCGGCTGGAAAGTTGATGGCTACTGTTTTTTGGGATTGTGAGGGGATAATACTGATTGATTATAAAGAAAAGGGCAGGACCATAACCGGAGAATACTACGCAACAATACTAGAAAAATTAAAGGATGCCATCAAAGAAAAACGTCGGGGAAAATTGACCAAGGGTGTGTTGCTCTTGCAAGACAACGCGCCGGTTCACAAGAGCAAAGTTGCAATGGCTGCTCTACACACGCATGGCTTCGAATCACTAGTCCACCCACCCTATAGTCCAGATCTGGCCCCAAGTGATTTTTATTTGTTCCCCAATTTAAAAAAGACTTAAGGGGAAGGAAATTTTCCGACGACAATGAGGTAAAGGAGGCAATTTTGGCTCATTTTGAGGGAAAAGATAAAAAATATTTTTACGATGGTTTAGAAAAATTAATTCATAGATCTAATAAATGTATTCAGCTTAAGGGTGATTATATTGAAAAGGAAAAATAAACTTACTGTTTCATTTTTACTAAAACCCTTTCATTCCACGAACTTTTGGACCTCCCCTCGTATAAGTAAACAAGTGCACTTATGAACGTCAACAGAAAATATGTTAAATTGATTCTAAATTTACATTTACTACCAGTTCGCAAGTCAAGGGCGTAGAGCGGTAAAGAAACTCACCGCCACTCTTTTTGTAATCGCCAATTGAATCATTTAGTGAGCTTAGTGTTAAGCTTGTAGTCCTCCCTCTCTGTGGTCATTCAGAGTCCCGTGTTGTTGGTGACCAGACACTTCCGAGATATAGGCAGCGGCACGTAAGTCTAGCGCTGGCCGATACGTGGAGGGGATTGCTGCGCATGTGTACTGTCGCGCGGGGGACGGAATGCGACTGGAGAGCCAATCGAAACTCTTCATTCCGCTAGCCCCCCTCAGGTACCTTATTTTTTACTTCTGCGCAATAACGGTCAGCGCTAGAGTTTCGTGCCGCTACTTGTACAATATAAGAACTACTTAGTACTTTAAAAAAGTGTGTACGTCTCGGGACGCCCGGAATGATAACTTAAACTAATCTAAGTTGAACTATTTAATTCTTTAATGTTCCGAGGATCATCTTCAGCTTCATTCATCATGCTTTTTATAATCACTTTCAAAAACGGTGATAGTTTGGTTATGTGCTCACTGTCTGAGTAGAGAGAGGATGAAGCGTCTGTCCGAAACACGGCTAGGCATTGCGGTGAGAGGGAGAGCTGCATACGAAAAGGTAAAGCTAGACAGACCGTAACGCGTTACGTAACGGAGCGCTTTACTATCTCATAAGAAGTTATATATAAAAAAATAGATAAGTTTGTGTTTTGAGTAGTTTGTGCCTAAATTAAAATTTTGCTTGGAGTAAGCTGGCGTAGGACACACGGAACATTCAGGCGTCTACTAAGGGTGAGATTCAGAATGACAACGTGCAGCTCTCCTCCCCGAAGTCGTTGGTTCGAACCCCGTGCAATACACCTTCTATTTAAGCGCATTAACATGGTGAAGGATAACCTATTCCTAGAAAAACAAATGGTTACGAAACACGTCATATAAGAAATCTGAGGCCCTGACCTAAAAGTTTTTTATCATATTTGCATAAATAGACAACTTAAAAATAAATATTTTTATTATTTATCATTAATAACACTCCAATTAATTGAGAAGCTTGAAGGTGAGACATCATAAAACATGATTTCTATACAACAAATAATTCTATGACAAACTAGCTGATTCCCTTCTTCTATTGATCTTAAAGATTCATTCTATATGTGTTATATTTAAAGTATAAACATCTTGTTATTCTAGTTTTTTATCACTGACACAGACTTTTGTAGAGGCCATAGTTCATACGTTATCATTTAAAAATAAACAAATCTATTTGCTTAGTCTATTGGCTTTCTGTTATTATCGTATTTATTTGGATAATAATAATTATTTAATTTGACTTCACAGCTTTTTTGAAACCTTCCTAAACTCTAAATTATTAATAATTTACATGTTACCTTTGTATTTGACATATTAATAACTCCATAATTTCATGAATTTTTAAAATCCATAAATACGGTACTTCACTCCGGGCCACCGCTTGCAACTATATAAAGCGCAAATTCGGCCCCACATGGAGTACTGTTCTCACCTCTGGGCGGGGGCTCCCCAGTGGCTCCTTCCACTTGACCGTATTTAACGAAGACCGGTTCGAATCGTCGACGACCAATCCCTCTCCGAGCGGCTTGATCGTTTAGCGTTGCGTAGAGATGTGGGGTCACTCTGCATCTTCTACCGCATTTACCATGGAGAGTGTTCAGAGGAGTTGTTCGGATTAATACCTGCAGCTGAGTTTCATCATCGGACGTCGAGGCAGAATACGAAATTCCACCCGTATCACCGCGACGTCCCGTCTATCGTTTGCCCCCGTTCTATAAAAAATATATATATTGATTTGTTTCTCTCTTAAGTTATAATAAATAAATAAATAACGCTAAAAACTTGCTCGATTTAAATATTTATTTGGATTTATATGTATATGATTTATTTATCCTTTATCTTTAGTATAAATAATCCATGCCTCCTCGGTGGATATATAAATCATTACATATACATATTATGTTTGAATATTTTACAATTGAAATTGATTAAAAGTCTTGTTGCTAATATACTTATAATAATGGCTCTTTAGAAACGTTAATTCCTTTTTTTAAATTAAAAGTTACGAATGTAATAAAGATAAAAATTTACCAGGTATAATTATTAGAATCTGTAGTTCTGGAATTGACATTAAAAAAAAAGTAATTAAATATTTGTTTTGAACTTCAAAAAAAAATATCACTTTTATATGTAATATTTGAGTATGATGATTTATTTGGATTTCCCAACATGTATGGTATAATCATAGACAAATTTCTCGGCATCTAGAAATACATTGAAATGCTTCAATAATTTTTGAGGTACCTATGCATAACCACGTACCTACTACTGGAGGGAAATATGTGAAGTAATGAAAACCTCATTAGAACCTAAAATAACGTTAATAAATTCCAGGATGTTCTGGTGCTTTTGGACCTTCTGGGTACGCCAGACCCAGTGTTCTACAGCTACTTCAAGGCTACAGAACGTTGGTACATTCGTCTTGCAAGCGCTGAACAGCGGCTCAGTGAACTCGGTCAGATGTCAGCATATTCCACGGGTAAAGCCGAGCAAACATACTTCAGGCTAGTGAGTTCTGGCGCACATATTGAAGATGATCACATACCATTTATGAGGAGAGGTGAGTTTGAATACGATTTTTTATGGTTTATGTTTTAAATAAGCTTTACAAAAAAGCAGATTGCCTCCGGAGCTTGGAACGGCTGGACTTTTTTGTTAAATATTTATGGAAATAGATATAGTCTAATGACAGGGCAAGGGTAGCATTTTTATGGAGAACAAATTTAAGAAATTGAGAAAATTTTGAGTTTATCAATATCAAAAAAGGGTGTGTACTTATGTACGCGCGTAAGAAGTTATACTTCTTTGGCATTATTAAAAATAGTTTTTGATTGCATGCAAATAATTAATTACAATTAAATAATCAAAGACTGGAAAAGGAGTCATAGTCAATAAAGTTCAGTTTACATTTGAAAAATTAAATAAATAAATATTTATTATTATTCTCTTACATTAAGTGTAACATAAATTCTATTATTATTCGAATGTTGTTTTTAAATTATGTCCAATGCCGTAGCATCTTCCGTGGGCAACTTCATTCTGTTAATTTTGTGTCACGGTGCGCGCGCATCATAAAATTTCACTGTCATCAATTTTTCATAACGCGCCTAAAGAAGTATAACTTCAAAAATAATAGAAATCTTTCTTCTTTATAGTATTAATTAGTAGACTCAAAAGTTGTAAAGTTATATTTTTTTAGCTTTCGAGGCGATTTTCTATTATAATCAATGAGAAATATATACATATATATAACTATAGTAAAACTCATAAATGCTTTTCTATAAATATTAATAAAAATAGCCTGCATTTGAATACTACATAATCAAGATTACATTAAGTCAATGTCATGTTTAACATAAGTACTCGACCTTCGACGGAGTGAAGGCCTTCTCCAAATTCTTCTACTTGTCTCTCATCCTCGCCACCATTTTCCAATCCTTCCCCGCGATCCCTTTTACTTCATCCAAATTATTTTATCATGAAATATTTAGAACTAGGTCAAATGAATCGAATCAAACTAAAATATTATGTATAATTTTTCACCCCTCAAAATTATCGACATATTGACAGCCGATATAATCAGCACGACAAATGACTTTTCGTAATTATGGATTGTTTAATTACATCCTTTATCCTTATAATTGGTGGTACTAAAAGTAAAAACACATTAGTATTCGATATTTTTGAACAGTAGATCCATTGTTACGCATTTTCGCTTCTTCTAAGCCTCCATATATGGAGGTGATCATAAATGATCACAATACGTTAATAATTAATTTTGATTTTCAGATGTAGATGTACTTCACGTAATACCGAACCCATTCCCAAAGGTTTGGCACACCGCAGGCGATAATCTATCCGCATTGGACTTCAATACCATAGATAATTTGAATAAAATCTTCCGCGTATTTGTATGCGAGTATTTGCACGTCGCTCCTTAGCGATTGTGGCGATTTTTGATCTACGATGATACCGAAAGATTTTGAGAAAATATAGCCTAACTCTGACTTTGATATTTGACAGGTGTCAATAATTTATTTTTATTATCTAAAATTCGTACCTACAGTCTATATTTTATTTAGATAAAACAAGGTCTCGAGAAATTTCTGACTGAAAGTCAACTGTCAAAATGTATGTATAAACCATAATGTAAAATAACTCTTATTAATTTAATCAGCTGGAATTTATGAAATTGACTAAAATACTAATGTCACTCAACAGATGACACCTGTGAACTTGTGGCGGTTTCTCGCTGACCACGATTGTTTCGCGTTTGTATTTTATTTAGAGTTTCTGCTGCGCTGCGAAATGTTCGTACTCTACTCTTTTGAATGGAACAAATATTTAAAGTGTTCCTGGCGTAGTCTTTATCTTTTTTGCCTTTTCATCCATAAGTGTTGATTATACGCATAAATAAACCTAGTACTGACTGTCGTGTATTAGTGTTGTATGTCGAAATAATCACCAGATTCCAAATGAATCATTTCATATTAATGTGGTGCTTTATTATGTAAGCCTCAAATAGGTATTGATTGTTTTGTCATTATCGCTCTTGTTCACAAATAAATAAATTAAACATTATCTAATTGAGGGTAGTGGTGAATAATATTTATATGAAGGAATTCCTCGCAAATATTTTTAATACATTCCAATTTTATGTAGGAAGTACATATATATAAATATATCTTGACTAAAACTATGAAATTCTACTAGTTCTAAGTTTCTCTTTTTAATATAAATTTTATTTTTTTATAAAATTAAAAACTAAAATGCTTTTTAATGCCTTAAATATTGTTTGGTTTAACAAAACGCGCAAACTGTAAGTAGTTTTAAGTGTCTGCATGCTTTACTAACAAATTTTACAAAACAAATTTTATAACTACCCGCTTTTTAATATAGAAAGTGTACCTTAAGAGTATTTTTCTTTTGACATTACGAAAATATTTTTTAGACAATTAATATTTATAGATTTACGCACATTTATTTATTATGTACCTCCAGATGGTTGTGTTTGGATATTTTATTTTTTATTAATAATGTATTTGATTTAAATGTAATTGGCGACAGTTTGCAGTTGGCTATTTTCTCTAAGCAACTGAATACTTGAGAAACAAGAAAGTGTAGAACAGTATTTAGTGTTTATGACTGTCTTTTGTTCAATTGATCGGACTCAATAATTGAACTCGGTACCATTTTGTGTTGTACTTAATTCTATTCTAGAAGAATATTTAAATTAGTGCTCAATATTATAATCATGTTATTAAAATATATTATTCAATTATAGCCTTTTATTGAATAAATCAAATGACAATATTTATTATAATTTATAATAAATAGCCCTTATGCATGCAATTCCTGACTAAGAAAAAGAGATACGATGGTTGGCAATCGTTTTGTGCCTCCATTAGTCCCGACTTCAGGCATTCTGGCGTAATATTCGTAGACTTAGATCTGCTTATAATAATTATCCCTCTTCTAAATTTCCTCTAACTCTAGCTGATCAGTTCATGGATCATCTTGCCCCACCTTCTGTACCGGAACAGGGACTTCCTCCAGTATCTATTCCTGCTTACATTTCCGATGACTTAACTGGATTAAACGCTCCTTTTTCTTTGATCGAACTTAAAGGTGTAATAAATAACGAATCAACTGTATGAGAGCCGAATGTGTAGAGCCTCCATAATGGAGAATCCATAAACTTACGACGGCAATTATAATAATTCCTATTCCGTTGTGTCCAATTCAGTTACCATATTCTAACAGCTTAACTTGCCTGGCATCTACCTACTAGCATGGGTCTTGTGAAAATTTAGCAAAACCAAAAGTTAAAATTTAACTATATTGTTGACGCCAAGTGGCCACGATGGCATCGAATATTTACAGATGCATCTAAGCGTTCCCAAGATGGCTGTGTAGGTGTTGGTGTACTGCACTCTAACTACAATATTGTTCAAAAAACTAAACTCCCTCCTGAATCCTCCGTGTTCACTGGCGACATGTATTGGCCTAGTTAAAGACATAGAATACATCCTTCAACTAAAACTTCAAAAAACTGTAATTTTTACAGATTCATTGAGTTCTTTAAATGCCCTAGCCTGGTTCCCGCTTGGCTCACATTATCAATTCCCTGTCATTTCTGAAATTAGAAACCTGCTATTGAAATGTATAAAAGAAAATTAATCCGTATCGTTTGCATGGTTTCCTGGTCACTGTGGAATATCTGGAAACGAGAAAGCCGATCGTATAGCCAGTGAAGCGGTGGAGAGTGAAGATAGATGAGTGGATATTTTTAGAAACTATGCCCATGACTTGATGGCTCTTTCCGGGATTTATCTCAGGAGTTCCTGGGCTCAAGATAGTTCAAAAGGTCGACATTATCGTGCTATTCAACCTTCTATACCCAGTAAGCCCAGGTTTTGGAGACTGAGATTCGGTAAAAGAGTTACAACAATACTTTCTCGTATGCGAAAGACACGTCTGCAAAGCTTAATATTATTGATATATTGCCCTACGTGCGAATGCGGATATGCTGAAGCTGATTTGAACCACATAATGTTTGTTTGTTATCGGCGCGACAGGTCGGCTCTTCTCGAAGGTCTCATTTCCCTTCATCCATATTCTGTTTACTTGCAACGATGAAATCTTCATATTCATCTTAAAATTCTTAATATTTGTCAATTGTCAGTAGTCCCAACCCCTGACCAAGCCGGTCAGGGGTTGGGACGGGTGCACTTTCGAACTTCGAAGGTTGAAAAGTTTTTGAAGTTATACTTCTTTAGGCGCGTTATGAAAAATTGATGAGTGAAATTTTACGATGCGCGCGCACCGTGACACAAAATTAACAGAATGAAGTTGCCCACGGAAGATGCTACGGCATTAACATAATTTAAAAACAACATTCGAAAAATAATAGATTTTTTGTTACATATTGATATTTATTATTATTCTCTTAATGTAAGAGAATAATAATAAATATTTATTTATTTAATTTTTCAAATGTAAACTGAACTTTATTGACTATAATGACTCCTTTTCCAGTCTTTGATTATTTAATTGTAATTAATTATTTGCTTGCAATCAAAAACTATTTTTAATAATGCCAAAGAAGTATAACTTGTACCGCGCGTACATAAGCACACGCACCCTTTTTTTTGTAATAAATCTCACTCAAACCAGTGTAACTAGTTTAATATATATCCTTGTTATTTAACATATTATGGTTTTTAAAGAATGAATTTTAATACTAAGTGTATTAGCAATGGCCAAGGCCAGTATTTACTTTGTCGTGGCTGTTCAGTGTATCAGTTTTGTAAATTCCGATGCTACTTTAAAGTTTTATCAAGAAAAGGTAAGCTTGGATCTTAAAAACTTTTGTAATCAACACGTTTTGGTTTTAAGTTTTAGTAAATCTCGCAAGATGCATCTGTTACCGCGTGATTTATCGCTATAAATATATTTTTATCTATTTTAAGCTTTTTCTGCTTGTAATTTTAAATCAACAATATTTACAGATAAAAAAACTCATAATTTTTAATAATACAAATATAGATAGAAACCAAGAATATACATTCACTTTAAAATTCTTTAAGGAATTAAATAGTCCTTTTTTGGTATAGACTATAGATCTTAGGTATATGTCTTTTCATAATTATAATTAACTTATTTCAAGAAATAAAATTTTTATGATTTTTTTTTTACAAAATACTCTTAAACTTTATTGAATATAATCACAATTATTTAAGCATTTGGAATCTCTAGCATCAATTAAATTATTCTTTTCTTGTATTTTTCACATTTTTGCACCTTACTAAAATAGTATTATTACATTTACTTACTCTATAGATGTTAACTTGAAAAATATTATAGTTAGTTATAATGCTTCTTGTATAGTAATGTTATTATTAAATATTCTATAGTTTTAATTTTTGTAATCCAGGAATTTTTTTCTTATCTCATAATGATTTCAGAATGTCCATGAAGCTCTAGAGCTAACAGATAATGACATCAAAAATATTGCCAAGCTTTCTAATGAACAGGATTTTAGAGAGGTTCTTGATAAAATTCTTATACCAAGAGTGGTAGGAACCCCAAACCATGAAAAAGTTGGTGATTATATTGTAGATGAGATGAAAAACTTAGGTTGGAATGTGACTGATGATATTTTCACTGATACAACACCAGTCTTTGGCATCTTGAACTTTAGAAACATTATTGCCAAGTTGAATCCCAATGCTGATAGGTATTTGGTGCTTGCCTGTCATTACGACAGCAAGTACATAAGAGAGCATGTTTTTCTAGGTGAGTTAAATGTACTTTCTACTGCAAAGGATGTGTCGCTAGGATGCATTTATTTTAATGGTTAGGTACAATTAGTACAGAGTGCTGTATCATAGCTAGAAGCTCAGATAAATAGTAACCATTTTACTAGTGTTGATATATTTTATAAAATAAAAATATGGTTAATTGATTAGACATTGATGTTTTTTTTTGCAAATTGGGTAAAATCTTAAGATTGTTCTGTTCTTATTCACTTTGAACAAGTCACAGGGATAAAATTGTCATTAATCATTATTTTACTGTTATGTCACTTAAATGTTAAAATTATATATGTTGTGTATCAAGATTTCATGTAGAGCTGATCTATATCATGGGACTAGTATTATTAAACAATTGTTAATAAAATCACTGCCTACGCGACATAGTGGTGATATCATGTTACATACGAAACCCTTAATTTTATATGAAAAATTGCATTTTTAGGCGCAACAGACTCCGCAGTACCGTGTGCGATGATGATCAACCTCGCGAAAGTTTTGTCCAGACAACTTGACCCATTAAAATTAGGTTCACCAAGTTTGATGTTCATATTTTTCGACGGAGAAGAGGCCTTCCGACACTGGGGACCGAAAGATTCCATATACGGAGCTAGACATTTGGCTAAATCGTGGCATTCGACGCCATACAAGGACGGTGCAAATCATTTGCAAAGAATAGTATGTATATTTTTTTAAAACTCGGTAAAAAAGTACACTTATGAAAGTCAACAGAAAATACCTATGTAATTATTTATTCTGAATTTACATTTACTACCAGTTCGCATTCAAGGGCGTAGAGCGGTCAAGAAACTCTCCGCCACTCTTTTTAATCGCCATGTTTTGAATCATTTAGTGAGCTAAGTAAAGCAAGCGTATTTAGCTGTTGACCACAAGATTAACTTCCTTCCGGCCTCCAGAAGCAACATCGGTTGCAAGGGCGAAGGGTTAATAGACGTGAGGTTGGACGTTTTTATGAAAACCTTTGACTACAAAACATGACATTGATGCATCTAGATTGTACAACATGGATGAGACAGGTATATCGACAACCACCAATAAGCCACCTAAAGTACTATCAAAGAAAGGAAAGAAACAGGTTGGCAGAATTGCCAGTGCAGAACGTGGTAATGCCGCTGGTTCGTTTCTCCCACCATTCTTAATTTTTGCTAGGGAAAAGATGCAACCCAGAATACTTGATGGTGCGCCACCCGGCACTCAAGGAACCTGTACTCCAAATGGTTGGACAACCATGAGAGCCTAAGTATTACCCAGCTTTGGATTACGCTAGCAAGAACATCGTAATCTTATCCTTAGCTCCACATACAACGCATAAGATGCAGCCCATGGATGTAGCCGTTTACGACCTATTAAAAACACATTTTTAAAGGGAGAGGGAGGAGGGACACACAAAAACCTCACCCTGGCTTTTCTAAAATGTGCAGTAGCTATAAATGCCGTTCATGGTTTTGAAAGATCTGGTATTTGGCCAGTAAATAAATATGATTTTGGTGACGAAGATAACGAACCAGCCGCTGTGATTGCAGGCACATTTAACATGAATATTGGCACAGAAAGCACAAACTCACTAGAAAGGATTGATATTCCAGGATCTTTTGCAGAAACTTTTTCAACCCCTTCGCCTTCACTTTTTCAAGAATTTGTTTCACCAATTCCACCAGATCCTCTAGTAGAAATGGTTCCATCTCCAAACAGAGCTACCCCTTCTTAGCTTGAAGCCCTTGTTGCGCCGATTACAGACTCTTTTAAAACACCCGAAAAGATTATTAGCGAGGTTAGATGCACACCTGAACCAGAACCTGGATGATTCCAATTTTTCTGTTAAGCCGGATGTAGGTACAAATGCTCAGAAACTTGACACAATGCTGCCAGAGACCGAAGAAAATACTCAACAAAATACAAGTCGAGACAAATCACCAGATCCGGAGCCTGGATGCTCAACCTCCCACTATAGTGTATGTTTTATTATTTAGGTTAACTGATGACAATATTTGTACTAAGACCGATTTGTACTAGTTATTTTGTTTTTATACCTTTTCTGCTATAACCTTAAATATCTTAACGTATTAAGATATTTAAGCTTATAGCGTCCTTCCCCAACCTACTACTGGTAATGTGTGCAGTACCTTTAGTCTAGTCGACAAGTTGAAATTTCTTAAATATTAATAGTTTATTGGCAAAAAACGAAATGTCATTTTTTTTTCATCTTTAATTGTTTATAACTTTTGCAATTTTTTATGTGCTAATACACGCTTTGGGCACATTTTTCTAGACGTCATTCCGGATCCAATGAGCTATCGTACATAATTTTAAGAGCAGTATCTCTATTTTGTACCATTTTCAACTTGTCGACTAGACTACTTGGTAAATGATGACAGTTAAGCCTCATTTATTCCTTGAAAAATTTACAAAATAAAATAGACAAAATATACACACATAAAATATATAACTCCAGGATGTTCTGGTGCTTTTGGACCTTCTGGGTACATCAGACCCAGCGTTCTACAGCTACTTCAAGTCTACAGAACGTTGGCACAATCGACTTGCAAGCGCTGAACAGCGGCTCAGTGAACTCGGTCAGTTGTCAGCATATTCCACGGGTAAAGCCGAGCAAACATACTTCAGGCTAGTAAGTTCTGGCTCTGGTATTGAAGATGATCACATACCATTTATGAGGAGAGGTGAGTTTGAATAGGATTTTTATATTTTCTCTGATTTAAATAAGCTTTACAAAAAAGCAGGATTTGTATGGCTGAATTTTTTTTTTAAAATAGATGTTTATGGAGAACGAATTAGAATATTAAGAAATTGAGAAAATTTTGGTTTTATAAATAACAAAAAAAAATGGGATCTCTCCTGTGTATAGTTATTAATTAGTAGACAAAAATTTAACGTTTTCTCGTAAGTTTTCTTAGTGGGAGCCCAAGAGATATTATGTTCTATGGATGAATGTTAAGTCTCCAATACGCATTGGGCTAGCGTGGGTACTACAGACCATTTCCTCTCGCCTAGAGAGTAGTCCTAGTGGGACATATACGTGTAATTGAGTATGCTGAAATTGTCGAAGTTTAATAAAATAAAACTGAGTACAACGTGACGATTTTAACTGATAGGGCCCGTATCAAAAGAATTTGATACGGGCCCCAGATGGTATAGTTACGCCACTGCTCTCATCCTCGCAACCATTTTCCAATCCTTCCCCGCGATCTCTTTTCTTTATCATGAAATATTTGAAACTACGACGTCAAATGAATCGAATCAATATAAAATATTATGTCAATATAATCAGCACAACAAATGTTTGTACTTTTTCGACATTATGGATTAATAAATGATATTGTGTTTTTATACTATATTTTCTATCTAAACCGTAATTCATTCTATTTAATTTTGTGGTACTAAAAGTAAAAACACATTAGTAGATACGTTGTTACGCATTTTCAGTTATTCTAAGCTTCCATGTATGGAGGTGATCATAAATGTTTGCCCTTAATGATCAAAATACGTTAATAATTAATTTTGATTTTCAGATGTAGATGTACTCCACGTAATACCGAACCCATATCCAAAGGTTTGGCACACCGCAGGCGATAATCTATCCGCATTGGACTTCAATACCATAGACAATTTGAATAAAATCTTCCGCGTATTTGTATGCGAGTATTTGCACGTCGCTCCTTAGCGTTTGTGGCGATTTTGATCTACGATGATTCCAAAAGATTTTGAGAAAATATAGCCAAACTCTGACTTACTGACCTAACTATTTGACAGATGTCAATAATTTCTTTTTATTATCCAAGTCTACATTCTATATTTTATTTAGACAAAACAAGGCCTCGAGAAATTTCTGACTGCAAGTCAATTGTCAAGATTTATGTATTAACCATAAATGTAAAATTAGGGGGCCTCAATCCTCATAGCCTAGCGGTCTTATTAAGTGGCAGCTAGGTGAGGGGTACCGGGTTCGAGGGCAAGTTATAATTTAATTTAAATTTGTTCTCGGCCTTTGGGAGGGTTGTGCGGTACCGGGCGAGTGCTTAAACTGTACATGGAGGACACGGTCGAATTTCTAAAGACAAGCACGAATTATAAAAATCCTATACTTGACGCTGGCTAACGCACAAATCGTGCCAGAGCCATAAAAAAAGTAAAATGTAAAATTACTATTATTAATGTATTCCGCTGGAGTTTACGAAATTGACTAATATAATATACTAATGTCGCTCAACAGGTCATGTTACCTGTGAGCTTGTGGCAGTTTCTCGCTGACCACGATTGTTTCGCGTTTATATTTTATTTAGAGTTTCTGCTGCGCTGCGAAATGTTCGAACCCTACTCTTTTTGAATGGAACTAATATTTAAAGTGCTCCTGGCGTAGTCTTTATCTTTTTTTGCCTTTTCATCCATAAGTGTTGATTATACGCATAAATAAACCTAGTACTGTCTGACTGTTGTGTATTAGTATTGTATGTCGAAATAATCACCAGATTCCAAATGAATCATTTCATTTTAGTGTGGTGCTTTATTATGTAAGCCTCAAATAGGTATTGAATGTTTTGTCATAATCGCTCTTGTATCACAAATAAATAAATTAAACATTATCTAATTGAGGGTAGTTGTGAATAATATTTATATGAAAGAATTCCTCGCAAATATCTTTAATACATTCCAATTTTATGTAGGAAGTACATATATATATAAATATATATTGACTAAAACTATGAAATTCTACTAGTTCTAAGTTTATTTTTTTATATGCATTTTATTTTTTAATAAAATTAAAAACTAAAATGCTATTTAATGCCTTAAATATTGTATTGTTTAACAAAACGCGCAAACTGTAAGTAGTTTTAAGTGTCCGCATGCTTTACTTACAAATTTTACAAACCAAATTTTGTAACTACCCGCATTTTAATATAGAAAGAGTACCTTAAGAGTATTTTTCTTTTGACATTACGAAAATATTTTTTAGACAATTAATATTGAGAGATTTATGCTCATATTTTTATTATTCAATGTTATTATGTACCTCCAGATGGTTGTGTTTGGATATTTTATTTTTTATTAATAATGTATTTGATTTAAATGTAATTGGCGACCGTTTGCAGTTGGCTATTTTTTCGAATTTGAATACCTACTTGAGAAACAAGAAAGTGTATAACAGTATTTAGTGTTCATTACTGTCTTTTGTTCTATTGATCGGACTCAATAATTTAACTCGGTACCGTTTTGTTTTGTACTTAATTCTATTCTAGAAGAATATTACAATTAATGCTCAATATTATAATAATGTTATTAAAATATATTATCCAATTATAGCCTTTTATTGAATAAATCAAATAACAATATTTATTATTATATATTATTTATAATAAATATAAAAGAAATTATGCCTACCTTAAGAACTGTACTTATATACAATGGAGATATAAATATATATACATATATTGCATGAAGAATTACATAACTTTATGTACAACTTTATAGATGAGAAATTAAAATATACTATCTAGCAACGATCCTTTGAACTTTTTCATTGCCTTTTCTTGCATTTCATTAAGCTTAGTATCTAGATCTGAATCATAAGTAAAAGATTTATTTTTTGTACAAGCAACATTTGCTTCTAATTCACTGGATTTTTCATGTTTTAAGTCACTTGTATTACTTTCAGATATTTCACAATTTTCTTGAAGAATATCATGTGCATGTTCAGTAACTACTTCAGACTTTCCTATTTCTTCTGGAACTTTAAATACATCTTGAATATTTTCAATTGTATCGCTTTCTGCGTCATGTTTAATTGTCTCTTTGATTGGATCGTTAGTTGCTGCTTCTAAATCATAATTTAGATCATCATTTTTAATAGCACTTATATTGCTTTCAGTAGACATTTCACTGTTTTCTTTCAGAATATCACAACTGTATCCAATATCTACTGCAGAGTTGCTATTTTGTACTTCTTCATCAATTATTTTATTTGTATCACAGTCTATGGCATTTTTATTTATCTCTTGACCATGACCACTTTCAATAACGTTATTAGTTCCTTTGAGGCTTTCATGTAAGGTACTTTCCATAACTTCTACATGTATTACATTATTTTTTAACACTTCCACCCTTTTTGTTACATTGGCATTATCTTCAATATGAAAATCATATTCTTCATCAATTTCTTTTCGTAGCGATCGGACTGGTTTTTCTTTTCTGATAAATGTTTCAACATCCATTTCTTCATGTGTTACATCTCGACTATTATCGTGAGTAGTTTTTTTTGTGCGTTTAATCTTAAGACCCGTTGCGTCTTTATTTTTAAGTCTTTTACGTTCTGTAGATGATTCAAGTGATGATACATTTTCCTAAAAATATAGTATAATTTTTTTTATTATTTATTTAATTGCATTTTCCTTGAAAAATATAATAAAAATAGTAAAATTGTGGCATGTATATAGGATGCCGACATAGTATGACAAATCCTATGGCAGAGGTCCTAAAAAAATTATTAGCCTCTTTTTCTCCTGGGATCAAACCCAGCATTTTGTCACGAATAAACCAAGCAAGTTACACAGTATATTGATATACCTGACAGTTCAATGAGGTAGGAGTCCTTATTAATACAAAGCTTTCCAGCATAGAATGCTTTAGTATTTCGTTTTTCCATTTTGGTAGAATTTCTGTGTGCATTTCAAATTCAACCTTTGGCATGATCCAGTTGTGCATACTTTTTAATAAACTTACATTTTTCTAAAAAAATATTATCAGTTTATAAAATCTGACATAATTTACCGCCACATTTTATTTATTTATTATATATTTAATCATAAATGGATATGCCAATGGAACATACATGTATAAGCAACACTATTGATCCCACATCAAAACAAGGGTAATAGAATAAAATAAAAAAGACATTTTGCTCATGAACAACCTGTTTTAGGCAAACATAAGTTGCTCTATATGGCTTATTTAAAAATCTTAAATGGCTTATTTTGTTAAAACATGCAATGTTTTTAGAGTGCAAAGGTGATGCTAGCTTTTTAAAATGTATTATTACTATTATAATACTTACAATAAGATCAGAAGATGTTAACCATATTGTGAATTCTACACGATGAAAAAGTGGGAGAGAGACACAATCGTCAGTTTTAATTACAACAATACTCCAGGTGCGCCTAAAGAAAGGCCCTAATTTTGAAACGTCTGAATATTTTTTTATAAATATTTGTTTATTTATCAGTGCTTTGTTGGGGTCTATAGCAATGTCATCTGAAATTAAAAATAAACAATATATTAAAAGAGCAATCAAAAACTAGTCCTTTTGCATGCAATTCCTGACTCAGTAGTTTTCTGTTAAAACCCAAGCTTTTTTCTATGTGCACTAGTATGTTATATTATTGTGGCCAAAATTTAAGAATAATGGGCACTCTCTTGCCAAAAAAGAATAATCAAAAACAGATGCATATATCTGTTACACAGTTCTACTTATAGCATTTGATTATTATTATTAAATCACAATCAGAAGATGTACATAGCTAGTTTTTTAAAAATAATATCACAATGGTTCAATTAATTTGATAAGAATCCATAACTAAGCCTACTGACTTTAATAGGTTTCTATTATCTATTAAAATGTCTATAAATATAATTATTGACAAGGCAATAAAATAATATTTTGGCCTACCTCCTCTATAACGAGTCCATTTTTTTAAATTTAATGTCCACTTCAGCATTTCTTCATCATCTTTGCAAAGAATCAGAATTGGATAAGAAAGATGTGTTCTGACAGCATAAAGAAATAATAAGACTGTAACAGATTTGCCCTGATGAGGAGGAAAACTCAGTACACAGTAATCTGATGACTTGTTTTTCTAAAAAAAAAAATGTTAGACATTAATGATGATATATGTTATATATATGAAAAGATATGCCTTAAATAGAGGAGGATTTTTGTAACATACCCATTTTTTAAATAGGAATCTTACACCATCAATTTGATGAGCATACATTTGATGCATAGGTTTAACACAAATATTATCTTTATCTGATATTTTATCCAACATAAGGTTTTCCAAAATTATTTCATTCATGTTTATGCTCTGAAATATAAAAAAAATTATATGGAATCTACTCCAATTAGAAAAACTAAATAAATCTTAATTTGCCAACATATCTCTTATAAACATAGTGTGATAAGACCAATGAGAACTTAATTTAAAACAGTTTTATAAAAATGTTTTTTTTAAGGTTAATTATACCGTCCCATTTATGGCAATATTTTAATATTTATACCATTTAATCCTGTAATGCATACTTTACCTCTTTACCAAGATAAGTTCTGGTTAAGTCTGTTTAAGATGGATAGAGTCATTAAGAGAATATAAAGCATCTCCAAATAGAATAACGCTACAAATACGGAGACACTCGTTTTATGAGCAACTACATCTTCTAACTCCTGTATAATATGCCTATTGGTGAAAACATGACCCCAAGACATCAGGTATGCACTTAAAATAAGTTTGTGTGTTCAATGCAATATTAGTCTGTGATTTAGTGTAATAGAGGAACAATAATTTATAAATAATTAATGCTAAAACATTGCCAAACAAGAATGGACATTCATGGTAAAAATATTGATCGTATTTTCTTAAACAATAATAACTGTGACATTGGGAATTATGACACAGCTGACTGTTGGCAGTAAAACTATATTGTTATTTGACATTCATAATGGCGTTATGTATCTGTCCAAACTTTATACACAGACTAAGGATCTACCTAACCCGTCGGTAATATTCTTGAGGAATGTTTTTTTTGTAATTGTAATAGACAAAAACTATTTAACTAATAATTATGAATAACACAAATTTAACGACCTGAATATTACAGCAGTAATTATGACTGACATATATCTACAAAAACTCCTTGAGATTGTTTTAATAACTATGTAGAGAAAACCTCTCTTAGAAAAATATTTCTGTAATTGAAGTTTCAAATTGTTATGTTTAATTTTGTTTATTTTGCGAATTATTGTATATTGTCGTTATCCTCATAGCCTAACCATTGTTTTGATAACCGAGGAAATAATGCTATTTGGGCTTCCCCGCAACTCAAAGGCGAGAGTTGTATCTTATTGCTACTCAGAGATCCGTATAAAGAAACCCATTGCATTTGCATTATGAATGAATGACTATACTATACTAATACTACTGAATGAGTTTGGATTGACTAAATAAATAATAATATATTAGATGTATAGAAAGCGCTTATTGTCCCTTAAGGAACCAATGAGAGGTATTTATCATAGAATTCTCCATTCTTTATATAGGTACATAAAGTTGTATTAAAAAAAAGGGTGCGTGTACTTATGTACGCGCGTAAGAAGTTATACTTCTTTGGCATTATTAAAAATAGTTTTTGATTGCATGCAAATAATTAATTACAATTAAATAATCAATGACTGGAAAAGGAGTCATTAAAGTCAATAAAGTTCAGTTTACATTTGAAAAATTAATTAAATAAATATTTATTATTATTCTCTTACATTAAACAAATAAAACACTATTTATCTTTAAAACATTTTTATTTCATTATACTATTTATTTTTAAGTGACTCTAATGTCTTCATCAGAATTTCGGTTTGTAATTTTAAATTAATCATTACTTGGTTGTGCATCTACGAGGCTTCTCCAAAACTACTTGCTTTCTGCAACAAATAAGAGAATATTAATTTAAGCTCTGTCCATGCAAAACTTAAAATTTTTATAATTCATATTATAAATTTTTTAACACATTTATATTAATATAATTATATAAATGTGTTAATAATATAATTTGTAGCACATGCTACAGACCTGGATAGCAACTTTCTTTTATTCTATTTAGAGATAGAGATAATTTAAATATAATACCGGTGTCTTCCTTGTAGGTTTCTTTGGAGTTGTTTGGGGATTCTTGTTGTTCAGTTCGACATGATTTTCTTTAACCTTTCTTTAATCCTACAAAATAATGAAATTGTTAAGTTATGTTGTCACTGTTGTGCACACCTTTGTTTGGCTATTTTAGTATTCAAGTTATGTCAAAACTGATTTATTACCTTGTCATTGTTGGCTTTATTTGCTTTTGGGATATCAATTGTTTCCAAAATGATTTTATTTGTAATAACCTGAAATATATAAATAACATCTATTAATTTAAGTATCATGGTGAGTGGTTCGCACTCAGGTATTAAGGTGTATTATACCCACTGTCCATTATAAGTGGGAATGGGCTCACTTCTGGCAGGACAGAGTTTCGGTACTACAAGTGCAACATGGATGTTTTGAGGTATTACAATATCTCTAACTACCCTGTAGGGGAATAAAGTAATGTTGTAAGCATATGCCTATGCTTGAAAGGTTGAACCTTGAACATCACCATACATCATATTTATAATTAACATTCCTACCTCGACACCATCACAATCAAATTCATTGAAATCTACTTCAAACCATTGTGTCTCGAGAAGGTGATGGTGGCTTTGTTCCACCTCCAGTTTTTGATGTTTCACGGCGATAAGATGACAACTCTTTTTTTGTATTCAATTTAGTGCACTTCCACTGATTCATCAATTGTTTTTTGTCTCTTGTCCTTATATTTGCTAGATTAAATCTGATGTTTTGATTAAATAATGTGGTCATTTTTTTGAGATGCAGGTACTTATTAAAATGTTTACTTCTCTGTTATATCGCTCCAAGCCTTCATTTTCTCCTTATTAGTATTCGTGCTTAAATCTTTGTTCTCAATTATTGATATATAGGGTCGTAGAATATTTCTAAAAAGTTGCTGTAACAAACGCAATAAACAAAAGCAATGAATAATGGTTCATGTTTCAGTTTTAATCAACAATAATACTCGATAATACATACGGATAGTTAACCTCAATTGTATTGAAGCACTCAGGAAGGTTAGCACAGTTTTTTCACAAATATTTTATATTATTTCACAAATATTTTGTATAATGAAAATAACTAGGTATATAATTATTAATTTTAAACAATAATTAAAACTCCTATATTTGTTTAAAAGGTAAATGTCATTGTCAGATGTCAATTTCAAAAACGCATTTGTAAAAATCAAGTATAATAACATATTCAATTACAAATTGCAATAACAACATATAAAAATATATAAAGTCCAAATATCATAATAATATATATCACGAAACTAATTAATCCATTTATCCTTATAACTAAGTCTGATTTAAATTAATCGTTTTTGAAGGCAGGAGTTCTCTTCTCAATAAATGCATTCATGCCCTCTTGACGGTCTCCCTGCAATAAAACATACTTGTGTTTAGTTTTTCCACATAACGGTCATAAGAATTAAGCCTGAAATTGTTGAATGCATATTTAATTGATTAGTGTTGGTCTAGTAGGTTAAGCGTGCGTCTCTCATTCCTGAGTAGGTTCGAACCCCAGCTTATATATTAATGGATATTTCTAAGCATTTAACATTTGCCCTAGATCCAAAAAAATTGATGTTGTGTGTCAGGGACAGGTGATGATACAGAAATCTGAGGCCAAAACCAAAGGTAGCTTCACATAGGAGTAACACTTTTGTATTGTATTTTAAATATTAACACAAAATTTGAGGAACAAGTTACTATATTTATATGTATGTAAGTTAACTTGGAGTAAAGGTCAAATATTAATTTAAAAAATCACTTGAACTATTAAAAAAAGACAAGAACTATATATACCAGAGTAAGTCAGGCAGGAATAATTAAAATGTTAATACTTATGTTCAATATGATATGACATTTAAGTGATAAACAGTTAGTGTTTGTCACTTATCTGTCAGATGGCACTAGCGGCCCAATCACTTGTGGTATTTTAGTACTGTTTGATGGTTGTATATATAATGTATTGACGAAAATTTAGAAGTTATGCTTCTTTGGCGTAACAAGATAAAAATCTACTTAAATTTTTTATCTTTCGCCTTATTCTACGTTTGTAGATAAAACGACACTAGCAATAGAAAAAAGTTATTTAATACATTGAAAGTTTTATAATAACGCATTATCTAGTTAAATAAAGTTTATTTAAACATCACAAAAAAATTATTTCTACATAATTAAAGAAATCGACATTTTTTATTTTAAAATGTTGACTATGCTCACGTCAGGGTGTCGGTTTTTTGTGACGGTGTGCCCGCGCATCGTAATAATTTACTATCATCATTTTTCCCTAACGCGCCAAAAGAAGTATAACTTCAATAATAATAATACATGCAAGTTTGAGATAATTATTTAAACGCGCCTCTTTTTTTTTAATTTTCTTAGACAATGCATTGAAATATGCTAGAAAGCTAAATCTTTTTTGATATAACTATTAACAGTATTATGTATATTATGTATGTATGTACTTACAGTAGCAAAAGTGCCATAAAACAGTGATTTTTCGAATTGCAAGCCTGTTTTGAGTGTGGTTTCATAAGCTTGGTTCACAGATTGTTTGGCCATCTTCACAATCAATGGCGAGTGGGTTCCAATCCTTTCAGCCAATTTAATAGTTTCTTCTAGAAGTTTATCTACTGGAAACACTTTGCTTACAAGACCTGAAATTTAAATATTTTAATTGTAAAACATTTTAAGTTATACAACGATCTTAAGTAATGGTCACTCGACAATCACCAAACCCGTGACCATGCTAGGCACAAAACCAAGAGACATGGAAGCAAAATATTAATAAAATGTCACTAGTTTATAAAAATAAACTTCTTACCCATTTTCTCCGCTTCCTGAGCACCAAAGAAATTGCCCGTGAGCACAATTTCCATTGCCTTCGACTTGCCCACGTACCTGGGCAGTCTTTGGGTACCACCAGCCCCGGGAATTGTGCCAATGTTGATCTCGGGCTGCCCAAACTTTGCGTTTTCGCCAGCGTAGATGATATCACACAACATCGCTAGCTCGCAACCACCGCCGAGCTACAAAAAAATCTATTTATTTTCTTAACTTTGAAAGAATTTTTGTTTTCTCCATACTTTTGATAGCTTAGCTATAGAAAAACAAATTTTGACTTAAGGAGATATTAATTTAATTAATAATAATATTATTGATTTTTGTTTAGAAATAACTGGGGGGCAAACGAGCCTACGGGACGCCCAAAAAGGGCAGTCATCGCAGGACACGGGTGTCCCATTATAGAGGGTGCGTTGCCGGCATTTGTGGAGCACTAAAAATACAGTAATCCATCTACCAATTATTCAGTCTTAAACTTTATTCCTAATGAAGACTTCAGCGAACAGAAACATTGCAATCATTCCGCCGTCATCCGCCGCATTTCTAGTGTATTTTTTAAATAAATAAAATGTCTATATTACATAGATGCTTATATATTTATCAACTATTTACTAGTGATATTATAAAACTACTTTATTAGCTAGTAATTTATAATAAGACATCAATAGGTGCGGAGCATAAATTACAGTTTTTGTAAAAATGGGATAAATTTTTTCATTTTGAGACCTTGTGTTGCTCGCTCTCTCGACAAGATAGACGTGATCAAATTGCCTTGCGTTTATATCACAAATACAAATAAAAATATCATGTCGGTATAAATATAATTTAATTTTTTCTTTCTTAGGCGTCCTCTAAAAGTCGGCATTAATGATTAGTTTTTATTTATTTCCTATTTCTTCAGCCAACATAAATTATGTACAACAAAAAATAATACTAAACATATAGCAAAAGATAGAATACATAATATATACAAAAAGACTCAAATATTTACGAAGAGAAAAATACAAACAAATAATGTATTAACTTTCGTATTTAATGATGTTTTTTATATTTCAATTTTTCTATATACCACCACAAATCGTTACTCCACTCCATCAAGATAAGGACGTGCAGTTAAGGGCAAAATAGGGGGAAAGAATATTTGAGGGTTTTTTTAGGGGAAATTTCAAAAACACACCAAATACAGTTTTTTTGCTATCACGTTCCTGATTTTGGAACTAAAATGAAATACGAAAAGTTCGTAAGAATAGGATCCGTGTGGTTAACCCATTGATATACAAAAAACCCAAGATGCATAGTCTCGAATAGAAGTAACGCTCGAAAGTGTCCCGAAACACTATTTCTGTCTCTTTCGTTCTTTATAAGTTACAAACATATATTATTGCAAAATCAACCTTACGCGAATTGTTTAAAGTTGTTATTTTGTAATAACAACTTTAAAGTACGCAGTGTACTTAAAGCAATAAAATTTTACGACCGACCGTGGTCGGTAGGACATGGTATTGAGTGGAGTCGAACATGACTTTTTTATTTACAACTATTTAACATAATTTTAAATTTATCCGACGTTACGCGTGCTTTACAGCGTGCACTTCACTTATTAGAACAGGGTCATTCTTATAATGCGACTAAAATAAAAAGAAGACTGTAATGCGTTGTTCTAACACTGAACAAGCAGCCATTGAAGTTGGCCGTATAGAAGTTTGTGCGTTGAATGAAGTTTTTAGAAAAAATAAATAAAAATCACACATTGCTTGTTATAATCAGTCATAAAAACAACAAAAACTAATCAATAAAGTTTTTTAATTACCGAAAATACGATATCCCATCCTTTTTTAGCCTTCTTGACGTTATATTTTTACAATTTCTCAAAGAACACTTTGGCATTTTTAACAACTGCTCCCAGACGCGAGCGACGCGAGACTATTTGAGGACGTTTTTTAGACTTTGAGTGTGCATCTTGGGTTTTTTGTATATCAATGGGTTAACCTTACTAATTGTATATTCGTTTGAGCTGCCAAAGAACGATGTGATTTTAATTAAATACAAATTCTAAAATTACATGAAAAATTCAGTAATAACACTCCACAATAATTATAATTTTTTGTATTTGAAGGCATCCTAGGGGATTTCTGGGGGGAAATCGACTTAGTATAGGGATACGTCGCCGAGACCATCTGGCAACACTGCTCACGCACCGTCCACACTCGCGCGCCCCCGTCCTCTCTCGAATGTGTGGACGGGTTATAAGAAAAATAATTAAAGTATACATACAGCAAATCCATTGACAGCAGCGATGACCGGTTTACCGCAGTTTGACACATCTTCCCATTCTTGTAGGAAGCCATCCCTGGTGTTAGAACTGTATGTGTTATTTTGCATTTCTTTAATATCAGCGCCAGCGGCGAAAGCTTTTTCATTTCCTGAAAAACATAGACAAATATGATTAAACATTTAATTTAAAAACAGTACCCAGATCCTAGTGAGTGAAGAAAATTATTTTTTATTTATTTGTTTGAACTTATAACAATAAAATAACATCAATTATTTATTATTAGCTTTATCACTAACAAGCGAGGCTGGCAGCCCTAGTAAGGAAAAAAATAACGGATTAAATCAAATGAAAATATAATTAATAAATTTCGGTAACTTAATGTGCACTTATGAACGTCGGTAAAAACATTTACTAAATTTACATTTACTGTATTCAAATCAAGGGCGTAGAACGGACGAGAAAAACTCCGTACTTTACATTCCCAAGGTTTTAGAAAATGTTTGTAAACACCTGCAATCAGGCCCCTCGAGACGTGTTCAAGCAGTTAGGTTTTGTGAAGTATGTACATATACTGGCATACAAGAAGTTGAACGCGTATTGGCCCCACCTATATTACGTCATCGTGTGTTAGGTTTATTTTCGTTACAGAATTTCTTGATTCGGTCGCCGCGCTCAAAGCCCGCAATAAAATCTATGCAATAGTTTAACAATAGGGTTGATAAAAATGTCTTATAAAAACAATTTAAACAGCTTCAGTCAAACCTTAAGTTCTTATCGAACTCTATTATCGACATATTAAAACTTTACAGTTATTATTGACTAGCGCACTGGTGGACATTTTTTTGTAGATATTGATATGTTCTTTAATATTGTGGAACATTTTATTGTTCTATCATCAATAGTTTTCGCAGCGCATGCGATGAAAGATATTTTATAGTCATTTTTTTTACACCTTCTCTAACTTTATTGTAGTGTTCGTAGGATCCTTTCTTTTTTCTTGCAATGAAATAGCCTATATTAATCAATGATAATGTAGCATTCAATTGGTGAAAGAATTTTTGAAATCGGTCCAATACTTTTTGCACCAATTCGTTACAAACATACTTACATACAAATCTGTCCTCTTTCTAATATTAGTATAGATAGATGTAGATTAGTTAACGAAAACAATTCATAACGATAGCAAAAAAATACGGCCACCCATTGCATCCCTAATATAATTTAGTAACATGAATCACGGGTCCGTTTTATTAGAACGGGAAACTGGCAGGATGGAACCTGATGTTAAGTGATCCTGCGCTTATGGACACTCGAAGCCAAGAGTGGTCGTGAGAGCGTTGCCGTCCTTTTAAGAATTGGAACACTCTTATCTTGAAGGACCCTAAATCGAATTGGTTCGGAGTTACTTCAGTGAGCACTCCGCTCTTCGTTGAATACGGTCAAGTGGAAGGAGCTGGAACTGGGGAGCTCCCGCCTGAGGACATACTGTCCTCTAGAATGAATCGAATTTGCACTTTGGAGCAGTACCCCAAAGCCCAAGTTAAAATGCTTCTAAAAACACTTACCAGTTATAATGATAGCTGCAATTGCTTTATCTGCGTCAAAATCTTTGACAGCTTTTCCAAGTTCTTTAAACAATGGTTTGCACAGAGCATTGAGTGCCTTGGGACGATGCAATTGAATGAGACCAACATTCTTCTTTTCACCAACTACTTCTATTTTAATGTTCTCGTATTGTGGAGCTGTAAGAAATAATAATCTGTGAATCGAACGAATATTCTTTATGGCATGCAATTCTGCGTCAGTTTCGTTAATTTATTAACGATTAATTAAAATTCATGATTATTGTTATACCAAGAAACAAATACCACTAGATAATTCCCGTCAAGTTGTCAAGAGTTTTTATTGATATTTTCCACCTCACCAAAGATGTGAGAAAGTATTTGAAGAGGCGGGAAGACTCTGATTTTGTTTAAGCAGTTATTTGAAATATGAAGTATTATTTGTTGTTTCAAATGTTAATTTTCAGTTTCTTCTTTAGTTTTTTTTATATATTTTTGTCTATTAATGTACTTGTTTTCTGTTTCGTATATATTTTTTATCTATGTAATCTGTTTTGGCTTTCTGCATTATCTAACGCCCGACCCCAATAACCTATCTCAATCCGTAATCCACCATCTGAGATAGTAAACTTAATCCAAATGTAGTAACAAGTGTGCCAACAACCAATCGACGGATTTTAATAGCCATCTGTCGATACAAGCTATCCATGGGAGGTCGTATCGGTGTCTGTGGATAGACCTTTGTATGAAAATGACAGTTAACGAAAGATCGATTTCAACAGTTAATTATTTTAACAGATTTTAACTTAAACCAGTTTTTTAAATAATTAAAAAAACTATTTGTTATGTTTTAAACATACACATGTATATTATAATGTTATTTGTACGGTTTTATTTAGTTTATTTGGTTCACATTGACTATCAATTATGAGTGAAAACTCGGTAAAATGGAACGACAAAGAGCATTTTATCCATCGCCCAAAATGGATTGTCTTCGTATGGTTTGGTTATTGAGATGCAGATAAGAGATCGATCGACTGTGCCAAATTGTTTTCAATTTGAGATTGTGGATTAATAATTGGGTTCGGGCGTAAGTGTTTTGTTTTATAATATGTATGTTAGCTGTAAGATTACTTATAATTAAATCAATAAAAAATAAATATGCAGAATATTGATAAGGTCTTTGAGTACTAAAAGAAAGTGATAAGGATGCATGTAACTTGAACTTTTTGTTACCATCTGTCTGCCTATGTGTTATATACATACATTATACGAAGACGTATAATGTATCCGATTCAACCTAAGAACTTCAGGCATACATTTTTAGTAAACTTTAAAAAACTCTCATAGGTTTTCTGTTTTGAATAAAAATACAGCATAAATCTGCCTTTCAAACATAATTAAATATTACCTCAGATTTCAAAAATTTATAAATTTAGACAAATAAAATAATAATCAAGAATTGTTGAAAGACTTTTGGAATATATTATTAAATTTTATGATAGGTAATTATTTAAAGGTAATGCAAAAAATTATGTTTTGGTCATGAAATGATAATTACTTTAATGACTAAGTAATTATGGTTTCAATTTGGAATTACTTATATAATATATTTTATAAAATTTCATCATTAATGCAAATGTTTGTACGGCCTAATTGTAATGTAAATAGTGAAACAGAAAAGAGATAAGTGCCAAAAACATTTAATTTTATTATCATTCAGATAACAATGTGACCAAAAATAAGCAACAAGTTATGTAATATAAATGATGTAATCAAAATCTTTAAGATTATTTATGATATTATTTGCTTTAGTACTGCTATTTCATTAATACGAAACTGATGAAGTCACATAAACAAAATTTACGATTGTTAAATCAAGTTGTACTTTTCCACCTATACCATAGGTGGAAAAGTACAACTTGATTAGGTTGGTATCCAAAAAAATATAAACGATTTTAAAACAAATGGTGACTTTCACCAGTATAATACGCGAAATAGAACTAATTTGAGTGTACGACCAACCAGGCTCCAAAAGATAAACCACTCCTTATATGGAAATTGTATTCGTTTTTACAACAAACTCCCAAGCGAAATTAGAGAATTATCACTAAATAAATTCAAAGCCCTCGTTAAACGGAATTTAATCAATAAAGCTTTTTATAAAGTTGAGGAATACTTAAATGATCCTAATCCTTGGGATTGATTTGCTCCAGCCCTGCGATTCTGTAACTCACTTTTCAAACTCACACAGCGGTTTCGCATCGGCGGTCGCTCTCAAATCAGTCGTGAAGCAGTCATTTTATGATTTGGCATTCTGATAAACAATAAACTACAAGCTCCCACCTTTTCAGAATGCCAAATCATAAAATGACTGCTTCACGACTGATTTGAGAGCGACCGCCGATGCGAAAACCGCTGTGTGAGTTCGAAAAGTGAGTTACAGAATCGCAGGGCAGTTCAAACAATTTGTATGACAATACTTGGTGATTAAAAAGAGTGGCGGAAAGTTTCTTGCCAGTTCTTCTTACCCGCTCTACGCCCTTGACTTGCGAACTTGTAGTAAATGTAAATTTACAATTAATTTAACTTGACAATTCATAAGTGTAATTGTTTACCTACATGAATGAAGGCAGTTTGAGTTTATTGTTTGTGGACTCAGTATATGCACTTTGCGGCTATAAGTGATCGCAGTAATAACATATGGTTAAAAAAAGGAAAATTTAAAAAGTACAGAGACTTTTAGACTTTTTATTACATAACATAGCATAAAATTAAGTAATAAAATAACTTTTAACTAATTGTTTTGCTACAAAAACATTATTTATTATTCAAGTTAATATTTTAGGTGAAAAAGCATGATTGAACCCGTTTTAGTTGTAGAGTATGAGACTGAGACTTAAGAGGCTCTGAAGATTTAACTTAACACTTGGGCACTTATTATAATAGTCTTGGAGTGTACATTTATCAAATGGGGAAAGCATAATTATTTTTAACCTTCATCCAAATTATCATGAAAACTTGATTACAGAATGCATTTGTATACTGAAACTAGTACTGGCAAGGGTGTGGTTAGATTCTAAGTACTGTTATTTCTCACTTATAATTATACTTTAGGACTGACAGTAATTTGTACTCCTTATGTTAATATTTAATATCAGTAGAATGATAAAAACTGCATATAATTAAATTGTTGCAATGCTTAATATTTAATTTATTAGTATGTATATTTATTTTTTTATATGAAATTTGTCTAAGCATATAATAGGCATAATAACCTAATAGCAACCAAGTAACAAACAATGAGTATTTATGTATGAGTCTTTTATCTATTCTATCTATCGAATAATCTATTTCAAGATGTATATTGTATAAATTCCATTAAATTACCATCTAACCATTCACCTATATATTTTAGTACTAACCAGTGCTGTAAAACTTAATGGCACCGGCACGGCTGTTGTTGATCACGTTTTTTCCAAGTAAGAATCGAGTTAGTCCCGCTACTGAAGCCATTTTGAACTTTTAAAAACTTTCAAGTATCCAGATGACTATAGGCGGTCAAACTGTAAAATTAAAGTAATATAGTCGTTATTTGAACTTTGACCGACAATAATAGAAGTTATCCATTATAGTAGTGTTCCAATATATTAAAATACATACATTTACTAGAACGGGCAAAGGCCAACTGCCTAACTTGCGATAAAATATAAATGATAATAGCTAAAGTAGGTAGGTGATAACTGATAACTAGGGATGTTGATGATCATCGATGTTGCTATACCAAAAATATCGTAACATCGATGTTAACTCACGGCTTCCCGCACGACCAATACAACCTACGAAACAAATTATGTCTTCTATGAACGCATCCACTAATGAGGTTTATTAAAATTTTGAACGCGTATTCATTCTTTGCGCCCAGGTAACCAGGTTCCTTCATTCGTTCTTCGTAGTCTCGCTCAATCTTACTCTCTCACACTTCCTCACTACTCTTTATCAACAAATAAATATATTAAAAGGTTCTTCTTTATCACACACAGTACAGTACAGTATCACATACAGTTGATAAAAAATATCGGAATATGTAATAATTTGTTCTGTTTCTTAATAAATATCGAACCACTTCACTGTATTTTATTTATTTGTCAATTATTAATGCAAAAATCACCGATGTTATCCAACATCGATGTTTGGTTTTCGATAAATATCGAGCATCGATGTTGGGCTTTCTATTACGACATCGATGTCAATATCGATGTTTTTCTAACATCGATCATCCCTACTGAACACTTCTTGCTTTTTGTGATTTTAAATTTTATACATCTATCATATATAATTATATTCATACACCGGTGTGACGTATTTAGTATACTATTGATAAGTAATCTGTGGTGTGACGTACTATGTATATATAAGTTGCTCTATGGTCTGCCGACGTAGAATGAACATTTTACTCTCAAACTAAGGTGTCATCACATCTGGGAATGTGGGTCATCCACAGCCTCATCGACCAAAGGAAAAAGTATTCCTACCGGTATGCCTATTTATCATGTAGCTAAGTAAAGTTGTTTCACTTTTGTTTATGGTTACCGATTTAACACATAATACACTCTATGCAACACACTATAATTATACACAGATTGACCCGTTAGGGTTAAACCCTAGATCTAGCAATAATTTGCTAGATCTACAAATAAACCACAAGAATTAACTCTTACAAACTGACTTGCGGACCCGGCAGACGTTGTCCTGCATGATAATTCAAGCGATTAGGATATTAAGCAAACTATGAAAGAACCGACTTCAGCGCCATCTGCCGGGCTGATTTGTGAACATAAACCATCCAGGGCTTCACCCAAACGCATAGAAAAAAAAATTCATTCAAATCGGTCCAGCCGTTTAAGAGTAGTATATGTAAGCTGCACACGGTGTGCAAATTGGATTGAAATCGGTTAAGTAGTTTAGGAGTCCATAGCGGACAAACAACGTTACGCGTTATTTACATAATATATAAAGGTCAGTACTCACATACGGTATTACTCGATCGAGCTAAACTGTCGAGTAAAACCCATGGCATGGGCTTTCGTCCACACATTGAGCATTGATCTATCGAGTGAGGCGCGCCGTTTAGTATACACCGAACCGTTCGAGCCAAAGGATGTCTGTGCAACAAAGGAGATGGTGGCTGTATTTAGCAAGTCCCACATTGCTTTATAAGAAAATCAAAGAAAAAACGATAAGCACAGCTAGTAATTTATCATAACATTCATTTCTCTTATTTTTGTGGGAGTAATATTTGAACTTGACATTCCATAAACACTCACACTGTCTATATGTGTTAATAAAGTCTTCTATAGCGCTTTTGGAATAAACTCGCAAATCCATTTCTCTTAACCTTCAAGCGGGCGCGCGTAGTCGAATCGACCGCGCTTAGTACATTTTCGTTCATATTATTATTACTACCCATCACATTTATTTCTCATTTATAGTAGCCTGTCGCTATGTCATTGGGAGTAAAATAAAGAATAAACCGTTGTTCGGGGCGCTCCCCCCACTCCATAGATCGCAATTGTTTCCGTCCCAGTGCAGTCGTCGAAAAGACTACACGCGCCTGTCGTCGAAAAGGTTACGCGCGACGCTCAACGACACATACCATTTTGGCCATCATTCAATAATATCGATTTAGCTTGGATTTTTTTATATAAAATGATTCAGATGGTTACCACAAAGTGCAATATTCGAGGAATTACTAAGAGAAGACGAAGAAGAAAGTGAATCAGAGCTCAGCGACTAAGGCTCTGAAACTTCCGACCACATCGTTGCAGAGGATTGAGGAACCTCGATCTGCTGAGGAATCAAACCACTCAGACTCAGAAGAGGATGATTTGCCAATTACAGAAATAAGTAGCTGTTTTACAAAGCGCGATAAAGTAACGAAGTAGCAAAAATCTAACAATAACAGAGTGAGGCGTCAAGTTCAAAATATTCTCGCAGAAGATGCGGACCTTCGTAGGAATGGTGTGGGGGTGACAACATTTACGCAAGCCTGGAGTTTATTCATTTCAGAGAATAATATTGAAAATTTGTTACATATACCAACGAATTCATTAAAAAAAAAGCAGCATCGTATAGCAGAATACGTGACTGCAAACCAACAGATGCGGTAGAAATTCGAGCACTTTGGAATTGTTGTAGTGGGATCCTTGAAGATATCACACGTCAATTTAGAAGATTTTATATTTTTACCTATTTTCCCTACTACTATGTCAGTGAAAAGAATATAATTTCTACTGTATTCATTGCGGTTTGATGATGCTACTACGCGACAAGCTCGTCGTATTCTTGACAAAGCTGCGCCAATATGAGAAATTTTAGATATGTTTCCACAAAACTGTCTATTGCCATATTCAGTGGGAGAGAACGTTGTAATTGATGAGATGATGGTTGGCTTTCGAGGAAAATGACCTTTCCGATAGTACTTGAATTATTTGTTTCTTTTTCATACTTTTAATTACTTTTTTTGACAAATCAGACTTTAAAGACAATGATAATATATCTGAGTACAAATAAATAAATAAATATTGAGTAATTAGTGCTTTCTTTCTCTTATTCTTCCCATAGGTCTTTTCGGTTACGCGCGCCCGCTCCCGTTACAAATGACCGCGCGCCCGCTTGAAGGTTAAAAACACGCGTTTCAATCACGATAAACAATACCAGACTGATGCTCGCCTCGCGCCTCTCGCAGTCACGTACACACGTTCGAGTCAAGATTGACGGCTCGCTTCGAGTAGGTTCGAAGGAAATTACTGTCATTTAATTCCATCGAGCCGGCTCGGTGCGAGTCTTCGAGCTGTGAGTTTTGCGGTCCACACGTTGATTTTTACTCGACTTCGAGTATAACTATCGAGTAATACCTTATGTGAGTACTGACCTTTAAGAATAACATAAGACTTACGTTGTTAATTTACGTGCTCTATGTGCTTGACATATAATGACAATGGCAGCTGATACCTCATACCAGTCATTGTTAAATTAAATAAATTTTCAAACTTCAAAGAACACAGGGACTAGGGAATAAGGCATTAAGTTGTTTACATATTAGTTAATAAAATTGGCTTAAATAAAATTACCTGAGAAAACGGTTTCTTATGTATTTAGGTGTCTTTTTAAATTTTTTTATTAGAAAACTTTATATGGGTTGAGGAAACTCCTTCAAGATTAACGACTTCTATTGGAGGAATGAATAATACAAAGAAGCTAAAATATTTTATATTGACTGGTGATCCCGGTGACGTACCAAAATATATCTATATTAATATAATATATGAAATATGAATAATACATTCAAATTCATTAATATTTGTGGTTTTCTTATGCGTAGGAGTAGGAAAAACTACTATAATAAAAAGGATATGTGAATCTTTACAAGGTAAAGGTGTCAAAACATCAGGTTTTTATACTGAGGAAGTTAGAACAAATAGAATTAGGGAAGGATTTGATGTGATTTCCCTGAATGGAGTAAAGGGTAGACTAGCAAGAGACCAGAGATTACTTAGCACACCAGCAAAATTTAAAGTTGGGAAATATGGTGTTCTAATTAAAGAGTTTGAAAATGTTGCACTCCCAACTTTGCAAAAGGTGTGTAATATAACCTAATATATAGTACTATTTTATTTTGAGTATAAAGGTCCTTCGCATTGACTACCTTAATGCTGGATGGGACCTGTTTGAACAAAAAGGTATAGATTATACATAGAATATGATAATTTAATATGAAAACTTTTCATACAGGGTGAAGATTGTAAATTATGTATCGTGATAGATGAGATAGGAAAAATGGAATTCTACAGTATCCCATTTAAGAACAGAGTAAAAGAAATCTTTACTCTGTTCTTAAATGGGATACTGATCAATAATTTAAACAATATTGTTATTGCTACAATACCAATAAGGAAGAGTGATCCTCTTATAGAATCAATAAGACACCATAATGAAGCTAAAGTTTGGGTGGTAAGAACACTTTTTTATTTAGTTAATTAAATGTTTGAAAATTTAAGGTTTTATTAATTAGAAGTAAATTAATTTTATAGTTTTATTATGATATATACAAAAATATTTTAATTAAGTATATCTTGTTTCAGGTAACACGAGACAACAGAAATATAATATATGAAGATATAGTCAAAGAAATATTTTGTAACATTTTACCTGATTAAATTGACAAAAAAAAACTAAGAACATAATACTAACTTAAGTTAAAAAAACTTTTATGTTTTTTAAAGTTGTTAAAAATATTGTAAAAATAAAAATGTATCACAAAATGCTTCCTTTAAAATAACAATTCTTATTAATTATCATCATCAGAATAATCATCAAACTGTCCAGACACAGTTCTAAAAACTTTAGGCTGTGATACCTTATCGATGGGTTCCTTGTGTAAATCAATGGGACAGAAGTGACCTTCATTGATTTTTTTTTGAATAAACATAACCCAAGGGGATTGAGGTGAAGTTCTACTTTTAGCAGTCATATGTGGAACCCACCAATCTTCTGCTTCCCAGTCTTCAGATGAAGTTGAAGAAGGTCTGTTTTGATAGGTTTCTGAAATTATTAATTTGCCAGTTAATATGTGGCTTAGATTTAGATGGTGTAGAAATTTGAAATAATGCACTAGAATGGTACAATGTTATAGGAAAAAACAGAAAACACATTATTTAATATAAAGATGTATGTGAAATACCAAGTACCTATGGCACGACATATGGTATAAGTTTTGACACTATAATGAATTGTATAAGTTTAAACAAAAAAATATTTATCAGTGCTCACTGTTCTAGAGAATATTTTTTTTTTGCTGAAAATAAGTTTTTATTGATACCAACCATTGTTTTCATTCTCATTCCATTGTAATTCATCATCAGTTAGGTTAGGAGTATGATCCCATTCCTCTTTAACTACTTCCTTCTTTCTGAAAATGAAATTATATAAATCTTTTTTAGTTTTCAGTTTGTTACAAAGTTTTTCATATTTAAAATATTTAATTACCTTCCACAATATCTTTGTTCTGAATACTTTAATCTTATCTTCTTTTGTTTTTCAATGTAAACATAATTCTCAGGTTCTTCAAAATAATTTTGGGCAAGATCAATTTCATCATAGTTATTGATTTCAGGTAAATCACAAAGAAAATTATCATACAAATCTAGGGATTTAAGATTTTTCATGTTACTCCAATTATTTGGAAGCATACATAATTCATTATTATTTAGAGATAGCACCTTTAATTTCTGTAACTGAAGTATTTCTTCAGGTAAATATAATAGCTGATTAAATGATAGCAAACAAACTTCTAAATTTTTTAAAGTACAAAATTCTTTAGGCAGAGCATCTATCTTATTGCATGACAAGTCTATTTCTATTAGTTTTTCAAATACACCTATTTTTGCTGTAACACTATTTATAAATGTATTCTGTACATTAAGCTTTTCCAAATTAATACATTCTATAAGGCCCTTAAAAGGAATATCATAAAAAGCATTGGCTTTACATAAAGTATAGGAATTGCCAAGTTGTATAGACTTAGCATTTACAAATGTTGCTATAAGCTTGTAATCTTTATTTATTCTACAATTGTGAATAATAACTTCCTTGACTAGAGGTTTATGTTGTAAAAATTCGAATAAATATTCATCTTTTAAGTTGGTATTATTGCTCATATTTAATTTTACTAATTTTTTAGGAGATGCTGCCCAGACCCAGTAAGGAGGACTGTGTATATTATTGTTGGATAGGTCTAAATCTTCTATAATATGACAAAAACTTGGTACGTCGTCAAATGCCTCAATATTATTGTAAGATAAGTCCAATTTTCGAATGTTTGTAAGATCCATAATGCTTTGGGGCACTCGCGTTAAGCTGTTGTGCGAAAGGTTTATTTCACATAAGTGTATCGGTAAAATTAAGTTATTGTTAAGATTAGTGAAATGTTGATTACTTAGATCAATAAACGTGATGTTTTCATTCTTATTATTGAGTATATTAAATGCATTCCTTTTAAGTACGGGTTTCTCTTCATTTTTCTCCATTTCAAAGATTACTTAGTTTACGACGTACGTTAAAAAAAATAAAACTATTAAAACAAAAATCATAAGATTTTGCCCATATAACCGGCAGGCGGCAACCACAAGTCACAACTCACAACATTTTAGACTTATGTCTATACTAAATACTTTATGACACGAGCCTTGAGAGTTGAGAGTTGAGACACTCGACGGACTAAAGAGTAAAGATAGACTAGAAAGACAGATTAGCTGGTCACAGATGCGTAATGCGTTAGTAACTTAGTGCGTTTTCCAATTACAGCACTAGAGCGCATTTTGCGGCATAATGCTCAACGTTGAGTGTTCAGTGTTCCAACTACAGCAACGCTTCGCACAATTGAGCACTCTCAAAACGAATGCTCTCGCAAACAATACCAACACAGTGACAGAAAATTGACCAGTATTTTTCTTTATGTTGGCATTTATCGGAATTTTCGTTAGTAAATATTATTTATTGTTGAAAAATTTGTAAGGCTTTCGTTTCGTCGTAGATTTTGAAAATAATTAAAGTTATTTCAAACTGCTAAAAAAATAAATATTAGTATGGATGAAGGTATAAATAGTTACTTTTTTTATATTCCACATTTAAAATATGAATACAATTTTATTTTATAATTCGGATCTGTAAACAAATTTACTTTACAGGATTATACTTTAGAAAAAATTGCAATGGTTTTGAAAAAGTATATATTTTTTTAGAAATCATTAAAAAATATTACTCAAAACGTAAATGATGTAAACTTCTTACATGAAACTAAATATTTTACTGTTAATTTAGCTTGTTAAAACCTTATATTCTTTAAAGGTTTTCTCTTATTTCAGTAAAAAAAATTTAATGAAATAATTTGATTATTAAATTAAGCGTAAAAAGTTCCAATTAAGCTTCAGCATTATGCGGCATTGTGCGGCACTGAGTCGAAAAATGCTCTGTAATTGGAAAACGCACTTATTCTACTAAATAATAATATTATGATTGCAGTTTGGTACAATTGACATGTTTCCAAGATGTCCGGACACATTGAGCACATCCAAATGGCTACAGATTCCCTGCTCGAAAGGGTTCCTACCGCTGAAATCATGATACTTGGCGATTTTAACGCCCACCATGCCGATTGGCTCGGCTCAGAAACCACCGATCATGCGGGAAGATCCTTTCACGACTTTGCTTTGGCTTATGACTTGACGCAAATGGTCCCTGCGATTACGCGAATACCAGATGTGGATGGTCATAAACCCTCTTTGTTGGACCTTCTGCTGACTTCACATCCGGAGAACTACCAAGTCTCTGTTGAACCGCCATTGGGTTCATCAGATCATTGTGTGGTCCGGAGCATTGTGCCGTTCACGCGCCTTCTTCGGCCTAGCTTCACGGGCTGTCGCCGCGTGTGGCACTATAAGTCAGCAGATTGGGATGGGATGCGGTCTTTTTTGCGTCCTACCCTTGGGGGCCCATTTGCTTTTCGTCGAGTACTCCAGATGCCGTCGCTGACTCTGTCGCCGAGGTGGTCCTGCAGGGTATGGAACTCTTTATTCCATTCTCTGCGGTGCCGGTCGGTGGCAAGTCCCAGCCTTGGTTTAGGCGTTCCTGCAAAGCGGCTTTGCGCCGTAAGCGTGAATGCTTTAAAGCCTGGGCAGAAGCGGTGACATCCTGTGATGTGACTATCGGCGAACGTAAAAAAGCATACAATTCAGCCAGGTCCTTCAAGCGAGAAATCGCTAAAGCAAAGTCAGAGCACATTGCCAGATTTGGTGAGAAATTGGCCCACCTCCCTTCGGGAACTCGAGCCTTCTGGTCTCTTGCCAAAGCTATCCAAGGGAATTTCTGTCAGCCCTCAATTCCACCACTGCATAGGGAGGATGACTCACTTGCCCATACCGCGAAAGAGAAGGCCGATCTTCTAGGCTGTCTCTTTGCGTCGAACTCCACTTTGGATGATCAAGGGAAGGAACCACCGACATTATTGCAGTGTGATACTACGATGCCCGAAGTTATATTCCGGCAACGTGCTATCCGTAAAGCTTTGTCTTCCTTGGACATCCATAAGTCGAGCGGGCCTGATGGCATCCCTCCAATTGTGCTGCGTACTTGTGCTCCTGAGTTGGCTCCGGTCCTAACGCGCCTTTTCCGGTACCTTTACACGCTCGGCACTGTTCCGAAGTGCTGGAAGATCGCTTCGATACATCCGATCCCTAAAAAAGGCGATCGCTCTGATCCGTCCAACTATCGCCCAATAGCTATAACCTCCTTGTTCTCCAAAATAATGGAAACCATTAATAACAGCCAGCTCTTGAGGTATCTAGAGGGCCACCAGCTGATTAGCGATTCTCAGTACGGCTTCCGTCGTGGTCGCTCGGCTGGTGACCTCCTTGTATACCTTACACATAGGTGGGCAGAGGCAATTGAGTCCAAGGGGAGGCGCTGGCGGTAAGTTTGGACATAGCGAAAGCCTTCGATCGGGTGTGGCACAGAGCACTGCTCTCGAAGCTTCCAGCCTATGGGCTCCCTGAGAAATTATGCAACTGGATTTCCAGCTTTCTCGCTGATCGGAGCATCAAAGTCGTCATCGACGGAGCATGCTCCGACCTGAAACCTGTGAATGCTGGTGTCCCACAAGGCTGTGTCCTATCCCCGACCCTGTTTATTCTGCATATCAATGATATGTTGCAGCTTAGCAACATTCATTGCTATGCGGACGACAGCACTGGGGATACTTTTTACACTGGCCGGGCAGGTATTTCTCGGGCTGTTGTCGATGAGTACCGGAACAAACTTGTGTCTGAAGTCGAAACTCTTCTACGTGGAGTCTCGGACTGGGGTAGACTAAATCTAGTCCAATTTAACCCCAAGAAGACACAAGTATGCGCGTTTTCCGCTAAAAAAACTCCCTTTGTCGCTACTCCCCTCTTTGAAGACACTCTCCTTAAAGCCTCAGCTAGCATCGGAATACTGGGCGTTGACATATCGAATAACGTTCAGTTTCGCGGTCATCTGGAAGGAAAGGCTAAATTAGCCTCCAAAAAGCTTGGTGTGCTCAGCAAGGCGAGACGGTACTTCACTCCGGGCCACCGCTTGCAACTATATAAAGCGCAAATTCGGCCCCATATGGAGTACTGCTCTCACCTCTGGGCGGGAGCTCCCCAGTACCAGCTCCTTCCACTTGACCGTATTCAACGAAGAGCGGTTCGAATCGTCGACGACCAGTCACTTTCCGTGCGGCTTGATCCCTTGGCGTTGCGTAGAGATGTGGGATCTCTCTGCATCTTCTACCGCATTTACCATGGAGAGTGTTCAGAGGAGTTGTTCGGTCTAATACCTGCAGCTGAGTTTCATCATCGGACGTCAAGGCAAAATACAAAAATACCATCCGTATCACCTCGACGTCCGTCGTTCCACAACAGAGCGTTTTCTAAGGCAGTTTTTGCCGCGCACCACCACTATGTGGAACCAGCTGCCCACAGAAGTATTTCCGAACCAATTCGACTTAGGGTCCTTCAAGAAAAGAGCGTACCAATTCCTGAAAGGCCGGCAACGCACTTGCGAGCCTTCTGGCATTGTGAGTGTCCATGGGCGGCGGTATCACTTAACATCAGGTGAGCCTCCTGCCCGTTTGCCTCCTATTACATTAAAAAAAAAAAAAAAAAAAAAAAAAAAAAAAAAAACAGGAAAATGGAAATAAGTTGGACAGTCATTTTAGGTCTTAGTTTTAGATTATTGAAGTTATACTTCTTTTGCGCGTTAGCGAAACACGATGAGCGTGCGCGCGCACACCGTCACAAAAAACCGACGTCCTGAAGTTAATCAACATTTTAGTTTTTTTTCTATTTGTCGTTTTTTCTACAAAAGTAGAATAAAATTTTTGAAAAGATTTTTATCTTGTTACGCCAAAGAAGTATAAGTTCTAACGCGTGTACATAAGTACACACACGTTTATAGTTAAGGTTAGACTTTATGTGGTGGTGTTAATTCTGAGCTTTTCGAAATTCAACCTTATTCACGACACGGATACACGGACACGAAAGACGTTCTTATCCCTTATTTTTCATGTTTCATATTTATTGTCATAAATTGAAATGTATATAAAAATGTATGATGTGGTGACACCAAGGGCGGATCATGGTGGACAAGGGGAGCCTGTATCAAAATTTTAATTTATTTACAGATTCTGTATAAAAAACAAAAACTTATTTATAAAATTTTAACCCCTGGCGCAAGCATGTAGTTTTAATATGATAAATTGTGAATAATATGCGTACATAACACAATGTTACAGTATGGAGTTGGTATTTTTTCTAGATTTGTAAACTTTGCGTAATAATCAAGTGGTGTTTATCGTTAAGCAGTTTTGTAAACATTCCAAACAATAGAATCAAACCCTCTAGGGTACATTAATTTTTCATTTGGTAAAATGAAATTAGACTGGGCACTGTTTTTCGTAATTTCATTGTTATATTTATCATTAATTGGTTGTAGCAAAAATTCCGATGAGTCTAACAAACCAGATATCGCTAGAGCAGGGAAAACGAGGCGTCAGAAAATGGGTAAGAATTTTGGTTTTCGGATTTACGTGCTATGTCACAAGCTTTATAACATATATTTAATTCGTGTTAGAATTCGTAGACAGATTAATTTAATTATAATTGATTAGGCGGTAACAAAAAAATGGACGTACTCGTAAAGTTATTATGAAAAGGTTTTATGTCACGAACTGAGATGCTGTCCGAGAACTCATATTGTCACTCTCAAAACTGTCCTGAAAAATTAAAAATATTAACCTAGCTGTTTATTGCTTTAAATTAAATTGGCTTTAATTTTACCAATGGCTACCTAATCTTTGATGGAAAGTGAGAATATATGACAACAAAAACACCAGTGTTGGCCTAATGACGGCTCTTATGTCTTGGGACGTATGTTCAATGCTGTCCCTTTTATGCTCTTTTCTACCACTTGTCACCGAAGGTGAAGGTGGAAAAGCGTGAGGAAAGCGGAATGCCTTAGAACTAATAATCTACGGCGTGTCTCAGGCATAGATGATAGATGAATACATAATTGCCTGCTAAGAAAACAATTCATCAAGAAACAGATACATAAATCTGAGGCCAAGAGCAATGGCTGTAGCGCTAGTTTTTTAATATAAACAAAGCAGCAATAATTTATTCATGGAGACTTACGGTCTTACCAATTTAACACCATTTTAGTTCAAAACTCGGCAGTTGGTACTCTGTCGAATGTAATCACGCAAATTCAAAATTTGCCAAATATGGATCTCGGGAGGCGATTCAGAACACCGTGTAAGACGGGTAATAAATGTGGCAAGGTAAGATTTATCGTTGCAATAATTTAGTTTAATTTATTAAAAGAGCATGATATTTATAAAATATTGCAATTAATTATCTATGGATACCGTTAAACTAGACTTGGTTGTTGTTAAAATGAGTAATCAAGTGCCACTTTTTTGTTTAGTTATGGAGTAAAATAACTTGTAAATAATAATTAATTTATAAAAAAACCCTTTGTCTAATTTAAGAATGATAAATAACACGTTAAAACATGACGTTTGTTTACAAATTTACAGGCATGGTAAAAATAAAGTTATAGTGACTAGTGGGACGCCATTTTGCATAGATAATCGCTTTCGCGGGTTTTTGTATTATGAAAGTTTCATTTAATTTTTTAAAGCCAACCGAAAAAGATACTTTAATAAATTTTTCTACACAAAAAAAAAAGATTTACAAGAAGAATAAATAATCTGATATGGTTTTTAAAACCTTACAAAGTCGATATAAACAAATACGTTTAATCATTGTAACGAAATAGTTATATCTTTTTTTGTCCTTTCCAGGTCATTAAACGCTTAATGGTGCCAAAACTGGCCCAATTGGAGAACACTATTATGGGCGTGATGAAGGAGCTCTCAAAGATGCCACCAGGATCCCGCCTTCCCGATAAATACACGAAAACTGAGCCGATTAAACTGTTGCTAGACCAGAATTACAAGTAAATTATTTTGTAGAATAATTTAAATTATGTCGAACGAAGATAAATATTTAAGAAACGAATATTATTTAAAATTGGCTCAGCGGCTATGAACTAAGATAATGTTGTGCTCAGCACTGATTTAGTATCTTTTTCAACTAAATATATACTAAATCTATAATTCTATAGTTTATACCTTCTGAGATACGAGATTCTTACTTAAGACTCTAAGTGTAAGATTTAAAAACAAGACTTAGCGCTATGCTTGATGTACGGGTCGTTAAAAATGTATTGGATTTTGATTTTATTGAGTCATAGTTCGCGCTAACTGTGTTTTCTGAATATCACCCTAAGCTCCGACTCTAAATCATAACCATAGATCAAAGAAGAGACGAAAACAATTGGTTAAAGAAATTTAGAAATATTTTTTTCATTTTTGATAAATAAGGCTGGGAGCGCCAAATTGTGTTTATCTGTTTACTAGTACCGCACATAGACAGTAATTCTGCACATAGACTACACTCGCAAAATCTATTAATATTTATAGTTAAACATAAATAAAATCTATTAAATAATATTTGATTGTATATCACGCGGTGCTTGTAAAATGTTTGCGACATATTTTTAAAGTATTTTTGGTTCATTCTGTTGGGCTAAAAATATTTTAAAATTTCTTACATCTCATTTCAGAGAAGACGTATGTATGGACAAACTGGAGTCATGTTTAAAAGAAGATAAACGTCGGAAACGTATATTAAAGAAGCTGTTTTTCAAGAAATATAACGCCGTAAGACAAGAGCTAATTGGTTACGGTGGGCGGCGGCTCTGGGGCGGCGAAGGAAATCTTTTTTATAGGCGATAGATAAATAAAAAGAATAAAGAAATACTGATTTTATTTGACCAATAAATAATATTTATTAAACGGACAAAACACTGAATTTATTACATTATTTGCCACTTGATGTTTCGAGTGCTTTTTGGCAATCGTGATTAGCAAGGAAGCGCGAATCTCTCGCGAATAAAATAAGGCATTTGATAAAAACTAAAATTAATATATCTAATTATTCGTGTAAATTAGTTCCTACTTTAAGTAAATAATATCTTACAATAAGAACTAGGCATACCAAAAGTTTCAAAAACATGTGAATAGACACAACATAGACAGTTGACATCTATCTAGTTTTCATTTTGATGTTTTTTTTTAAATTTTAATTTATGCAAGGCAGGGAAGATTAGGAAATGGTAATATTTATAAAATATATATTTGTTTGATATGCTTCGGTAATTTGACGAATTGATGATCATGCAAATGGAGTAATTGTTTCCTGATTATGATTAGGTAATTAAAAAATTATGATCCACAATTACTTGATTAAAATGCTTTTGGCGTGTAGGATTAATGCTGTGATGCCATTCCTATTCTTGATTCGGTCTTATTTTATATAAAAGATGTTAATTGACATGTTTGCCAAAAGAATATGCTAGGCGCAATATTTTAAAAGGATAAACTTTAATAATATAATACCGCTTCCACGGCAATTATAACCCGAATGTTTGATTCCTGTCACAATAATTACTACTTGTCAAAGTGTAACGAGTAATATAGCAATAAGGATATGTATATAGAAGTTCGTTGGTTGATATTATTTCGTATTAATTCATAGTACCTAAATGATCTTAAGCATTTTAATGGCTTAGGTTACTCTCTATCTACCTTTTAATACTTAGTACTAAATTATTTGAATCCTCAAAGAATGCTTCTTTTGAATAAATCCCTTTACGGATACAGATGTATTACATAATTTACATATCTCGACGCTTGGAGCAATCGTGATGATTGATGAGAATCTCGGTGAAATTTCTTATACATTTAACTATATATTATAGAGTATTGAGAATATAGAGGCGTAAGCCCATGAACACAAATTTCACAGATTAGATTATTTTATTACTTTATATAATATGCCAATACTTGTACGAGTGAATAACGTAAGAGGTTTAGCTAGAATTAAGGTTAATTTTTACAGGAAATGGCGCGTAAATTCTATCAACTGGAAATTAATCGAATGGTCACGTTTTATTGTTTGTAATAAACAATATTTTCTAACAATAGTAGTTTTACAAACATTACCTAACTTTCGCCCACAAAGGCTTATTGCTCATAAGTTATGTACTGTTGAGGAATTAGGCAAAAATATCCGTGAAACATGTTCGATATGTGTTTATTAAAAATTGTGGTTTTAATGGCTGCAATTAAAACTATTCTTGGTGTAGATGATAGTAAGTGACTATAATATTTGCTAGGAGAACTACAAGTAATATCTATGGCCGTATTATTTAACGGTTCAACGGTTAACCTTTGTTAATAACAACGTAATCATGATAACGATGACGATATTAAAATTAATCTACGTAAAATGCTAGGGTTTTTGTGGCTAAACCCAAAAGGAAATCTATGCCGCAAAATATGTAAATTAACGAACGAAACATGCATTACTCTCTATTATATTAATGTTATTTATGAAACTATGAAAATAATAACATGCTATTTTATTAAATAATATTAGCACTTGCGTGAATTATAGAGCCCAGCAATTCTTCAATAATTTTTTCACGACCTCGAGGGCATTTGTATTATTTAAGGAAAAATTCAATTTGATTACATTCTAAGATGTTATTCATTTGTATGGTGATATAACAGAATGCTGGCGGTAATAGCGGGAATGCTGGATTGCCCTTGGATCATTGCAATGGACTGCATGTGCCCTTTTTAATTTTATGATTGTGTATTCTTTAAAGCTAATACTAATGTAATATTTAGGACAATAATGTAACAACCACAATTATAACCATATGGACGTATTATCTGCTTGAATAAATAAATTATTATTTTTATATTACTATACATAATTATAAGGATATTAAATGCTCTAAGTATAAAGAGATTTATCAGAACATTATATATTTCAGGCCTGCTCTTCACAGTAACCAGAGCACCTCGATACTTCGGAATCCTGCAGGATCATAGGGGACAGCCGCTCTCCGTTGAAATTTCGGAAGAATATATGGACCAAGACTATATTGCTACAAACAGGTTTTTATCAGAGCACATACGTTTAATACATATATACGTTAAATACGTAACGAATGTTACTTTTGTTTCAGAAAGCGGCATAAAATCGATTGGCATAAGTGAGTATTTTATTAAGTTTGTTTTTGGCCAGGCTTACAAATATTGATTCTATGGTCTCACATAATCTATATTAATATCTTTATATAGTTATAATTGTACGTTGCACGAGATGTTGTCATTTATAATGTATTTTAAGCGCTTTAAGCTTCACTAGCAGGTAGAACACTTGATTGCGTGCTGCAATACACGCAAGGCGGAATGGGTAAATGAAACATGGGATTCCGATTAATAAATTAAATCTCGAAAAATTTCTTCTTTTCGTAAATTGAAAAGAGTACTATGTTGTCGTATCATGAGTATGATACTGAGGGCTCGACTCTTACTCTGTTGCAACTGCCCCAGTAGCTATACGGCTGTGTGGCATGGCCTATTAAAGAATACACAATAGACGCCACGCAGCTTTCAGTAGTGTTACCGTCGCATGCTTCGCATCCGCTGGATCCAGAGAGTTACGAACGGAGGTCCGTCAATGAATCGGGACGACACGAAAGTTTATGCAGACTGTCGGACACGTTTTGCGTCATCATCGATACGACTTGTTGCAGCGTATCACCTCGTCGTCCGCCGTTCCACAACTGAGCGTTTCAAGGCAGTTTTTGTCGCGCACCACCACTTTGTGGAACCAGCTGCCCACTGAAATATTTCCGAACCAATTCGACTTAGGGTCCTTCAAGAAAAGGCAATGCACTCGCGTGCCTTCGGGCATTGGGGTGTCCATGGGCGGCGGTATCACTTACCATCAGGTGAGCCTCCTGCCCGTTTGCCCTTGTTCTATAAAAAAAAATAATGGTGGGAAAAATTCAAGGCAAGAGCTGGGATGGTAAAAGGAAGAAGTCGTGGTTAGAACGTACGGGAGTTGTCAACAGCCAAGCTTTAGCAACAAAGTGGCAGAAGAAGCTTTTCTATAAGCGTTAAATTTTTCGCTTGTTCAAAAATTATAGTATTAAAAAATACTAACTATATTTCTATATTCACTATGACTTGCTTTTGGATATATGATACTCCATTACTTGTCGATTAACTTATTAGAAATAGCTTTTCAAGTCAATTTTTAAATTTCAGGAATCCTTTAGACATGGATGACTTTGATGATGATGAAACAGACGAAGTATTTGATGATAAAGACAAAGATGTAAAGATACCTAACAAATTTAATTTACAAGCCGGTCCAGTATAAACATATCTAACAACAAATAAAAAATATAATTTAAAAAAAATTCATTTGTTACTATCATAATACATCCAATATATTTTAATATCGGAATTAATTTTATAAGTAGCTTGCTTGCTAGAAGTAGTAGCTTTTGTTGAGTCCAAAGTACTGCCAATGAATACACAACACTCAAACGAGTCAACTTTACAAACCATTTATCTTATTAAAATAATATAACTTAATTAGTGGCGCTACAACCTTAGATTTCTGTATCTGTTGTATGATTATTTATCAACCTAATAGGCAAGAAGGTGATTAGTCTGATGTCGACTTTTTGGGTCTAGACATGTCGGTTTCCACACGATGTTTTCCTTCACCGTTCGAGCTAATGTTAAATGCGCACATAGAAAGAAAGTCCATTGGTGCACAGCCGGGAACCGATCCTACGACCTCAGGGATGAGAGTCAGACGCTGAAGCCACTAGGCCAACACTGCTTCAACAGTTTAAAAATCGTTTACGAATAATCGAAATCTTAGATTAAATATTTTAGTAAATAAAACCCGACACATAACTGTACGAGTCAAGGCTGTACATTTTCCTCACTCTTTTCTTAGTTTTATAAGCTTGACGATTTCCTACATCGTCGGAGTTACGCCCCGAGAGTATAGCCAGACGTAGGCACTCTCTAGAGTCTAGACTGTTACATTGCAGTCATTCGTTTCATAGCAATGAACATTTCATTGTATATTCTATTGTTGTAGCGAGTGGTTAATATAGAGTAAAACAAAAATCCTCTATTATATAAAGTACCTTGATGATCCAGGGATCGTACAATACATTTTAAAGACGTACAATATGTCGAATATTGTGTTACACTTATTTTAAGCCGTTTTTAATATGCTCCAATAAAAGATTTTGTATCAAACTGCCTATATACAATTACAATGCTTTAAAATTTTAAGGTATGAAATAAAAAAAGAAGAAATATAAAAATGCATACAAATTTATTAAAAAAATGGATTTTATAAAAATATCACGAAATTAACTACCGGAAATCATCGTACATTTCCGCGAAACGATCCTCTATTGATTCGTGAAATTCTCGAGCAAACAGTGGCATCCTGGCCATCTCCAAGGACTCTTCAGAATAGTCTGTGGTCTCGTCCGAGTATTGATCAGCTATGTGATCCTGATAGATCTTTTCACATTCGCTGGGATGATCACTCTTCAATGTACTTGGGTGATAGCCGATAGCGTCTATTGGACCAACGGTGAAGTACGGCATTTGTGTGGTTACTTGGAAGTGTTTATCTGTAAAAATTATACGTTATTGAATTGAAACTTCGTTAGGCGCATGAGGGTAAAATTTTTACGGATATGTCACGAAGATGTGCAGCGTGCGATGGTGTTTTTAATACATATCAATATCATTATTATTTAATTAAGTAACTAAATTACCATTTTTTTGTTGGTTTTGTATTTTTATAAGGGCACAGAACCAAGACCTTTTTTGTCAAGTCCCAGTTATATTAGAAAATGTGGACATAAGTTAGCAATTACGATAATCATGATTTTGTTATATTATTCGGTAATTATTACCATATTTATGGTGGTATTTCTATATACATAACAACAATTAATTTTAGTTCTGGTTTTTAATTAGCCTTAGTATCATTCATTAATATAGCAAGACTGGCAAAATTAAATTATGGGATTTGGGCTCCTACTTAGAAGCATCTACTCATCTACTGCATAGAGCTACTGCTGGTCTATCTCTAGAATATATTGACGTTTTAGTCGTTTCACGTAATGTTCTATGGTGAGTTGGCTAGCAACATATTTTATTTATGGGTTGGGTTATATCTAAATATATTTTTTTTTAAAGTCCTGTTCGGTTTCATAGAAATAAAATCAATTTTATATATTTTATCTCGTTGCAGTTTATAGGTACTTGTTCATATGGCAAATCAGCACATATAAAAGTCCACACTGTGTCGGGATTGTCTATAAAGTAAAATGATAATAAATACAGTAAGAAATCTAAAGACTCTATTAAAGGAAACCTCGATGGAAAAGAATGGAGTAGATGAGGTTAGCCGGAGTTAAGTCGAAATTTCTTGAAGCAGCGGGTCAATCACTGCTTTTAGAAAATTCAACTTAACATAGTAAAAATGTATTTTACAGATACAGTGTAAACTAAATAACGACACTCAAGGAACTGTGCATATTTTGACGTTACAAATAGTCGCCGTTAAATGGAAAAAGAAAAATCTGTATTGGAAAAAGAAAAAGTTTATTTCAGACTAGCGTTGTAATTACATAAAAAAGAAATCTTATTCGAAAGCTATTACGAATAGTCTGTTATTTATTTTATTCATTTCTTGCTATATTGAGGCATCTTCGTGATAAGGCACGTAAAAGCAATCCCAATTTGTAAACAAAATAACGGATTTCTTAGGAAGTATGGTACGTATGATGCCAACAGTCGAGTAATAATAAAAATAATTAAAACGAAATTTATAACAAATTCATAAAGTTTGGTCCCTATAGCAGTGTACCCTTAACGCTGGCAGCATTTCCTCGCTGTATTGCGATACTTATTCGTTGAGCGAGGAAATCACCAGCTCTGGGGTCACCAGTACTATCTACCAGGCGCCAACGTAAATCTTTAATTATCGCCTATGCACTTGAACCCCACGACCCAAGAGTCTACTCCAAAGGGAACGAAATTGGAGGAAAGTATTATATTTAAAGTAAATTACTTACAGTCAATGTGATCAGGTATGATAACAGTTGCCATAGTTTTAGCGACTTTATCATCATAATAATCACCGAATATGTCAACCTTTCCTCCTTCGTGCACCTCTTTCCACTTCGGTGCTTCAGTACATTCATCTGCTAAGTGACGTCTTCCTGATCGATGATGAATTTTTGGTGGTGGCAACTCCGTAAGTGGTACAAAACTTTTGCTTATCATACCTCCCACTGGTTTCACTTGTCCAAGCCTTTAAAATTTAAATAATAATAATGATTAATTTGCAAGAATATCTTACAAAAATGTTGTGGTGGTACAATCTAAACTTCGCATATTCTGCCACACATAATGGCGTGCCAATTTGTCTTAAAAGGAATTTTACATAAAAGTTACACACATTATGAGTCATATCATTATAGTCAATTCTTAGATATATAATATCATTGATAAAATTAAATTATTTATCACTACATCATCACAATTAAAATATATTATTACGTTATCAAATTTATATTAATTATAATGCTACAAAATAATCAATAATATATCATTAATAAATTCAGTTATTGTAAGGAAAACATGTCTCCTTCGAGTTTTTAAGTCTATTAAAGTTCTATATTCGTTCACAATAAATTAAATATTGTCATAAGCAATGCCTGATGGCCGATTTTATGCCACAGTATGAGGGCCGGTCACATTGCCCACGTTTTTGAATGGTCCTGGAATAGGAAGAAACAAGAGAGGAGTGTACTTGACGAGGCTAAGGCCCACAAGAGGCTGTATGACCATTGATGATGACGAGGGAAACCTTTTAGGCTATTAAAACATGTATTTATCTTAAGAATATTTAAAACGGTTGGCTTATTTGGTAGCACTGTCTCCAATTTGAGTTTTGTTGCAAGTAAAAATGTCTAAAATTAAAATTGGCTTCACGGATTTATACACAGACAATCACAGTGGCGGATTTACCAGCAGGCTGAGTAGGTTGGTGCTTAGGGCGGCGGATTTTTGGGGCGGCAAATTTGGAAACCGAATATTTTTCTTGCTACCTCATACAAATCAAAAAGATTTCTGCATGACCGTGTTCTGATGTTTTACAGATGCAAAACAACAAATTTTACCACTTTCCCCTCTAACTTCTCATTGTACATTCGGTGTAGCAAACTTCAATATTCTAGAGTAAAACAGCGAGTTCGCCGCCCCCCAATCAGTAATCGACCTCACCTTACACTTAAGAAAAGAGCGAAATTGCAGAAAATGTATTTCCCTCTTCCCCCTATCAACCCATACATATCATTCGTACTACTGGTTGGCGGCTACGAACTGGATGGTTTGTGTATAATTTTGTGTCCAAAAATCATAAGACTCATAGGAAAATTTAAGATATGACAATAAGTAAGGCAAAGGTGGCAAAAACTGTACAGCCAACCTTGAAAATATGTTAATACGGAGAATCACAAACATAGATACGTACTTGTTAATAATTAAACTGCTCCTGATTTCAGCGTTTATGGACACAACGAACAACGTCACGAATCTTAGCCACATTTTCTCGAGTAACCGAGTTCAGATTAATGCTCAGCTACACTTATAGACGATTTAACAATTATCTACAATCTCGTAACAAAGTGCATTGTTTCAACAGGTGGTTAAGTTTTTTTTCGTGTCACGAAATCTGTGATTGTAATTCTGAATCGTGCATACGTAAGACGATTCGTAGAAATAATTAAATTTTAAGAGCGTTTGGGATAAAATCTCTTTTATTTAGGAATCTTTATTATTGTGTTTAAATTGGCTTTTAAACCTAACTGGTTTGTTTACCTAATCTACTTATGTAATTTATGTGTCATAAAAAATAAATCAGTGGCGATACAACCTTTTTAGGCCTGGGCCTCAGATTTCTGTAGCTGTTTCATCATCTAATAGGCAAGTAGGTGATCAGCCTACTGTTCCTGACACATGTTGACTTTTTGGGTCTAAGGCAAGCCGGTTCACGATGTTTTCCTTCACCGTTCGAGCGAATGTTAAATGTGCACATAGAAAGAAATTCATTGGTGCACAGCCTGGGATCGAACCTACGATCATAGGGATGATAGTCGCACGCTTAAGCCACTAGGCCAACACTGCTCTGCATATGTGTCATATAAATGTGATTATAATAGTTATTTAAAAATGGGATAGATAGGGGGGGATCTGCAACATTTCTGCTTTATTTCTACCAAACCAACATTGCTCGGTGATCAGTCTCCATATACATTATACGTACTGCATGTTATTTTTTTTCCGTTTTATTTTCAAACTTATAAACAAATGACAAAAGAAAAGCCAAAAACGCATTATTTTTTGCAATGTATGAAGAAACGAAAAAACATATTTTTCATAATTTTTATTAATACATTCGCCCCCTCTTTCGCTTATAGACCACTGGATCGAGATGCCAAGTCTGGTTACCACCGCAAGAGATAAGGGTGTAACACCCACCATACACTATTGGTGGATCCGTGTCTGGCACACACACATTATCCTGACAGAATGTTGCTGTACCTTAAAACAAACAAATTTTTTAAGCCTAGTGCGTCGTGTGCATATCTATGAAGATTTAATTTAAATATATCCCTTTTGAGGCTCGACTCTTTCCTTTAAAAGCTCATTTGGCCCATTATACTTATAATATGTAATTATATTTACAACTTTTTAAATGTATTTCATAATTATGTGAATATATATATCATTCACATTTTTGCGTAAGTATTAATTTAAAGATTTTTGTAAAATAATATAGTTTTTTCGAAGTGAAAAGTTTCGAAACTTCTTTAGGCGCATGAGGGTTTAATTAGCGTTTAACGTCACGAAGATTGCAGAGTTTTTGTCGAAGAAAAGGGAGAGAGCGATTAGGACCTATTGAGAGAGAGTGAGAAGGGCGAATTAACTTAAAGAAATTCTATTTTTAAAATTAAAATTTCGTAAAGAGAATTTATGAAATATTAGTATTTTATATTTTATGCAAAATAATTGACTGAAATCTCAAATGACGAATTGTAAATTAAAATTCCACGTGTTTTTATTATCGAAGAAATAAATTAAAAACATAAAATTCATAATTTGTAATCATTTTCGACACTTTTAATATTTTAATGACAATTAAATTCATTAAATTCCTAACATATCTTCCTGTTTCCCTCCCTTAGAGGGAATCTAACTGTCTCGAAAAATTTTAGATTTGTATAAATATGAACAAGACTTAAAAATTTGTTTGCCAAAGAATTTTCACTTCTGACATGTGTACTTTGTACGCACGCACTTTTTTTTCATTGTTACTTACTCCTCTTTACATTCATTTAACGGTAAATATATAATAAATTTTATTTAAGGTTGTTCTGTCAGTCTTTACGAAGATGATATTGAACATCTTTTAAAAAACTCTGTCTTTTGTTTCTGTTAAATTCCGTGTGGTTTCTTTAATAAGGCTTACTTTCCCCAGCAACACACCGAACATTTAGTACCGGGGCCGTAGGTTCTAATTATTATTATTTAATAGTAACTTTGTTATTTCCAGGCTCTGTATGTCGTATAATATGAAACCACAGCCTCTTCTGAGATGCTTTTGAGATTAAATAATTAAAGGTAATGTGTACAGTCTGTTTCTTGAACTGCTTCAAGAGACTCCAGGAGACTTCTATATACTATTGTGTCTTGTACGGGTTATGCGAACTAATGGGAAGTACCTAATAAAATCCATACCAACATATCCTGTAGGTCTTGCTTGACGTTTATTCTTCACGTAGTCTACCACAGCCTTGGACAGAGCATAGAAGTGTTTGCTGGCTTTGTATCGCATTTTTGCGAGGGCGGCATCGCAGTCACTTTTGTCAGCCCGACAGTGGTACACCAGGTTGTTTGTGTTTGTTTTAATCATCTCTTCTCGAAGGACTTGGTATTTTGTATCCGTGTAGAGTAATTGAGCGAAGCGGACGTTAACTAAAATGTTTTTGAAGTGAAAGTGTTCTTTAGGCACATGAGGGTAAAATGTTTACGGATGGAACGCAGTAATAATAATATTAGCGTCACGAAGATGTGCAGCGTTTTAGTCGAAGAAAAGGAAGAGAGCGATTGAGACCGATTGAGAGGGTGAGAAGGGCGAATTACCTTATAGAAATTCTATTTCTAAAATTAAAATTTCATAAAGAGAATTTATGAAATATTAGTATTTTATATTTTATGCAAAATAATTTATTGAAATCTCAAATGACGTATTGTAAATTAAAATGCCACGTGTCTTTAGTATCGAAGAAATAAATTAAATTTACAATTTGTATTAATTTTTGACAATTTTAATATTTTAATCACAATTAAATTCCTAGCATATGTTCCTTTTTCCCTCCCTCTAAGTCTCGGAAATCTAAGTAGTAGACACTCACATTGCCAGTAGGATTACATTATAATTAATAAATAATAATAATTTATTGCAAGAATATGTTACAAAAATGTTATGGTGGAAAAATGTGGATGTGGTGTACTTTAATAAACAAATAAATATCAGACTTAAAAATCTATTATACCTTACTAAAAATGGATCTATTTCTTTTCATAGTAACGTTTGCAAGAAACAAATGAATAAGATCATTAGAGGAAAAAACAGACATGAAGTTTTAAGAAATTTTGTTAAGTCACCATCACCAACACTAATTTCTAGGTTACAAATTTCTGACATTTATTCATTTCGTATTCCTACAGCTATCATAAATTATATTCAACAAAAAACAATTATGCTAAACATACAGACAAAGATGGAATACGTAATACCTAATTCGGCTGAGCTGTGTGATGATGTACGTCATACGTGAGGGTGTGAATGTGGGGTGCGCTCATGATGCAGGTGATTGGTCAAAGGTAACGGGTCAGCCTATTGTGTCTTCCAATCTGTATCTGTTTCTTGACATGTACTTACATCCAGCCCCTACAATATAGCCGATAGAATTTTTCACATTCCCACTTAGTTGTATAAAGAGTACAGCCAACACGATTGCTTTCATGTTTCATACATAAAAATTGAGAACAAATTATAACCTTTTAATTGGTTCAAACCTAGTTATTGCCCAATTAGTTTTCTTGTTATTTTATGGATTGATTTGTTTAAAAGTATTATGGTTTAGTAAACGTAAAAAAATCAATAAAACTTTTTATACATTTGAATTTGATTATTTAAACGATCCTAATCCTTGGGATTGATTTGCTCCAGTTCAAACTGTTTGTATGACTCAAAACTTGGCGATTAAAAAGAGTGGCGGAGAGTTTCTTGTCAGTTCTTCTTGCCCGCTCTACGCCCTTGACTTGCGAACTGGTAGTAAATGTAAATTTAGAATCAATTTAACATCTTTTCTGTTGACGTTTATGTATACTTGGTTATTTATATGAATAAAGTTATTTTGAGTTTGAGTTTAAACAAATTTCACGGATTTTCGACGTAGTTAAATACGACCCTACTAATGAAGATAACGTCTTTTATATGGAAATAAAGGTACAATATAAAGTAAAATTAAATATATTTGTGAACATTATAAAGTTTTCTTTATTAATTAGTTTGTTAAAAATTGCCTCGCTTGTCAATATTTTCTATTTAGTCAGTTCCTCATATCAAATACGATATACAAGAAAAGAGGTTAGTGTGCGCAGGTTTTATTCACTGTATCACATAAAATATTAATAAAACAAATATGTTGGGAAACACTTTAATAAATAATTAACCTTTAGTGTTATGCCTTACGTTCGAAAATCATGGTAATTATAACTCTGCTTATCAAACAGAGAGAAAGAGAGGTGTTCAAAAGTGCGTTCAAAATGCTAGCTTACATTTCCGTACAATTCGGCACGCACCTGCACTTATCTCGTAATGCAAAAACCATAAATTCCACTGTAGCATCTATGGTATCAGGGCCTCCATCCATCATGATACTGAAAGACGCCCACTGGCCACAAACCGGTTCTTATCTAACGGCTTTGCATATTATACGCCGCATAGATCTTCATTACACGTGCTAAATATAAATTATATCGTAGCACGCGACTTTAGTAATTTTAGGGGATTATTCTACACTTATAATAATTCAGTGCCTTATACAGGTTTTGAAACTATTATCTGCCCGTCGTTCCCGTAGAAAATAGCGGATGTATTTCACAAGTTATATGACGACTACCAGAATCAAATTAATGAATCAAGAGCTGTGTAATATGGATTAATTTAAACGGCGTTTAAATAGGCAAGTGTGCCCTCCAATAGGCCACATCTCAATTAAGTGTACATTGTGTTACTTAAATGAATAAATAATTTGTTATTTTTGAATTTGACATCAGGTGGGATCGTGGCCAAATGTCTGTCCAGTTCTGTAAAAAAATGAGCTGTCAAACCGTTTTTCTTATTTGAAGTTTGACATATTTAATATTTGACATTGCCTAAGTGAAAATTGTGACATTTGGGAAAATGTACATATTTTGTCCAATCTGATTCAGAGGTTGACAGGTCTCAGTTTTTCGGTGCCTGAGACAGGTAGAAAGGAACGCCACGCACTCGTTTCGTCTTTTGATTTACATTTTCATCCAGGTCTTCTTCTTCTTTCTTGTCAAAGCACTTCAGGCCAAGCCTGATATTGAGTCAGATGTCGATAGAAGGATTCGTTATACTAACTATTTACACTCCCGGACGAAACAGTTGTCGAATATATCATACATTTTAACAAGCTTACCAAATACCTATCTAAATACTTATGAAGATTTATTAAGCATATTAAATAAATCATAACCATTCCAGTACTTTCAACACTCGTGCAGGGACACTAATTCAATATTTATGCCCTGCTCTTTGACATTATCATTAAATCCGCTATAAGTAATAGATAGTCGCCATAATATCTCAGTTATTCGTAACAATAGGCCGAGATAAGCCCTTGATGTATTATTTTGTGGTGCAATTAGTGCGTGCGGTTTTACGCGTTGAAGATCATGCAGTGTGTACTAACCATTGCGCGTTTTTTATTTACTCCATGAACCAAAGAGCTCTAAAACTATATGTATAGACTGATATGATATTTACAATTAAAAACTCCTTGAAAGCATCACCTAAATCTGTGACAATCTGTGAAAGAATTTACGATTTAGTTTAACGTCTTTAGGGATATTGCAATGAACTATTTAATATAATAACTTGATAATTTTTATCGTGTTTGAAAGAAAGAAATGTCAAAGTTAAATTTACAAAATATATATACATATAATTATGTTTGGACGTGACGACCCCATCACCCACTGGTGAATAACCTGTGACAGAGGTCATCAGCACCATCAGTCAACCCTTTTCTAGTGCCATGCTGTTGCCTTCGGGCTTCAGCCAAATCTGCAGGCATCACCGGGCAGTACCACTGTCTCTTAGAAACCGGCGTGAAGTGATGCAATAGGTTCGCCTTATTGTACTCGCGTTTAGTACGGTGACAGAGATTCCTGGAGCCCATTCCCCTCCCCAAAAAATATGAAGTTGCAGAACAAAGAGAAACTACCACAGGGGGGGTATCACAGGGGGTTACCACACGTGCTCGCTCTGGGCGTCCTCCACCGGGACGCTCAGCACCCTGTCCCGGTTCGTAACACATTTAATATATTTATTTAAATATACTCTTTAATTATTTTATACAATACCATAATAGTATGTCTATAATATAGATATGTAATAGTAGACCATTTAATTTCTATTTTTAACCGTTAATAATAGTGGAACAAATTATGGGAAAAATCAATCAAATTATCGAAGGTAAAAATGAATACAGTGTCAACCCTTTATAACATCATTAGTTAGAACGAAAAACTCGCTATAAGGTAAAATGAGTTAAATTTGTTTGGTTTAACACAAAACCCCTTAAATCCCTCTTTATAACGCAACAGCCATTCTCTCTTACGAAGAAACAAAACTAACCTTTTGAGGTGCCGAATTTTCTAAGATCTTTCTCACCTGAGGTCATAAACAGCCGTCTCACCTTTGTTATTGTTAATTGCATTAACACGTGTGCCATTATTCTTAGAAAACATTGCCTGTTATAGCAAAACACGTCAGGCAAAGTTAACAGAATATATGTATGTAGAATAATTTACCTATTTATAGTAATAAAACTAGAAATTATTGTAATTGGTTAAACTTGTTTATAACGAACCCTCTCTATAACGAACAAATACAGGGTCCCTTAAAAATTCGTTATAAAGAGGTTATACTGTAATTATGCGCACATTCGGCTCCATGTGGGGCCGAATATCGCTTGACTACAACAAATCATTTATATGCAGAAGGAACAGTGATGGAGAAAGTACACAACCTTGGGGAACTCCAACATTTATGGGTTTTAAGTTGGAACACGCACAGACGATAACGACCTTGATGTTCCGATCGGCAAAAAAACTAGAGATCCACAATTTTACGGGTAGTCTACAAGGTGGAACATTTGAGAGAAGCGCCTTGTGCCAAACCCGATCGAAGGCTTTCGCAATGTCCTAACTGACCGCCAGTACCTCTTCAGCCTCTACGCATCGGTGTGTGAGGTAAGCCATAAGATCACCAGGTGAGCGACCACGGCGAAAGCAGTACTGACGGTCACAGAATTACCTCATTACACCTGTGAATAATAACTAAAAGTGAAGATGGTCGTTTGTATAACGTTACTAATTCAAAAATGTATAATTAATTATATCCATCGGACACTTTACTTTTTTAATAATTCCAATAATCGATTTCCAAGCGGTGTTTAATTTATCTAAATGGCAATATTAGCAAATCGTGCATACAAGTCACTGAAATCTTGCGATTGGTTGAAACAATGCGGTTATAAGGTGCCCTCTATCGGCTAATAGTTGTAACAATAGCCAGATAACCGTCTCGCCCTATTAGCGAGGCACGAATTTCGATGTAAAGCAACATTTTATAAATTATGCACGAGGAAGGGAATTACTTTGCACTTATCACAATTATATTTGCATATTTGAAATTTATTTTCGCAAAGACATGTGTCAAACGAAAAATTATTTCCTTACCCATTGTTTTTCGTAATTTGATTATAGATACTTTCCTGATGTATCCAACAAAGGACACGTGCTTTGATGCCACAAAAACCCGTATAATCTTATTAAAGAAAATATTTATGCGAATGGTTTCGTGAGAATTACTCTTCAAAATCGTTTATAATTATGCAATTTTCCCCATTTATATGCTTAATAAAATTAGAGTTAAGGGCTATATTAATCTCGGTTTGAACTTGGGAATTTGTGGTTCCAAAAAAAATTGTTTAAAACATTTAATGACTTTGGCCAATGATTTGGCCTAGAGGTTTTGTTTATTCAATTAGATACGAAAATGTAAAGCCTTCGCTTCACACTTACAATTTAAAAGGCAATATAAAGTAGGAATGTCATTATAACATAAAAAGCGATGTTTTGCATCAAAAGAGGTTTTTTTCCTGCTTTGACCATAAATAGTTCCGAACTATGTATAGACTACAGACCAATTATTGTAAATTGAAATAGGTTTCAATTGTTTTAATAATAAGTAATATATCGCTAACAAAACCAGTGTCGCAAGCCATTGCCATTTAAGGGGGTAATTAAATTAATATGGTCTTCACTAATTGGTATGCCGTTGTTGTGTGTATACGAAGGTACCTAATTGTTATGTTAAACACAGTTATCAATAATTAATTTATAATAACGCTGTTCGTAATGATTATTATCTCTTTCATATGTTCAATGATTATGGTATAACTGCATGATAGTGACAGTTGAAAACATAATGTAATTAAAATTCCATTTGTAACTATTGTATAATTGCATTGCTCTTCTGTTTTTAGACTACGGTAATGAGTATATTGTGCTGATTGTATTGATTACTTAGACATTAAAATATATTCATTCATATATTTAGATTATAGATTAGAATCTATAACCTCTGAATTTTCATAAACAACAATGGCGCCTAAATGAAATGAACCACGAAAGACAGATTCCA